AATCACCTACAGAAACTGTAAAAATTCATATTTACCTCGAAGCCCAAGCAATTATGCGCAAATTGAACAATTAATCATCAGACCATGAGTTTGCCTCACGCAAACCCTAATGTAGACGTTGTTTCCTTCTCCCCCTTCCTCTGGACATATAAAATTGAGAAATTAATCAAGTTTTTTTATGTTAACTATCCACAATATTATGGAATTTTGAAAGAAAAATAAGCGTTGGAGAGTGCATAAAACTTGGCGATCACTTTAGAGCACGTTGTAAAATGACAAAGTCAAACTCACGAAATTCTGTGTCATCAAACTCCATACGGCCTTGCGAAATCTCAGTGGCGATTGCTGCAAAGTTACAACCTGGGGTATTGTAGTTTTATACACTGTCGTTTCTTTTTCACTATCCATCTCCTAGAAATCCTCTTTTTCTCTTGTTTTTATATATGAACTTTTACGCTTATTGAATACTTTTTGCCTGCTCTCTTTTTCTATATTTTACGTCGTCTTCTTTTCTGAAAATTTTATATCCAGTAACATATTTTATCTAAGTTTCCATAATCTTGTTTTATAAATCTGGATATTTATTTCAACTGCTAATTATTGTTTTTTTAATCTATTGATATATGCAATGTTTACTTTTTCTACTTAAAAATTGGCCAAATAAATGCTTCAGGTCCATTGTCATAATGACCCTAGATAAACTAACTTCCTATTACGCACGTAATTTTTGAACTTTTCCAGTTTTTTCTTATAAGATTTGAAAACAAGCATTGAAAATTTAAGTTAGAGATATCAAAAAAGCAGATGTCGCTCTGCATTTGGAACAATATTGATCTCCAGTTTATAAATCCTACTGATATAACAATTTTTCTGAGATATCGCTGAATTATATTGACAGCGACACAGTGAAAGAACGGAAATTGTATTTTCCTTTGACAACGGAAATATTTATTTTTGTCGTTCATTCATTTTTTATCAAACTAATCAAGACGCTCATATTTACTATATTGAATATGAATTTATAATGTCAAAGATTATTGTTTTTACTACATAATTGGATGAATGAATATTTTATTTTATTTATGGTGAAAATAAAATGATAATATAAAAATGCTTGATAAATCCATCACTAGTAACCTCTTCAATTTTCCTTCATGAACTGCTTCATACTTTTCAATGCAAGCAGTAAAATTAAAATAATCCATACACGAAAGATTTCTAAGAAAATATTTTCATAAAATCTTTTTTTTCGAAAATTAATATCATCTCGCAAAAAAGACTTTTCTGGGTAAATGGTCCCACAGTTCCCCTTTTCCAAGAAACATTATTTTTCGAAATAAGAATGGAAATTAATCTACATCTTAGATGTGATGAAATTTTTCATTGGTATTTTAAAGAAACAAGAAAATCATTTTCGTAAATAAAGAAAAGCCTCTCGACAGTAACGCAGCGTGCAGCCTTTGAATAAAAAATAATAGTCCGTAACTCAGCATCGTGAAAGCCAGCGGCAGCAGCAGCGACGTCTCTGGCAATAACGCCATCTGCTTAGTCTCATAATCATAGTTTACGAGCATAATGAAAAGCAGTTAGTTTAAAGCGAGCACGCATCCCTCCTCGTCGTCAAGTTCTCTCCTGGCCAGTGGACTCTGTGGTGAAGCTTCGTAGATAGACACTGTATGTTTAAGCGTTAATATTCGGGAAAGGCAAGAGTGTCGCTTCTCTAGTGCAATAAGGCACACATGCGTCCATATATTGCACGAGAGAGAGAGAGAGAGAGAGAGAGAGAGAGAGAGATATGACCAGGGGATTGCTTAATTTAACGAGAGATTTCACGACGTATTCTCAGGTTAAGCCTAGCCTCGCAGTTTTTATATATATATATATATATATATATATATATATATATATATATATATATATATATATATATATATATATATATATATATATATACATACACACATACATACATACTTACATACACACAGATAGATACATATATATCAGCAACGAGAGCGACACATACAGTCTGGCCGACGATAACAAGGAAAATTGGGTCAACAAGATTACGTCCGTCCTTCTAACGAAATAACCATGGCTGTTTTACTTCGAGATGCAAGGCTCATTTCTCTCCAAGTTCATTGTTTGAAACGTGTTTCTAGAAATGAAAATTTGAGGATGTTTTATTTTTTTTAATGTGATAGTAGAGAAAGTAACATTGATACAATCAATTTTAGACGTAACATTGTATCATCTTTTAATGAAATGTAGTCAGTTCTGTTAAATTAATTCAGTATAAAAATCCGTTCTTCATTTTTAAATATCAACATGTAATTATAACATGAAAACTATTATGAAATATTTAGATGACGTTACAAAAGTTTTCAATAGTTCTATCAGTTGTAGAGGCTATACATTAATTAATTTTTTGAAACTAATAAAAATATTTGTTTTATTTATTTATAACTAAATTCATTGATGCCTCGCTCAATAAATTTAATAACGGATACTACGCATACTCATTTATTTTTTTAATGTTGCCTATTCTAAATATTTTATCAATTTTATTCATATGACAATATTTGTTTTGAAAAAAAAAATTTTTCGAAAAATACAAAGCCAAACGTAGCACGAAACTGAATAGAACAGCTATAGAATTGCAGTTGTTGGAAAAATACTTGGAAGAATTCTCACGTAAAATAGACATTTAAAGCGAGGTACGCGCGATGTATGCTCAAAGACGTGCTTGATTTTACACTATTTTTCTTCATGCTCGACACGCCACACTTAACTCTTAACTTCCCGCTCGATTCGCGACAAATTTGATTTTCTTCGAGAGAAGTTGAGCGAGCGAGAGCAAGCTCCTCGAATTGGCTAGTCACGAACACAGCTCTCGAATTTCCCGATAGACAGAGGAGGGCGACTGTCGATGAATATTCGAGAAGCTCCACCCTATATCCTAACGCCTGCGAACTAACTTCTAACAGTCGCAAAATGAACCTATTTTTCAATGTCACGTAAAAACTGTTGCTCTCGTGTTGTACTATTTCGTCGATACACGCAGCTCTTTATTCACCAATTTTTTTTTCGATTTCCAGATAAATTACGTTTGTTAGGAATTCTCAATTTATCAATTGTAATGCCATAGATGAAGAATGCATTATTTCTAATAAGAGTAGTGCCGCTCACTGTTAAAAATACGCGCTGAAAAACTTGGCGGTGAAAAACTGTTTTCAAAATTTCTGATAGACCTATAGAGGAGTAGCTATTATACAACCAAAGTTAAATAATCAGAGTTGATTCACTATGTAAATTAGCTTGTCGTGTTCTCAAACAATAGCGGAAAGAAAATTCGTCGAATTGTAATTTTTCAGCCAAACGACGATGAGACTTCAATCTGATAAATGCAGCGAACAGCAGCGAATGCAACCACACAAAAGAATAGGCTCGTCTCGAGCTCGCCGGTCTCGCTATAAGCCAAAATCCGAGCCACAAAGGGCCGCGCGCTCGCTCTGTACGCGACACACGCGCGCGCGCGCACATTCACGCAAGTGCCTTATTTCAGTATCGTGAGCGCGCGCTTGGCATAGCTACTTAAAACTTGGCAAACTCGTGTCCCCGCTCTTTCCGTCGGCCGCTGCCGCTTACTTAGTGTCAGCCGAGCCTTAGACTTTGGATCGAAGTTTACATTTGTCGTCGCATTCTCTCTCTCTCTCTCTCTCCCCTATGTCTCACGCTTCGAGAGAATATCATGCTCGGCGTTGCAGCAGCGATATCGTGAGAATGAGAAACAGAAGCAACATTTTGAGGCGAGTTATTAGCACGAAATATTCAGTTTATAGTTTGGCTTCGTTCCATTATGTTTGGTATTCATCGGGCTTGTAGCTTTCCCGAGCAAATGATTCATTAACTGCAATATCTCGTGCGTGCTCGATAAAAAAAAAGAGTCCATCAGTATTATAAATATTGTTTATGGGAGCTAGGTAAAGCGATTAAAATCGACCCAAGGGGAGATTGAATTTATTGCATTTTTGGTTAATTGAACGGGAATAAAATTGAAAAATGAAGCCAATAGATCGGATCCCTTTTTTGCCTGTTCGGAGTAGAGTAGAAAGCTCGAAAGTGATTAAAAACTCGACAATAAATGTATTCATTATGCATCGTCAACACTTGCAATCAAGCTAAAAGGTATCTCCATCCTTTCCGCTTGCTGACGTAGGAAAGTGATAAAAAGAGATTAAAATTTTCTGGAAAGTTTAAGTATGTGAATTTTGCATATAATGAAAGACAAAGTTGACATTCATTGCCTGTATACTTCACCTGGATTAATACCTTTCTTATATGGTTTCATCTTCAGTTATTACTTATCGTTACAATTAAGATAATTATTCTTAAATACTTTGAAGAAAAAACACCAGACACAAGTCATTCTCAAGTGTACACAATAATTAGTTTGAAAACTTGAAAAAAAGATGAAAGCCATGTAGATAAAAAAAAAGGAAGCGTCAGAGAAGTCGACGAGTTCGTAAAGCCCAAACTACACGTGCTCTGGCAAAAGAGAAAAGCCGTTGCTTGCCGCGCCGAGGGAGCGAAGCATTAGCACGATTGCCAAGAAATTAGTGTCGCCTGGGCTGCCTGGCTGCTACTGGTGCTCTCTTTACCAAGTGCTAAAGTAGCGATGTTGCCAGTTGCCGCTCGAATTTTCCCGTGTATGCTCTCTGATACCACTGCTTCAGCACTCGTGCTGAAAAGAGGGCTTATGTGTCTTTTTTTTTTCTTTTTATGAAACAACTTGTGATAGCGTTGACTCGCGCGCAAGATGAAGCAATCACTTGATGGGACGCGGTCCAGCTGTTGAGCTTTTTGTTTTAATTTATTATTTATTTACTTGGGTCTAGTTGGATAGAGGATAAGTAATTGCGTTTCGCATTTAGAGTAAGATGTTGTTTTGGTTCGATACGATTCCTAATATGCCTTTTCTCCTTTGCTTTCTGTTACAGAAATGAAAAGTGTTCTCGATGTATGGCCATGCATGAAAAACATCCGAATGTGATTCAATACAAAGAGAGTGAGCGCTCTTAATTTCACTTTCAACGAACTAGAAATATGCCTGTGTTTATCAAATCGTAATATCTTTATAATATTCACAGCGTACTGTATGGTAGGCGACTTCCCAGAAATGTGCTACCACTTAGCGGGTGACGCAACGCTTTATTCACTCTTTCGCTCGAACGCTGCATCATCGTCGTGTCCATTCACGGGACCTCTAGAGTTCACTTATACTCGAGGTGGAGATCCTAAGTCTTGTCAGATACCTCCATCGCAAGCTGATGCTTGCACTCAAGATTCGAGGTTACTTCTAAGGTACATGGCTTGTGCGGACGTTCGTGGCACTGAAAGTCATAGTGAGTATGAAATTAACATATATTTTTTAATTTCCAAGTTTATCGATAGCCCTTAGAATTTATAAGTTTAGAATAGTACTAGCAAAATGTGGACATAAACAGTAAAGTAGATCGAGTACGTATATAATGATTCATTCAATAATATGCTTGTCGTAGCCGTCCATAGTAGTCAGGGGGCACGTATATTTGATCGATTGTTTTGTTACTTTCAGAATTTCTCAATTAAGGTTAAAATCTGTACGTTCAAGATACTAATATAATAAGAAAATGAATAGCATTTAAATTGTCAAAAGACAACATAATAATCATTTAAATAATAGTTGCCTTATCTCGCGTAGTTTTGAATTTTCATTGATTTCAGATAAAATTGAATTTTCTTAAATTTTAAATTGTAGATACTTACACTTTCTAACAAAATTAACTTAATAGAAATACCGCGTGTGAGGAGCAAATTATCATCGGGAAACCCGGTGAAAACCGCGATAATTGGAAGCTATAACTCAAATCGCACGTGACGAGGATCAAAAAGAGTAGCAAAGAAAGGGAGGGGGGTTTATAGCAACGCGCTAAATAAATAGAGAGCACAAACATAAGAACGCAAGAGAAGCTACATCGTCAAGGGCTATACGCTACACGTACACGCGCACGGATCCAAAGTTAAACTGCAGCGCGTACTTGGTTAATCGCGCGTACGGATTCTGGCACTCAAGGTTCATCTCTGTCCGTTGCCCGCCTGCCTGTGAGTACGCCCATGTAATCCGAGTGCAATGACAATTGCGCAAAACTGTTTGTCCGACTCTACCGACAAATGGTAATCGACGGGGCTATTAATCATTCATTGTTCCGGCGGCGCGTACCTCCCGCGCGCGAGGATTCTCGTTGGCTGGCTGGCGCGCTTTATTGACCGTTATTCCGCCGCCGACCCTCGGCTCTGCTGTTAGTTAAAGCGCCGACAGGAATGAATGCCCCACTATGGTCGCTGCGCGTTGCAGTCCGCCCTCCCTCTGCGCCTAGTTCGCGACATGTGCAGCTTGGAGGAATTTGCGATGGGTATCTGGCGATGAGCGATTTGACCATTGCCAATTTTAATTATATTGGCCAGGATCGTATACATTCAGAACGTTTTGGTTGGAGTTGGCTGCTCGATGTCATGTCAGAATATTTAACGTCAATTTTTTGATAATATTTTGTCATTAACGTTGATGGCTAATCTGGGATAGCTATCTTCTGACTACTGAGTTCATGATAATAATTTTCGGTTTATGGCCTGATAAAAGTTTTATTTAAAACTTATATAATAGAAAATCATATAAACAACATTTCTAATTCAAATAGTGTTATGGAATATCTGTAGAAATTCAGCACGGTTAGAGATCGACATTTATAAATAAAAAAAAAATTTTATATTTTCAGATGTAGAAATGGAGTGCCTAGCGACGTGGAAAGAAGGTAGCACACAGTACTTGGTCGCTCGACTAAACGGCACAGCAACGCTGAACGATGAGAGTAGGTATCGTTGCTTTGTTTACGCTAAATCCGGCAACAGCACGTGGAATCTTGCGCAGAGTGGCGATGCTAGCTGTAATGGCCTAACCAGTGCTACGGATGGAGCTAAAACTCTAAGGATGACGCAGAGTGAGTATCGATTATGTTTGTCTTTTGAGATTTACATAGAAAACTGAATACCGTAAAAAACATATCTATGTTGACAATTTCATTGAGGTTTATAATCGTATTTTATTTTTCGCACGTGTGATATTTTCTATCGAATGACGTTTACGAATATGATTGATTATGTAAATAAGTTCTGTTCTTGATCATTTATAAATAAATCTTGTCTAGTAAATTATAAATCATAGTAATTGTTCACAAGCGCAACTTTCTCTGACGGTTTACTCGTTACAAAGTCAAACCGCGATGATATAGCTTCGGATAGCTGAAGAGCGTAAATTGAGGGAAAGGCATGTGTTAAAAATCAACACTGTTTCACTGGCGAGTTATTTTCATTTGATGACGATCAAAATGATGACAATAAAAATATCTCTGCACACAATCACAATTCTTCATAAGAGGCCGAATCCCGACAAGGAGCGCTCAGACGTGACTCGAAATCTTCGCAACTGTCTTAGATCCTAGTACAGTCCTCGGTCATGGCTGAGGGAGGTAGGTAGCGTAACAGTCATCCAAGAGAAAGAGAGTGAGGTACCGTCAGAGGCACCGTTGCCGGCACCAGGAGTCTGAAACTAGAAGAAGCTCAAGGGGCACTAGTTACTAGAAAGAGTCTGTAGTTAGTGCTAATCTTTCGACTTTTAGCCGTTTGATCGCTGATGACAGGTATATATATATATATATATATATATAAAGTATCACTAATTTAAATAAAGGTTGGCAGTCAGAAGGTTAAAACCGGGTTGTGGCGCCATGAGCCTCCTTCCCCATTATGACTCTTGCCACTCTTGTGTAGTTCTCGCCCAATAGAAATCGCTCCTTGATGATGGCACGCAGTCAACTGTGTTAACTAATGACGCCATACGAATGCTGTCAACAACAAAAATCCCAGTTGGGATCCAATCTCGCGCTCGCTGAAGTATAATGACGCATGGCTGGCGTATCAACAACGGCTCAACGCACTCTACCCGATTTTTAAGAGAAAGTACAGCAAAATAAGAGACAAACGGTCAACAGGGCACCCCTTAATAAGCAAAGAAGAAGCAACTGATAACAAAATTACCTCAGGTGTACCTCACCGATTTTTCACTCCCAAAAACGGGGTTTTCTACATTTTTCGGAAACTATTTTTAATTTCTCGGTGAAACAAAGTAAATATTATTTGTTATTTAAAAACGTATTTATTTATTATTTTCACTAGTAAGGGTTGTTTTTATAAGTTTTAAGGGTGAGCTTTAGAGGTGGTTTTCACCCCTTAAATCGCTAAATTAGCACGAACGAAAAGACACAGGTCAAATATTTTTCGATTTACTACAACATATCTAAAAGTGAAGTAAATCGGTGAGTTACACCTGGGATAGTTTCGTTGTAAGCGAGGGTTTATAATCAGTAAATTTTTGGATTCCTAAAATAAACATCCTATTATCGGTATAAGAGCAAAAATAAATATGGAATTTGCGCGATTGTCGAAATTGGGAGTAAGCAGCGAATGGTCTCTGCTAACTGCCACTGGGGAACACCGCAACAATGATATTTTCCGTCAATGTAGAACTTTATTATTTCTCATGGATTAATTACTTCTCATTGTATACATTTTACTTTAATGGAGTAATTATATAGACAATTGATAAGTTTTACATGTTTTTAATATAGTCACCAACGAACAGCAAATCGTTTAACGTGTTATTAGCATAATCAGTAACAAATAGTAAGCAGTCTTACATATTTTTAACAGAATCAATAAACAATAATAACTTTAACAATGAATTGAAGGAGGAGGTGTGGAGTATTATTCATCAAAATACAATAACTAAATCAGAGTTCAATTAAAAATTGTAAATTTAATGAGAAAAGTGAACTAAATATTGATTCAGCTGCCGTAAAAACATCCAATCGTAAATGGAAAAAATCCCTTTCAATCGTGAAAGAAAATAAAAGATTATAATATTAACTAAATAAACTATAAAGTAAACTAAATAAGTATACTAAATTGGTAAGCAAAGATGAAGTCAATTGTCGAAGGCGCGTTCAAATTAATAAAACAAATAATAAAGCATTTAATGCATAGTGTGAAATTTACTAAAGTGTAAAGTGAATGAGAGGGAAGTATTCCAATGGCGGTAAGGCTCAACGCAGTTCTGACATCTCGGTGACAGGGGTAGCCCTCAGTACGTTGCCGCTTCAGAAATAAGATAGGCCTACACTCGCGTGGCAAGGAGACATTCCAGAGCAAGTGGTATGTCTTCTGCTAATTGTAAAGTAGCGGGTAATCCTGTTCTTAACCCTCTGAATCTGTGTTCCTGATGAACTCAAACAAGGCACAAGCACTAGACCGTACGCATGCACGGTGAACACTATCGCAGCGATTTTACAATGGATGAGCATCACAAGTGTTTACGCGATCACAATCATTGAGGTTTATAACAAGTGTTACTGCGACGAGGCAAAAGCTGAAGTCTGAGAGCAAGATCTCATTGAGCGTCCATGCAAGATTGAGGCCGCGACCCAAGCTTTTCTGACAAGCGGCAAAGCGGAAAAATCCTGCTCTTGGAACTGTTAGGAGAGGGTCTAATCAGCGCATTAAGGAGCGAGACGCCACTGCGAATTCACGCAGTCTCGCTGTTATCTTAAGCGATCAGCCCGAACTCTTTCCATGACCGAGATACTGTCGTTTCAACGCCAGGCGGTCTGGTGCGTCCATATAGCGGTCACGTGTACGACATTCGTTAGTGTTTTTCGGACGAATCTCAATATAAAAACCGAGCGGCTCAAGTTCCAACTGTATTGAATATGGCATAGGACGTTATAGTTTGACACACTCGCTCGCCTTTTATATACGTTGTTTCTAAAAACCCCGGAGAGCAAACGGCTCGAATAATTATTACAAATCAATTTAAAACTCATTTACGTGCAGGGGTTGTTTTCATTTTCTTAAGATTGATGTACGTGTTTTAAAAACTAAAGTTTCACGTTTTCAGTCTGAAATAACCTTAATCCATCACAACCCAAATTCATATATATTTTATAGAACGTCTTATTTGAGAATTTTGTAATTTTAGAAAATGATACTTTTTTGGAATTCGTGAAGCCATCGCGAACATATATTGTAGAGTCTCTGTTCGTAACGCTGAAACTACGAGACGTCCCGTCACCTCGCGAACGATCGCATTTTTGTGCGCAAACTGATCGTCGACATCGATCATTGCGCGTGGAGACTCTGCTGCCATATCTTATGACATGGTCTTAGAATATGGTTAGGAAAAAAAATCGCTGTAAAATTTATTCCGAAGTTTTCTTTTACAGAATATTTAAAAATATAAATTTTAAAATTTATAAAGCATTTATTGAGAAACTTGAAAAAAAAAAACATGAATATCACACTAACGTACAAAACAATTCTTATCTTTATCTGATTTACGCATCTGTTCTCGTTATCTACTTGAAAAGAAGATATTTCAAATACCAGATTCAACGTACATATTTAAATAACTAATAATTATAAAAATACTTCCTCTCCATGCTACTATTCAAATTCATATAATCTGTTCAAATTATCAAAAACATTAAATTACCCTTTATATGATAAAAGTTTGATACGGGCGCGGGAAACTTTTCAGCTCGAAGCCAAAAGTCGTTGCGAGGTCGAGGTAGGTAAAAATGTTAAATATCTACATTCAAGTGAAAAAGAGGGGTAGATACTGCTGCTTTGGAAGATGAAGAAGAAAAAAACGGAGAAAAAGAATTCATATTTTACCAAAAGTTATGCCTCGAGTCTGACGCAGCCCAGCATGTTCATATTTCAAATCGTAGGCATTGCGCGATAAATTCGGCTCGAGTGTTAAGCAGCTTAAAAACTTCCGTCTCGCCCTCTGCCTTTTTATCAGCTTTACCTGCTCTTCTCTCTTCTTTCCTTTCCCGCGTCGATTCTTCTCCCCCAACCTCCCTGTCTAGCCTATTTATCTCACTGAATTCTTTTCCTTAGCTTTCTCTTCCATCTTTATTAACATTGACTTCTTGATTTTGTTCCTTTTATCGACTTTTTGTCGTCATAATCGTCTTATTAGTGCATTTGTCATCAATAATCATCACATTCATATATTTTCTTTTTCTTGAAAATGAGGCTGGATTCGGTGTTTTTGAAAAATAAAAAAATATATAATATTAATTGAAAATAATAAATTGCAGCACAAGAGATAAGAAAGCTTATTATTCGTAATGCGCCAACCTTATATGACAAATTTAATTTAGTTTGTTGTTGATTAACGAGCCTTTTTATTTAATTCTTATTAAAGAATCCAGAAACATGAAATTTGACATATATCAAAAACAAATTAGCGATACGCTGTCTTCCCTATTAGTTCCACCATTTCACTTTGTTAACTTCTTATTATCTTTAACAGCGGCAGTGCGTGCAAGGGATTCACGTTTTTACTTAAACAATAAGATATACTCGATCCACGATGAAAACATTGAAATCTTAGCTGCAGTTCTATCGGTGCAATACCGATGGATTGATTCCTGCGTTAATTTCCAATATCTGTCAATATGCAAAAAAATACGTTACCGTTCTTCCATTAAATATTAATACGGAATAATACGGAAAAAATCTCGATTACGCGAGTGTAAATTTCCCTAAACAAAACTCTTTATTTAACTAACTTGAAAAGAGAAAGCCGAACCCCTTGAAGAAGAATAGAGAGAAAATAACGTATCCCTCACGCCTTGACGCCAAGAGCAGACGTTGTGCTCCAATTCCGGAGCATCTCTTGACGCCGTCGTCGTGCGCTGGCTCTTTGAGCTTGCGTAGCATCTTATAGTCCGACAGCTGTTTCGTTAACCTTAAGCCCGAAGCGCGCGCCTCAGCAATGCAGATTAGCTGGTGCCGTTGCTGCATGGCGTCCGTGAAAAGCTGCTCTTTCAGAGCTTCGCCGTCGCCTCCAGCATCATAATTCTAGCTTTTGCCCTTGCATCATACTTTTTCTCGTACCGAATCTTACGTACACTTTACTTTGTGACATTGCGCTAAGCATCTGCTGCAGTTCAATGAGAATGCGAACTGTACCTGTTGGATTGTTTTTCATATTTTCAGCGATGTACTTTTCCTCGATACTGATCAGAATCTACAGCTTCTTTTCAAACTCACCATATTGCACTTTTTTTCTCGAACGACTGGAAAATTGATCTTTTCTCGTGTGAAAAACACTCATTGGTTTTTCGATTACAATACCAGTTGGCATTCCGAAAATTGAAAAATCGCAATGAATTACAATTCTGCACGTAACGAATGATTGCCTTTGAATCCGTTCTACATTTCCAAATACATTCATATCTGAAATTCATCGCCATCGTGAGATCTAATAAGAATCGATAGGATAGCAACGAGGACGCAAGTGGACAAGAGATCGATTTGGTCAGCAGCTGTTATTTTTCAGCCATTAATTCAACGGCATGGCCGCGCACGGCTCCGAAGACAATTTTTCACGGCGAGGCTTCGTGTTCTCAATGGCCAAACAAACGGCTCGCTCCTGGCATCGTTACAGCTTATATATACCTATACACACCCACTCTATCCAACGGACACCTCTCTCTTTCTCTTCCTCTTCTGCTTGGCCGAGCTACGGCTCCGTTTGTTCTCCTCCCGCGCGAACGACACGTGTGCACGTGTGCGCTGTACTCCAACCTTCCATTTGTTTTCTCTCGTCTCGTATTTTTTCTTGATCAATTATTTAGCCTTTTTTCTCTTCCTTCTTGGCCTGATAGCTTGTTTCATTGTTCACGGTGACAATTGATATTACTTAAAATTTATCATAAAATTCTTACTTGAAATACAAAGTGGAGTTTTCAAGCTATCGTATATTGTAATAAACTAGATTTCTACTTATTGAATAATCAGATATCTTTTTAAAAAATTCTACAATGCTAATTAAATAACGCTCTAACATTTGTTACAATAAAATCGATTATTTCATTTAATCGTTTATATTTCTAAATCAAGCATAACAATGTCATAGACGATTCCGTACTGTGCTAATTTAATGATTTCCAATAAATACAATCATACTATACGATTTAACATGAATTCTTTTCTTGTTTGCAAATTATAAAATACATTTTTATCAATGCTGCAATACAAATGGAATATATAATTAGACTCATGGCGTAACTTGTAATATGTCAAATAATATATAAACTTGATTGGCGAGCGGTTGGCGAGAAGCATTGGTCCATATATTTGGCCTCAAAGAAGTTGAGAGATCAAGTTCCCTATTAGGAAGAACCGGTGATCAATCAAACAATAGAAATTATTATAACTATGAGGTTAGTCGTGAATTCCATGTGAATGAAATTTGTGTCAACACACATTATAAGACAATAATGATACACTGTTCCGAGTATAGAAAAAAAATCCGTGAAATTAAATTATGAGAAAGAAAGCGGTCGATCAATAAGTAAGATTGTGTAAATGCGAGCGAACAGGTAATGGCGAGTTGTTCCCCAGCTCCTGAAGTTAGGCTTTAGGAGGCTGTTAGGTCCCTTGAGAAGTATGCTTTTGGGTATTGTGGATCACCTAGGTACAGCTAGAGTCAGAAAAGAGACTGCTTTAGGCCGGTGGGTTAAAATAAGCGAGAGAGTAAAGGTGGAAAAATCAAAGGGCGGGGCTAATTGCGAATGGAAAACAAGCCCCAATGAGTCGCAGCAGCGGCAGCTAAGGCGAGCGACTAGTGCGAGGTATCTTGATAGCCACCTTCAGTTTAGTTAGTTAGTTAGTTTGTCTGTATCTTGCACTTGTAAGGTATTCCTGTGAGTACCCTCTGTTTAAAAAAGCGTTGTATTACTTTGTACTTGTTTCAGGCTTTTTCCTGCTTATGACAGGTCTTTTTATGCCTTTGCTTTCAAATGAAATTCGCAAATAATAATAAAAAAATAATATCCAATAAACAAAGTTCGTCGAATTGTTCCTGCTTACACAGTCCTCATAAAAAATATTAACAAATTGCTGAAATTATTATAACTAATTATCTTGTTCAAATAAACCAAAATAATTATGCCTCTGATCTTTAACAAATTCTAAGATTAACACGCAAAATTAAGCCAATTTAATTCAATTGTATGAACGAAAAGAATGAGAGAAATCGAGTGTGTCACTATGATCGTTATAAGCCGTAGTTCGTTAGGAAAGGATGAAAGAGCAGCGAATATTAATAGCTCGTTTAATAAATGTGTTGTAGACCTCTTTCTCTCTCTCTCTCTCTCTTTTTGCTTCGATCTTTATCGGATAAATTACATTACACACACACACATACACATGCACGCGCGCGCACATATATATAAGTAAAAGTCTGTAATTCGAGTTGAATGTGCTTCTCGATAAAAAAGAAAGAGAGGAGAAAAAGCTTGCATGTGGACTGCCAACAAACGGATAGGTGAACGGACAAGTGAACGTGTGAGTGTTAACGAGGATATCGAAGTACTGAAATGGATGTGAAATTTCCTTATTTGTTTGAATTATTCGCTTGGAGTTTCATCAGGGAGTTATCGTAAACGTGATATTGTGTATATTAATGATCTTGGAATTCATTACTCGATAAATTGTATCAAATTATTAAATAATGAATTAAGATACGTATTTATTTGTCTTATTGGATTTTATATATATACATCAAAGATTGAGTTTATTAATTTCTGTGGAAGCTCATAATTATATTCTATACTTTCATGATGTAACGATAATTGAAATCTAAAAATAAAGATTTCATTAATATAAACATCAAATCAATTTTCAGATTTACAGCTATTTAATATCTTCTATTTTTATATATTTACAGAAGTGGAGTTACCACGTTGCAACTATCCAAGTTGGTTAGTAAAGCCATACTCGTGGGTGGCACTCGACTTGACCGCGTCGACACGTTTACTTGCGTCCCTCAACAACATTACCATCCTCGAACAGCACGAGACTCAGTATGCTTGTCATCGTGTTATTAAATCGAAACACAATGTTGGACAGGAGATGAAAAATCATGGTAGTCATGGTGATAGATTCCAGATTGTTGCTAGGGCGACAAGAGGCTGGTGAGTTTTCTTTCTCTGAAACGTTTAGAACGAGTAGGTAGAACAAGAGGAAATCTACGTTTTTCGTTAATGATTCTCGATGTCGTTAAATTTTTTCATTCAAATAATCTGAGAGATGAAAATAATGACGATATTATAATGGATTTGTTCAGATTAACTGGGTTATACAGCTGGAGAACGTCATAATTTCAAATCATATTTCATCCAATTTTTTTGTGAAATGATGAGAAATTATTTATATACAGATATAGTTTATTATTTTAAAAATGAATTTTTCATTGATATAATTTAGGTTAAAATTTATATTTCTCTACGCAGATATCAATGCTGATTATTAAAATTACACCAGTTAGTAGAAAATATAATATTTCTGAAACTTTATACGTGCTAACGTACGAATATTCTGGAAATTCGATTGAAAAATTCGTAACTTTTTGACCGAAATATCCAGACAATAGAAATTTACAGTACATGCGCCTACACAAAAAAGCGAAAGAGTTAAACCGTGCAAAAGCTAAATCCTTGTCCCCAAACAAAATATGCGGAAGCTGGCGTAGAAAATTTAGGCTAAAACAAAACTCTTTTGAGTCGTAATGCTGATTTACGCTCGAATGGAGCTTCGTGTCCACTCATTTCGCAAATCCTGATTTACGCATGGCTGCAGGTCGAGCGTCACAAAAAAAGTGGTATAAGCAGCAACGCAAGGGGGTGCATGCGCTTGGGCTGAAAGGGTCTCGTGTCACTGTGCTTTTTACAAGGAGGGGCGAAAACGCAATTACGATATTATACGCGCAAGAGTCCGCGTTGCTCTCGTTGTGCAGCGTGAATAAATTCTCCTCCAGTAGAGAAGAGTGAAAAAGACGCCGATTTATCTCGTGCTCTTATTTGCCTTTCGCCTAGGTTTCTACTTAATTTGCCCCCTCTTTCCGACCCCCGTTTTTTTTGTGCTCTCAAAGAGAAACTGTACGCGGGCTAATTTAATTTCTGAATTTACTTTTTCATTAGATCTCTCCAACTTTGGACTACTTTACTGTGAGGAAAACTTTATTTTCTTAATCGGTTTGAGTTTCGCTGATACGTGGCGAATTGAACCAATTTACATTGATTATTTTAATTAGATTTCGGTGTGATCTGATGCAGGAAAAATGGTCCATCGAAGAGAAAGGTCTTCAATCTAATTTATTCAATTTATGATGCTTAATTTTTAAACGTTATTTCAGTATATTTAATAAAAATTTTTTTTCGCAAACGATATGTTATATCTTGTCATGACATACATAAATAAAAAAATTGTAATTCAATAGGATTGCATTGAAACACAGTAAATGACGAGCAACTCGAGAACAAAAGCGATGTACGTGATATGCTTAACATTTCCAAACTTTCGAACTAATCTGTGATCCCGAGTAAAAAAATTAAAAAATCTGTCAATTTGTTTGAATGGATTATACATAGACATTGAGAATACCATAAAGATATCACCGACATTGAGTGAATTAATTTCTTTACAATAATTAATTTATTACTTCGACGTTGATCGTCGGTGTCATCATTTTCAATTATATAAAAATTAGATGCAATTTTATCTTACTTCGCAGACACATACATATCCATACAATGAGAAACTTGATGGTTCCATATACTTATTAATGGAAAGTTGTAAAATCGAAGAAGTTTAATGAATGCTAAAACATGAAATTGTTGGTGTCTATCGTGATAATACTAATTTATTACTTAGTGTATGGTCAAACTTTAGATCTCAGTGGTTCAGTCGTTGGCTCGATCGCTGTGTCACTTTATGGAGAGATGACAGACGAAACTCGTTGCTGTAAAGAACGATAATCGGATAATATTGCACAAGCGTTGAATTATTATGAATTATGTAACAACGCAAACTCGATCAAGAGGCTGCATTGCACCTATCATTTTAATATAAGTGATTGAAAACACGAGATCGCACAATCTTAAAAACAAAAGGAATACTGTAAAGACCTCTCTGTTCATAAAACCTATCTCTCTCCTTGCGCAAAATGCACTTAATTCATCGGCGTGGAAAAAAGTTTGAAACAATAGGCGCTGATATTCGAATAAAAAGGTGAAGGTGGTGTGTTAAGCCTCGCGTATACACGCGATCGGATGAACGAGATTTAAAGCTCTCTGTTTTGATGATGCGCGAGCATCGTTCCGCTGTATTGACGAGCGGGGCGGCGCGCAATATGAGGCGACGCGTAAAAAAGAGAGATGCGGGTGTGCGCGGATTTTATTGATATATTGAGAGGATTTAGAGAGATGGAATTTTCGGTTGTATGTGGCGCAGTATTGGATATTTTTATTCTTGTTTCTTTTTAGTGGTGCATTATGGAGTACAATGTGATTTCGAAATATTTGCTTTTATCATTTAAGAATTTTATATTAGATTTCTCTTGTCAAGGATAATGTATTCGATTTTCTATATTTGTTTATTATAATTTTACGTTTCTGTAAAATTTTTTGTCAATATTAAAGGTTTATTGCTTACATTAATTTATACGTAATACCATCCCTTTTAGAATGCATGTTGTGAATGAGTAACAAAATAGAAACAAAATCATTGACGTGATTTAAAATATTTTTCAATATTTTAAATAAAATATTTTGACTTATAAATATCCTTCTCAAAATAATCTACCTTTGCTTCTTAACAAAGTCACCGCGCCACAAATATTTCTACGGCAACTACAATTTCAAAAGATTGACGAATTTAATAAATTTCATACCATCATCATATCTCTTTTTCTCTCTCTCCCATAGATACGCAATTCAATCAGCACAAAATGGAAAGGCATTTTTTAGTTGAGCCCGAATAACATACGCGCCACTGACGGCATCCCCTTAATCGATTAACTAAGAGTTACATTCACCCATACGAGTCGGAGCAACGTTACGCTCACATATTCCTCGTGCCACTTTGGAGCCGGAAATTAAATTCATTTTCATTACACCAAGCTTGCTCGCTCTCTAGCTCGACTTTGTTAAGATTTGCCAGAGGAGTTATATGCCATGGTTCAAATGAGTGAGGGAGTAGGAAAGAGGGAGAGAGAGAGAGAGCGCGAGAGTAGAAATAACGAGCGTAAAATAACTATTTAATTTTCCTAATTAGCGTCTAATTACAAAGTTGAGGCAAAGGCCTTGAGATTTCTGTCGTGAAATCGAGATATTTACCGAGGACTGATTATGGAAGTTCATTGCACGAGAGAGAGAGAGAGAGAGAGAGAGAGAGAGAAGTCAAACTTGAATTTTTGTTGATGAAAATACGAGAGAGTTTTAGAATATATTAATTACTTACTTCATATTTTAACGTTTCGAAATGAAATAGGTTACAAGTATCTCATCATTAATTGATCATATTTCTCTTATAATACATGATTGTCTGACCAAAATCTAACTACTCTACTTATTCCATAAAACCTGGTATTAGATGCCAATTGGAGTTGTTGAAATAAACTACCAATGAATTCAAACTGACTGCTCATCGGATAACGTAGAACTTCGAGTCTCTTCGCCAACTAATGCCAGCATCGCATTAATACGTCTGTGAGCGTCTTGAGCAATACACAGCTAGCACGGGCAGGAGGAACAATTGTGGTTCGTTTGACTGTGAAAGCAGATGTCGTCGCGTCGGCTTGGCGCGCCAACTTAGCACAACTTCATATATATACACATACAGCTATCAGTAAACTGGTGCAATGGAGTGTATAATCCTCTTAGTTTCGCCTCTACCTATATTACAGCTAAGGAATCTCAGATCAATTATACAATTGTCGACGGGAAATATGAGCAAGTGATTCGCGAGTGATTTTCTCATCTCCGACGACAACACGCGGTGACGAGCTGTTTCCGCTACTTTTCTCCTAATGGCTGTTTTTACAGCGTTGTCAGTCATAATATCGTGCTCGCGGAACTCCGACAGTCAATTAAGAGAGTTAATTTGAAAAATAAATGTCAAGGAATGACTGACTGCAACTTAGATATTTTAATTAAATGAGGTTTGAATTCAGCTCAGCAAGAATATAAAGTAAAACGAAGATGGAATGATATTAACCATTTCCAAGATATTTTACTTTTTAGGCGAGTTTAATTAACTGGCACAAGCATTCCGCAGAATAATAAAATTTATCACTTTGCGAACGTCTTTAAATTTAATTTTAGCTTTCAGTTATTAACCCAATATTATACTAATCATTAAATGAATTATTTTTAATAACATTACTTCTATACAAAAGGAAATAGTATCCATGATTTTTTCGAATTTATATTTTTTATTTTTTCATGGCATCTGAAGAACATCAGTATTTACTAATGAAATAGTATATCATGTCATTACGAAATAATGAAATTTGTTTCTCTTTCTATAAGTTATGCTGACTAGAAAAGCTAAATTTTTGATAATGTTGATTTTGTGTGGAATTCAGACGATCTATAATTTTATTTTAAATCATGATTAAATTTTTAATAATATTAGATTACATCCAATATTGACTCACAATAGATTGATCAGAAAGCTTTGTTACTGACTTAGCACATCTCCTATAGTTCAAAACACAAACATTGCTTCACATACGTTCAACGCACGTCTGAAATCCACGCTTCAAATTCCTTTATATCGCCTGTTCCCATCAGCTCTTTTACTGTTTATCTTTGTTCAAGTCTTCATTGAGCCGGTGTACGTGCATATATTTCCTCTAGTGTCCGCTTATCCGTGCGATATTTACGAGTTCTGCGCATTCACCGCTGCGTGGCATTTGAAATCCTTTCGAACGTCCTTTTCTCTACGAGTGAAAGTTCTGCTGATAAAAGACGTTTGAAAAAATATCACAGATTACTACTTTCTCATGGAACGTTCGCGCAAAAAGAACTTATGATATTTGAACCTCGAAAGGATTTTTATTATTGTCCAGAGATTTTTTATGTTTCTTTCTAAAAGTATTATTTTATATTGTTAACTATAATTATTGTACTTTTCGTACGTAACGAGTGTCACATTTTTTTCCAATTTAAGTATTTAGAGAAGAATGGCGGAAAGATAGTACAATGAGCAAAGTAAGAAAAAAATTTATAATAACTGCAGAAAAGCCAAGGGACTTTCAGTAAAGAGCAAGAGTAACTTGGAAAGAATTTTGAAAACAAGCTGTTGCATAACTTTTAATTCCCCGATCGTGATATCATGGATTTTAAGTTTTTTCCAACCTTTCGCGCCGCAGCTTACCGGCCAAACTTTTATAATGAAGAGCTTCCAGGCCATCTACTCGACTTTCTGTCTTCCTTTTTGTCTTTAGTATTCTATCGGCAAGTCGCCGGGGAAATCACGAACACGGTGTCATAATTATGACTTTTGATTCTCACTGACGATTTCTTTCAACTTTCTCTGATGGAAGCACATAGATTTGAAATTACGAGAACTGCTCGGTAATTCGTTAAATTTGCAAATATCAAAATCAATTATTTTTCATTCTTCGACTCCTCGTCGGTTAACAAAAAATTTTATAAATCAAATTACACAATGCATCAATCACTATGGCATATACAAAGTGTTTTTACAAGTCTCTTATACTTTTTAGATCGCTCAGTTTTCCCGCAGCTCTCGCGCGAAGTCGCGCGAAAATTACAGCCGCTGTCTAGGAAACTAAATCACGCTTTCCGCTTGGGGAGAGAAGTGAAGTTGCATAATATTCTTCGGGACTGCCGCGGCGCGCTATCGCGCGAAATGGCCGTGGTAGACTAATTGCCAGAGCTCGAGTAAATCTTTTGCCTACACCGAACGCGCCACGTGTAGCGTCGGTCTCTCTTTCTCTCGTTCTCTTTTGCCTGTGTATATCAGCATAATGAATATATAATGTGCAAGAGAGTCGAGCTGACACTAAAGAAAATGTGCATGTTTTTTGTTGCGCTTCGTAAACATCTTTGAAATCTGTTAACAGGAAATGTGAAAATTTTTCGCGGGCAATTTGTTTCATTTCAGACATTCTCTTCAATAAAATTAAAAATATTTTAATATTTATATCAATAGAAAGTTTTACTGTAAAACCATTTTTGAATCTCGAAAATTTGTCCACATGATTATTTTAAGTACATTTTTGTACTTCACATTTTCATAAACAATCAAAGAGGATGAACTTTAAATCAACACCTTTTTCAACATTTGTATCGTGTAACTCTCGTAAATATTCACTAACAGAATCAAGGATTCGCAGTGCCAATAAGAATATACAATTAAATTTTTCACTCGAAGACAAAAAATGTTGTACGATGCTTATCGTTGAAGAAACAGGGAACGGCAATGAAGTTGACCCCAGAATAATACAGTGAACATTTTCAAGCACAGCTTCCAGTATGCAGAACGTGACTTGCACTATGCTTAACGGCTATACAACCCCTCCCTCTCCTCCGAACGATTCGCGCTCAATACATTTCACGTGTTTAAACTCATTTCAAATTTTTGTGTGCCAACTGTGGTAAGCGAGATCGACTGATTTTAATAATATCGAGTGTGAGAATCGTGTTCCGGCAATTTTTTTTCAAGAAACCGGCAATTTTTTTCTTTTTTAATTGCTAGAACTGACTTACTAATGAATTATGAGATTGAAGTATTCAAATTTAGATTAAAACGGTAGTCGTTTTTGCACTTCAATCTCGTTCCATTTTTCATCGCGTAAAATCAGATGACATTTGACAAAAGAAACGCTCATTATTGAACAATTTTGTAGCGAATCGTATAAACTTGCTTTTCTTGGTCCTCTTTTTCTTTTTCCATCGTCAAAATCTCTCGAGTAAATATTCGTTCTCATTCGATTTTCGCCACATCATTATACGAATTTCCATTATACGACATCACGAGAGCGAATACGTACCTTCGACGTATTCCCGAGATATATATTCAATAGTAATGACTCTATTTTCACGATACCCCAGTTTTCCTTCTCGCGTGCACGAGGTAAGAGAGTATAATTCGCTTGAAAATTTTCCGGAGTCAAAAATTGCTGAGTCTACATATATCCAATCGAATTACGTTTGACTCAAATATTCTTTCACTTCATATGCTCAACGATGGGTAGAAAATTTTCCTAGGATGAAATCTTCGACGAGAGTTTTCGAATGCCTAACTCTCTTGGGTTTCTCTTTAATGCTCGTAGGATGAAAATTCCTTCCAAAATATATAGACGCGAGGCAATGTATGAGCGTGTAATTTGCGCAATCATGTTGTACAAACACGCGCGACGTGAATGTCAAGTATGCACGGGTATCTTATCGTCGGGATTTCCTTCGCTAATTTCAGTGTTTAAGCTTCATTACTCTTTTTCTTTTAAAGGCTCTTGCAAGTAATTTTATTACATGAGATCAATAAACCTCAATCAAATATTTTTTATTAATCGTTAGTTTACATGAAAATATGAAAATAATCATTAATAAGAATTTCCTTTTTTCGATTTCTATATTTTGTGAATAATTCAGTGGATCTATTGAAAATCTTGGTACTTTTACCTTTGGGTCGAATCGTTAAATTTAACTTAATCCAACGTCAATCCGCTGAAATTGATGGAAACTGCTAAGAAATGTACCTCAAATTGGCTAGTTGAAGCTGAATACCTCAGCACGACTAGTCAGGGCTTTAATGGTCTGATGTAAATTAGATGGAAAGTCGTAAGGGAGTGAATAGAATCCATCACCGGAAATACCAGAAAGCAACGTCGGATCAGAAGTCATTCGCTATCCTCTCGTTTACGAACAGTTGCCGAGCGAATAACATAGATGTCCTTGCTTTTGTCTGGTTATTTTATATATATTTTTTATATTTATATCGTATCATTAGAAAAAAAATGATTCCTTCCTAACACCTTTTTTGCTATAACTAAGAATATATCAACATCAATTACGATTAAAAATGCCAAAAGAAAAGTCATTTCTACAAAAAAAAAAATTCAATCCGCAAACCTCTACTAGCCAAAGTATCTCCACAACCTCTCCCTTGAAAGTTTCCAACCCAGGCAAGAGACCGAATAATCAAGGGCAAGAAACCGCGGCAAAGGCCAGCACGTCAGCTGCAAATTGAATCGGCGGGATCGCAGAATGTTAATGTAAACTCTCCTCCTCCTCGCATCCCTTTAGTCCTAATGCTGATTAGATTCAACGCGGACCATTTACTTGTGGTCATGAAAAGAAGTTTTGTTCGACAGCTTTGGAAACCGTGCTTGGGTGTATGCAGATGTTACTTAATTAATTAAAATAATAAAGCAAATACAAATTTTACGAGCACGTTGCTATTACGCTGATTATTCTTCTTTTATTTTTATAATTCATGCAAAAACATCTATGTATTTCGTAAAATTACGTTTGATCAATTTGAAATGTGGGTACTTCAGTAACTGCAAAAGTGCAATTGCGCAAAGGCAAGGGAACAGTAATTTCGCAAATTATCCATTCCTCGATTTACAATTGTAATTACATATTACTATTGAACATCGAGCCGACTGTGTAATAGAAAAATTTTAAAGCGTATAGTTCGACTGGTGACTTTATTATTTTGATTTAAATTTTCAATGGTGAATTCCTTTTCAATGATGACAAATGAAAACGAGTTGCCCATCGAAACTCTTTTTCTTTTCGTAGATAAAATATTTTCGTGCGGATAATTTTTTTAGAATTAGGTCAATGATTTAGACTTGCACTTAACTTTAATCACGAGTAAGCTATCGTAAAGTAACTCATCCATCTCCCTAATGAAAATGCGTCATAACTCATACACAAGGTTCGTATGATTAATCAAGATAACAATAAAGCGTGAATGCGCTCTCTCTCCTCAAGGTAATCAGCCAAACCTCGCCAAGATAAAAGAATGGCCTAAAAGAAAAAGAAAAAAAGTAAGCCAAAGTACAAGAAAAGCGAAGTAAGTCGCAGTAGCGATGCGTCTCTCAGGGCATGTAAACCTGTCTGTTTGAAAAGAATGCGAGGCCGAGAGAGATCGTCTTACACGCGCCCTCGGAAATAAAATCTTAATTCCCTCGAGGCGAATGTCCCCTATACTTCCTTTATACTTTATTTACCGACACATAGCTCTCTGTCGTCTTTCAAAGAGCTTGCTTTTTAATTTTCTCATTGATCGATACTCAAATCTATATTCTTTCAATGTCCAGCACAAATGGCTTCGTATGCATGGTCTTTCATAAGAGGGACGATCACGTGATCGAGTTGCAACAGTCGCAAAATTGGACTCCCCAAGAGGACGGCGATGCGTGCAAGCCCAGCATATTTGACCCCTTATCGGCGGCCTACACCACTTTCATCAGTAAGTACACAAAATTACGCAGAGCTAATTATTTCGTCGCATGCTTGTCGTCGTCAGCGCAGCGAAATGATTATGCAAACTATAGCTAATTCCGTCCAATCATATTGCGCGTGATTCTCATCGCGATAGGCACGGGGATTACTGTGGTAGCCAATTATTAAATTGAAATTATTGAAGCAACGGTATTCTCTCATATAAGCCATTTAGTTGTCGCTCGTATAACTTATAAGGCCGATTACAGTGATGCTTCGTGGTTACGTCAAATGAAAAGTTTTTACATTATTGTTGAAGAAAGATATTCAACAATGCATACAACTGAGAATGATGAGTTGAAAAACTAAACTAAGTTGAAAATATTCGAAATATGTTTAATATTTTCAACTTTCATACTATCCTCAAAATTAATGTAAAAATTACGGTGGACAGATCTGTACTTTTTTTACCCGAAGACTCAAGTAAAATTAATTAAATCACTAACCTAACAGAAATTCCCATCATTACCATAATCCACTGTAGCACGCGCGACAACACAAAGTCTCTCCGAAGCGATACTCTAGCGAGAGAGAGAGAGAGAGAGAGAGAGAGAGAAGTCGATCCTAACTTCCTTAGGCCATAGTGCCGTTGGGCTTCCTTTGAAGCTTCCCTTTTAGACGTCTTGGGAGGACGCGACCGAGCGCACGCGATTGGCTTTGTCCTACGCAAGAATTTTCGGCGTAGGAAGGGAGAGACACACACAGACAATATCCGGCGTGTGCCGAATCAGCGATTTCGACCTTTTCTTCGTGGTGGTGGTAGCTTTCCCAAGGAGTAGGCAGTCGAAAAGCCTTAAGACTTTCCTTACTCTGATACTGTAACTATGATATTATTTCTTAACAGAGTGAAAATAAATTTCAATTTCGTCGAGGAAGTCGATTATGATTTAGACTACGATGTTCGAAAATTTCAAATGAGAATACAAAGTTCGTTTTCTTTGCTAAGATTATAGGAAAGAACGCAAATACAAATTTATCAGCCAAAATCTGGCAATTTTTTGAAAGATCCGTCCCAATTTCCCGTAAAATGTTTGTACGAAGAACGAAAAAGCTCGAATCAAAATTTGCCTTTTACAAAGCGATTACCGCCCGAAGCTATCTTCAACAAGACGAGCTACTCCGCGAAACGCTGATAGCTTAGCTTTTTCTTTTCGTGAGGCGAAGTTATGCAAAACGTGAGTAAAAAGTGTGCTCGTAAAAAGTGTAAAAGGAAAAGGCTCGTATAAGAAGAGACGAAAGATGTCACGTATCCACCGTAAAGTGGAAAGCATGAGAAGACAGCCACGTTATCGCAAATCAGCTACTCTGCATGTGTGCATGTGTGTGTCTCTCTCTCTCTCTCTCTCTCTCTCTCTCTCTCTCTCGCTTGTATTATGCATCGTAAGATCTCTTCGATTTGTCCTCTTACTCGTAAAAAGGAGGTTACTCGTCAGAAGTATAACCTATTGATACGATTATACGATAGAAAACGTCAAACGTATGTATTTTACAATATTTTACTTTCTATACAAACAGTATCCGTAATGTAAACAATAAGAAAAAACTTTCTATATGATTTACTTGACTGACTGACAGAATACAGCATATTATTTTTCTCCATTTAGCCATCTTATGCAAGGCCAAATTTACTCTAATGCAATAACGGAAAAGTAATAAAAGTAAAATTCAAGTGTGTTTAACTTGAATGTAAACGGTGTAATTTACAATAAAGTCTTACCCTATCTTGCCCGTTTGTATAGATGAACGCAACATCTTTTCAAATAACGGAACGAACACAGAAACATTATAAAAAAAAAGTGCACTTAATCAAACCGAACCCGCGCGTTCATTAATTAAAACCACAACGGAAAAACTAAAAAGAAGCAAAATCTTGCATGAATAAGTTCTCGGCGAGTCTCTTGCGACGTAGGTATAATAACCCTATAAAGAAGCGAAAGAGAAGGGCAAAAAACAGGCACATTATAACCAGACGCGTGCGCTGGTTCCCATGAATATCCATCAAGCGCGCGCGGGCTTATCGTTCTTTGCTGGCTGAGAAAAGGACGGAAGTGGAAAGGTAGCAGTGTAAAATTGATACATCGCGCCCAACACACGAGTCGGTGAGGGAGATGCATTTTAATCGAATTAAACGCCTTATATGCACACATTCAAATGTAGACTCAGTGTAGGCTTTATATGCACGACTCGCTATGTAGCGCCTTACACGTGATTCGCGTGCCGATGAAAGTTAGTCGACTACCAGTGTATATTTTGGTTAGTGCGGAGTTTCCATTTCGCGATAGATTAAACCTATTTTCATGCTTTTGCAGGTTGTCCTTTTTTTGTTAATTCCATGGTTCTTATTTGAGTTTATGATGTGCTATATACACGGTAGTATTTCTAAAATCTGAATTTGATATAGCAAGTTATTTTTTTCTCTTTTTTTAGTTAAACAAAAAATTGTCATTGAAACAAATTATTGAAGATTTAAAGGTTCAACTTTTAACTTTTCATTCAATCACCTCTGCCAAATTCTTCCTCAAGCAATGAGTTGTTCTCTGATGCGTAATTCTAAAAGAGCATCTCGGTATATAAAAGACGCGCAACGTACGTACATCTACATGGCATAAAAAGCAAAATGTCGTCAATAAATTTTGCATGTCCCCCGTGCGATGTGTACAAGTCGTTGCCTTGGCTTCTTCCACTTCTTTTTCGGAGCCAGCAGCGCCGCGTAATATATATGAGCCGCCGCGGTATACGAAAAAAAAGAAAAAAAGCCATAGGACATACACACACAACCGAGTGGTAAATGTGTGCGCGAGACGCGCAGAAATATTTCACGCCGTTGTAAATTATAAATGTTTGCAGGTGTATTTTTTTTTACTCTGCGTACCTGGTCGCGATTTATGCGATTAGATGCCTGAAGTGTATTTGATATTTTATACCTTCTTATTTTTAATAAAAGTATTTTCGTTAAAAAGTATTTAATCATTGAATAACTTAAGTTATAATTCTATAAAGACTCAATGCCTCGCTGAAGCTTTTACATCCTGTCATTAACCCATAAAAAACTACTTGATAAGAGCAAAACGTCAATATCTAATATTTATTCATTTAATCTTGGGAAGTAAAATGTATTGTACGCTGCAAAATATTAGACATTTTATCCAATCGACCTTCTGTGTCGACAAAATAATTTATGATTAGTTTGAAACAAGTGTCTTTAAATTATGTACCAACTATACACTTTATATAAAGAAACAAAGGTTTTCAATACACACTATAAGCTAATTTTTCTAACGCGCAATGGCTCCTTTTTAAGCTGTTCCTTTTCCCTTTATATCGAGTTCTTATTGGTGTTATTGCACTCTGAATCAATCTACTTTTTCGATATTCAAACTTATGATAACCTAATATACATATCGAAATGTGTAGTTAATTTAAAAATGCGACAACTCGGGCCAAACACTACTAAATTGGCTGCATATTACCAAATTCATTGCATTAGAACAAAATATTGAGGATGTTCTATACCTACATCATAACGAACAGATTTTCTTCAAACTTAAACATATGTTTTATTACTGTGTCTCGAAACACCCATGAAAATTTCTAGTCGCCTAGATAATTGATAGCAGAGAAAATAATAAGCAGTTTTGTAATGCACTAGTTTTTATATAAAAAGTAATGTTTATTTTGGACGATAATAATTTTACGCGTGAATAACACATTTTCAACCTTTGAAATGTCATCTATGATTATACTTTGTCCAGTTTTCTTCATTGCAAAATTATTTCAATTACGTTATTTTAACCTTGTTATTGAGATATGAAGGATTGATATTAAATACCTAACGGTGCTGTGGATACACCCGGAAATATTTTTTTTTTAATAAAAAAAAATGTATTTGATTCGTTGATTCGTATAGTTGTATGCTCATTTCCAATACATAAAAGGTTTCAAAAATTACGAAATATCATATTATCAATACAGCTTTACGTAATACTCCATTTTACCGAGCTGTTATCGGAAGAAAATTGGAACTTGGAATAGAAAATAAACTATTGCTATAATTACAAAACTGTAGTTAAACAATTATGGACGTATGACATTCAACTACGGAGTATCACTTCAAACGCAAATATTCGAACCCTGAACAAATTTCAATCGAAAGTCCTACGTAATATCGTACAAGCATCATGATTCGTCTCAGACGAAATTATCCACCATAATTTATATGTACTATCAGAAAAAGAAGATATTAAAACGTTCTATGCAAAATAAAATATCAGATTATAAAATTACCCAAATAAATTAATTAGCAATGTTCTTAAGTTATCCGCCACTAAAACCAGACTTAAACATAAATTTATGAATGCATTTCCGTATCCTGCTGGGTCACATGTAAATATATCCTTATAGCGATTGACTTTACTTGTTGTGTGACTGTGTTAGACAGTTTGTAAATAACCTTGAGTAATATAAAAAAAGCTGAGCTGTACTGGCGCTAAGTAACCTCCTTAAAGAATTAGAAATAACTAAAATAGGCTGTTGCGCGTAGAAAATTTTTTCCAGTCGAAAACTATTATATAATTAATTGAAGCGCAGGGGAACTGCGTAATAAAAACAAATATTTATAACACTCAAAATATTCATCAAGTTTTTTTCTCGTCTCAGAATTTACACTGGATAAAAGGCCGATGTACGTGACTAATACTTTTTTATAAAGAACACGCTCAGAAATTTTCAGTTCAGTTAGCTTTCAACGGGGTTGATACTCTCCTTTCAAGCATCGTAAGACACAAGCCTACGATCGCAAACAAAAATTTGATATTGCCCATCATCTCTCGACAAGTATCGGAAGAACACACACATACACTCAACATTCTTGACGCGAGCATATGAAATTTATGATGGTCGGGGGAAGGGCCAAGATCCACGCGTAAAAGCCGTGCAGGCGGTGGCCAAGTGAAGAACTGGAGCGAGGCGACGTCAGCGGGGGATTGACGTAACGACAGCTTGTCTATAAGCTCAAGTTTGCGCGCGCGTGTACGTTGGTGGAACGGCAAATCGATTTATACGCGGATTATCGAGCCTGCTCTCTGTGATGCTTAAGCGGCGCGTTGGATTAGGCTTTCAATTTTCATGCCGGGCTCACTTCGTGTGTGGCGGAATTATGCTTGTAGGCGAGAGACATCGTGCACAAAGAGATTATTTTCGCTCGGCGAAATATCGTCAAAGCTTAATGCTGCCTTCAATATTTTCTTTTTGCCGAGAGAGAATAAAATCTATTTTCACCTATTGAATCTGTTCGTTTATTTATGGTACTTTTATTCGCCTCCCGTCATCGCTACACTTCAGGGGACATTCAGTTTCGTCGTTACTCGTTACTTATGGATGTCTGACATTTGTATTTCGAAGATCTTGAATTATTTAAAAAGGTTTCTGTCTGAATCTTGACAATAACCACTATCGAAAAGTAGCTGAATCTGTAAATGGCACTCGGTGCTTGTATCGTCAATTCATTTTCCCATTTTATTAACAGCAATGGAGCCAATGACGAGACAATGCCCGCACTTGGGTCGTTACGACGTGGTGTTTGTAACGAAGCCACCGAGTAACGACTACAACGACCTATGGCCACCGCGAGCTGAGAATGTTGCTGAGATGAGAGCGGCTAAAGCGACAACGACGCAGTTACCAACCCGTTGTCTTCACACGAGCGTTGAAGGTCTCAGTATTGGATGCACTAAGCCTGACATCATGGAGTTCGCTACTGACTGCACGGACAAAGCACTATTTAGTAAGTGTCCTTTTTGGATCGTATTACGGCCAATTAAGATTCGTCGGGTTTTGTCTGATACGATGGATAAGTTTTTTTGTCAATTCGATTAGGAAATTGCATCGAACATTAGGCGAAAAATGGGATAATTTAATAGAGTTTAGAGACTATAAAATAAATTTTAATATAATATTATAATAGATTCATTCTACCGGGTTACAACTTCATTAAAAATACATATGCATATCCCATTTACTTATTATCGATGTGCTCTTAAATATTCTTATCAATTTCATTGGCTCGTTAACCACGTAGAAACTTCGCTGAAATAGATGCGATTGATCGGGTTAGCCTAGTTCGAAATAGCATTACTCGAAGTAGAGTGTACAACAGAAAAAACGATTGCTAAAAAACTTTTCTAACTGTCCTACTATTGGACATTGATTTTGTAAAAGATACTCTGCTAAATTTACTCTCACAAGTGCATGCGAATGGTGTCAATTAAAATTAAATTCCGAGCGATCGGCCTTCCGTTTCAATATCGTTATCATTAAATTTCCAAAGAGAAATCAGATTTTAGATTTTTCGTACTTTTCACCGCGGATGGATTAATGAATCAAGGGTTAAGTGAAGAAACAGCCAAAATACGATATATAGACCATGAATAAGGTAAGCCCGATAGCCGCAGCTCCCTCTCTCTCTCTCTCTCTCTTTCCAACAGTTTCGGCGTCGGCGTCTTATCGGATTACCCTTCGACTTTCGAGAGTGGGAAAGAGACCCCCTCTGGAGAGCTTGCAATAGTTAGTCTGCGGCTCACTCTCTTGAGAAGGAGGAGAGAGACCTTTCCGCCCGGTTTGCTGATGGACATCGTGTAGCTTCCCTCTCTATCGCGCGATTAATTGATTCGCCGAGAGGAGTTCGCTGCTGCTGTATGCGGCGACGCCGGCCTTTTCACCCATGAGAGAGAAGGGTTTTCGAGTGCATTTGCAAGCGTGTGGTTTCCTTTGGTTTTCTAATTAATTCCTCGAATTTCTTGCTGAAGATTTCCTAGCTGAGAAATGACTGACATTTTCTGGATTGATCAATTTTTATTTGACGACCAATAAAATACTATTCGCATTCACGTTAAGATTAAAAAAATTTTCTCTTTGTCATTCTTCTGATGATGTAGTATATGTTTTTTAAGACATTTCCTCCTGATTTTCCAACGTTATTTTGGTTCATCTGTCACAACTTAAATTATTACACTGCTTATCGTTAATTAAAACCATTTAGTCATCACTGAAAGTATACTTCAATTGTTCATTGATTGAAATCCTTCATTTGTTAATTTTTATATATTTTATGCTGTGCAGAAAGATACGCTTCATATTTTCAATATTTCAACACTTTAGGTTTGTCACATAACGAAGTGAAGAATCTTTTGATAAACATTACATGTAGGAAATAAAGGAAAACGCAAGTATTTAAACTTATTCTCGGTACATTAATCTTCATTGAACCGAAAAATATCGTAAATGTATAGTAAAGCAAGTCTGTGTAAACTTTTTTCAGGAATATTGAAAAGAGCAGTTTAATCTCGTTTAAGCAAAAGAAAAGTAAAAAAAGCCGAAAGAGCAAAGTTAACTTGAATCCTCTCGCCGCAAAGCCTTGAGACGTGACTGTTTTTGAGTGGCCACGCGTGTGTGTGTGTGTGCATGTGTGGTGTGTGTGCATGTGTGGTGTGTGTGCACGAGCGCCGGTGACATAACTTCCAATGACTGGCGAATGCCGGAAGCGCGCGAGCGAACAAAATAGAGCGAAAGAGAAAAAGAGAGTGGTGTAGAAGGGAATTCGGTACATGTATCGGGCGACACGAAAAATCGAGTTTTGCGCTATTTTTAACGAATCGCCGACAGGGAAAAAGTTTATAAATGTGAATACGAGTGCGTGGGTAAAATTCCAGTGCTACTTTTTCGTAGTTGAGGAAGCGAAATATATCGCTGGCATAACTTTCAGGTTCGGCGATGGTTATAAATTCAGTTATAAATAAAATATTTCGTTCGCATATAGTTTCGATTCACCTTCTGCACTTTCGCTCAAAATAATCAAAAATATTAGAAATAATTGAAACCGCCCAAGAGAAATGTTGTCTATTGTGCGCTAGTCAGGCTTGCAAATGTTATTACCTAAAAACATATAGAACAAATGCAATCAGGCTGGGAATCCAGATCAGTCTCTGTCGAGGGTTTCAGGCATTGGTCACATCGTCGAGCTCGACAAAACGCAAACAAAGCGATGCGAACGTGGGCAAGAACGTATATATGATTTCGATATGACTTTGGCGTGATACAGCGTTAAGAACGCGCATAAACCAGCGAGCAGAGTTGCTTTGATTAAAGATTAGGTCTTTCCTCTCTTACCGCAAAGCCGGTTATATCGGCGCGAGAGGAGGGCTGTTTGCACGAGGCATTAGCGTGCTGCTCGGGCTCTTTCCATTCGCAACGAGAGCGAGTTTCGTCTTTGCCGATATCACGCAGCCGCCACGGGCTTAATCTCTCCGTGTATTTAGGCCACTCAAAGGAAAAACTAGTCGAAGCCATTGCTCTCTCTCTCTCTCTCTCTCTCGCTCTGTACGTGCACCTAATGTTTTGCTTCCACGGCGGACTTCCGCGAAGAGCGATGTATCATAGAGCTTTTTCCCTTCTTGGGATTAACGTTCATTTTTCAAGTCACTGCAAGAAGTCAAAAAAAAAAAAGAAGTTTTATGTGGTGGCAAAAGCTATTCAAATTTATTTATAAACGTCAGAAAGCATCGGACAAAATATTCATGCTTTGCTTTTATCCTTGGACCTTGAATTATTGACGAGAAGCCATTAAAATGATGAAATGTTCAGTATTAGATAATTGATAATTTTGCAGAATATTCATGTCACGGCACATGGGTGGAAAATGACACGGGTTATATAGTGGCAAGTACAGAGGCGAATCGCTACTGTCTTGTGTACAGCGCATCGGCAACAACGACGTCAAAGTCACCGTTGAGTCGAGAGTTAACTATCACCGGTCACCTGGCCTCTTGTCCAAGGGCCTCGCATTTACACAAACACGAGTGGCAAGTCAATCTCACGGCCTACAGTAAGTATTCGAAGGCAACTCACGCAATCACAAAGTAGCAATAAATTTGTCAATGATTTATTGAAAATGATTATCATTTTTAGCACAATGTGATGACGTTTCATCAGCATCGAATTGGCGGTCGTCAGGTTCCTCACTGACAACGCACATGGTTCTCATAATCGGCGGTCTATCAATACGCTACTTGGGAAGGTGATACTTCTGTTACTAAACGTGAGGAGTTTTCACCCACATCTTTTCGCGGCGAAATACGTTTTTTCGATGCGGCGTGGAGATTTTTTTCTGTTATGCTTCGCGCGCGAGTTGGATTTTCAATCGTGGAATAAAGTGAAAAAAGACGCAATGAGATCACTTAGGGACGATTTACTTGCGAAAGTGGCAGGTTCCTTTTTGAGGATTTTCGCTGGATTTTCCAAAGGAAGATTTAGCGCACCTCGGCTGGATTATTATTTTCTCTTTTTTCTTCTTGACGAGATCGTGCGTATAGAGACGTGATTATAGAAACGAAAAAATGCAGTAAATTCCGGCTGTGATCACAATCAGGAACAGCGTTTTCAGATTATTTATTCGTGTTTTTCACTATTTCTAGTCTGATGCTTATTGTGTATAATTTTATGAGCGTTACTCATTTATAATTTATCTTCTTGTATACGAACTTTAATTGATCCAAAAGTAGAAACCACAATACCTTTTGTATAGTCAAGTACTGTTATTCCATTCAATAATCCAAAAATATTCAATCAAAATTCCACTAGCAGCTTGAAACTAATTGTTATCGATATAGTTTACCGGTTAGTACAGATAAGATTTTATTCAGCATATTACCAAAAAAATTTATTGGAATAATTGATACGTTATTAGTCATATAAAGAATAGAGAATACGAAAACTATGAGATATTCAACCAAACGAAAAGAAGCAAAAGCAAGCGCGTTCGCGTCGATTTGTAAGAAAATAAAATCTTTGTGAGCGGTACTCAGATTAGCTGTCAAACGGATGGTGCAAATGTTGCTCTTGTTTGGCGCACATATCAGGTATAACATCAACGAAATCAAGAATACAAATATTATATTGTAAATCGAAAAGAGATAAGAATATTATAAGCAAAAAAAGGCCATTGACTAGATAATATCCTCGGTGCGAACGTGCCTTAAATTCCATAGGAACAACCAATTAGGGTAATGGGGCCAAATGTTATATGGATTTGCAAATATCGGTTATAGTTCAATGAAAAAATATGCAAAATAGGTGATAGCTAGTATAGATTCATTTTTGAAAAACAAATTTAGAAGGATGAAAAGAAACACCGTGATTTTAGAATGATAAAGCTGATCAAGATTGATAAACTGCCACATTCGCAAGTGAAATAAATATACGATATTCCTAAAGACTTATTGTGAAGAGAGGAACTAGAGCGATATGTAAAATACTAATTAGATGGCAAACTGAAGTACAGTTGTTGAAATAATTGCTTGTATGTATGGACACAAAATTGTATATCTCTTCGCATATACTTCAATACAGACAAATTAATGATTATCAGTTGATTTTCTTAGTTATTGTATGACGGTATTTTTAAATTGGTGAAATGATTGTTAAAGATGAAAATTGAAAAAAGCTTGAATACATCATTAAAAACTAATAATATTATGAAAACAACTATATCTATCTTTCAATTATCTTGATAGATAATAATCTTTACGGAATAGTTTGAATTATTTGTTTCGTAACTTACGTTTTTCTTACTTTTATGAAGCGTGCACTGACATATCGACACACACGTAACTGAAAATGTATAAAGTGAAGTAAAAAAAACAGTCAAATTGTAATAGAAAAAAATTTTATCTTAGAATAGGCAAAGATACTTACGAACAAAAAAATATTAAGTATTACTAATGATGACTTTGTGAAGGTCATCGTTTATTCTTAATTGCACTGTAGTCAAACATAAGTAAGAGTAAGATTCGCTTCGCACTCCATAGCGAAAAGCATAAATATTTTTGATCTAAACTATTTTAATGAAACAATGAAAGCCGGTCTTTTCTGCAGGAAACAAAGGAAGAATCGACGACGACTATTGTTATGGTCAAACGTCGTAAATATTCGGTGTTTGGCTATAAAACTGTACACTACTAGATAATGTGAATGAAAACTATGTAAGCTCGGAAATCTTGACACCAAATATCGAACTGCCTAATTCTAATTTTAGTTACAACGTCAACTTCGTTTTATTTTAATTTATATATATTTCATATATACTTTAGTAAACTATTTGTACATTTTCTTTCTGTAATAATGACAGAAAATAGATATTAGATTTTTAAAATATCATGTATAGATACTTTAATTATAAAGAGAATTGCATGTTGAGTAATGTTAACGGCTTTTAATTAAAATTTTCTACACCTGTAAATAAAATGTAAATGAATGTTTTAGAGTCAAGATTTCGTAGATTTATCGATTTAAGGCTGTACATAATATTCCCGAAAATTCTACAGTAGCAAAGATAGTTAATAATTTTGCGATATTTTAGAGATAAGACTAAGAAAATACGTTACCAAGATATCCGGACTGTAAAAGAAAATCTTTGTAAAATTCTGTTATTTAAATAAGTGTACGAAAATTTAAAAAAATGTATAGTTATAAAAGAATTTTGTAAAAAATTTAGTTGGATTCAGTGTTATTTCTTGTTTGTGAATTTCTATTGGCAACATTAATTAACAATCATAATTTTATAACTGAAAAATTGTTTGCAACAGCAATAGACATGACTGGAAGTTTTCTTATATGAAAAGCAATGAACGTTATTACCGTCTTTGACACAGCAACAAGTTAGAAATCTTGTAAAAACTAAATAACAGTATAGTATAACTAAAATAAGCTCGTAATATTGCACAAAAATGTTCTCATCATTCTTGTGATGAATAAACTATTTCGAAATTTACAAGGAATCGAATTTTCGAAGTATCAAATATGTGAAAATAAACAATGAGTGTTAAAATAAAAAAATCAAGCTTTTATGATTTTCACACTTTTATTTTTATTAGTAATAATAGTATCTTGTTTAGATTATTCAGAAATTTTTCAAAAATTAATCATCTTCTAATATTCCTACTATATCACCGACCCGAAATATATTTTATTATTTATCAATTATTTATATTAAATTAAAAAAATTTCTATTTAATAGGTTTGTATTATTTTTTTATGACTAATATTAAGGGAATGGTTCAAAAACGCAGCACAACGATCATTGCCATTTTTAGTCTCACAGCTAATATGATAAATATTAATCCATTTTATAAAAAAAAAGAGTTATCTGTAATGGCTGGATAACGAAAGAAAATTAAAGTGTATGATAATTTTATTTGCAAACAGAAAATAACAAAAAAACAGAAAGATTTATACTTGGAAAAATCGAAAATCTATTCATACTGAACGTTTTATTATTGGATTGAAATATTACAATGATACCTATGAATATAGATGGTTTTTCATTATTATACTATAGATGTTAATAATATATTTACAAACAATTAATCAAATCTTGTATTATTTATTCATCCTACCATACAAAATTAAAAAGTCATATACTTTGTTCAGTTCTCTATTTATAGTATTTCTAAGATAAGATTAATTATGATTACCCATGTTCATTATTACAATATGACAATCAAAAATAATGTTATCCATTAAGAACAAAATTACATTAAAGTTGTATGCGTTGAATTTACTTCTTATATTATTTTCAAGTCATAGTATTGTTTTATATCCGCATCCATCTGTTGAAGTTTTAACGCTAAAAAAATCAATTACAACAATAGCAACAAACTCTAAATTTTCGATTTCATTGTATGATAGGTAAATAGTAAATCACTAAACTAGTTTTTAAGAACTAGTCAGTATTTTTTAGAATACGTCCAGCAATCATATAATCAGAGTTACAATTTAAGAGAACCTTAAACATTGAACAATGAGTTGTCATTCTAACGTATAATAAAAAGAAATACATGAATTATAATTACTTTTTAAATACGTTTGATTAGTGACCATTGATAGACATTTTCGGTTAAAATTAAATCACTTTCCACATCTATTTACGAATAACAATAAACTTTGACTAGAAATAAAAATATAAATGTATAGTTATAAATATTAGACTAGAATTAGATTAATATTTTCGTAATAAATTACAGTTGATTTCTATTTTTCCTTTTCTAGATTCACTTTGATATACCTTACAGTTTTAATAACTATAATTCATATTGTTTTTTTATGACAATAAATAAATTACTGAAATTGAAGATTTTGCTAATCTCCATTCTTGCCGCTTGAATATTATAAAGAATCGGTATCAAAAATTTGAATGATTCTTATATCTGATGTCGTAAATATTGGAAAAAATTATGTAAGATTCTCTTCTACACAAATTCACGCACTAAAAAATATCTTATATAAACATTGTAACTTTTAATTTTCCCTACTGTTAGCAGCGTTAAATTGAAATGGATTGCCGTTTAAAATGACAACTGGCGTTGCAGGTGTGGGTAAGTATGAGGAACTTCGATGATGAGCCATAACGAGTTCCTTGGTGTTCTTTTCAGGCTTCATTAGGACAATGTAGATCTTTGGAAAGAACAAGCAGCCAAGTTGAACAAAAGCGCTCAGCGAAAGCGAGAGAGCTAAAGTAACTACACGAATAGCGTTACTCGTTGAAGCCAAGTACAAAGGAACGAAGGCGAGCCATAAGATCAGCGTTGTGTAATTGGTAAAGGCAATGTAACGCGTCTCATTAAAACCTTCTGGACATTTCCGTGTTTTCACAGCATAAATCGTGCAGATCACTGTAAGAACATAATTTTTAAAGTTAGAAATTAAATGATATTATGGAGTAGCTTCGGATATGAGAAACATTTCGTAATGAAGAAATACAGATCAAGATAGGACGTTCACTCTAAATATTTATCAATTTCAACAAAGTAATAGAATCATTTGAACATAATCAATTTAATACTTTGAACAATATTTCAATACAAATAGAGATTCTTAACGATGACATTTCTCTTTTACTAGAGGTAGCTCGTTTACTTTATATATTTTAAATTCTTACCAATAAGAATGAAAGGATATATTAACCCGATCATATACGATCGGTCGTCGAAGCCTTGACAAATCCTCAAACGAACATCCCTTGTCGGAAAAGTGTAAATGGCAGACGGTGGCGCCTTCAGCAACCAAGTGCCATTTATCAGAATCTCGATGACGATAAGGATGCACGTTATTATCAACTGAGACCTGGGACTAGTATACCTACATTAGATAAAAACTATTATGAATATTAGTTAGAAAACTCGAATAAAGTTTCTTATTCTTAATAAGTAGATGAAGCTATAAGAAAAGAGTTTTCAAAACACATCTTTTCCTTTGGCTAATGTTTTTCAGAATTTAATCGCAGCTTGAAAGAGTGTAATAAAACAATTACATATTTCCACCGTAGATACGTATTTCAATAGGATTCTAGTACAAATCGAAAAGTTCAACTGTTTATATCTTAGTTCCTTTTATTATAAGTACTCTTTAAATCCAAGAGAGTTTTTCAGAAGTTTTAGATAATTTAATCGAAAACAAAAAATTTGTATAATTTTTATTTACATAGTTTTTTTATCAAAATCATTTGACTTGCACCTTTCGAGAAAGCGTTTTTAATAAATCGTCTATTTTTTGTAATAAAAAAGTTTCGTTGAAAAACTAATATACATTTGAACGACGCATTATCAGTCGATCTCTTATCTTGCATAATCTAAATTATGCGATTGACCAACAGATTATCAAAATACAGTCGCAATTGTATCAAATCATTAACGGGGTAGTAGCAATCAATCACCCGTCAGCATCCGTACTCAAACAAAGCTTCATCATCATCAATGACCTGTTCGAAATGTAGGGTTATTCACATGCCACACCTTGGTTTATGCGGGCTGTTGGTGGCGTTGTTGAATATGCGGTGGATCCTGTTGGTCTTGGTAACAAGGGCGGCATAGCACAAGGTATAACATAACCCAATGCCAAACCTCGTGATAGCGCAAGTCTGCGTATTGGGCCTGGCGATAATGGCGAAGGTCATTATGAAGGAAGCTAAAGTACCAATTAACAGCAACGATGACAACTCGCGACCTGACGCCTTGATTATTGGTGTCTCGCTGTATATCCAAAATGTGCACAGAACGAAAATTGTTGACATTACGCCTGAATATGAAGATACAAATGCTTTTTAGTCGCATAGTATTATTAAAGTGAATGTGTTATTTTAGTATTATTTTAATAATTTTTGATTGTATAAGGAAATGCAGTACATCGTCATTGAGATGCTGATTTTCTAATTAATTTTTCCTCGTCTCGTTATACTTTTTCAAGCGCACGCAGCAGTGATTGGATACAATGATTAGTTTTGAATACTTTTCGGAAAAGATTCATTCTGCAAGGCCGACATTTGAAACATTTTATATTTTGCTGTAAAACAAACTTGCCGAAAAATAACATTACTTAATGATCTTCCAGATACTCTTACCAGAAAGCTTTTTCTAGAAAACTTTACCAAAAGCGGATTTTTAAATTTAACACAAAAACCAGAAAGTTTATCTAGTAGAGTATTTTCATTGGGATTTGAACGCGCTTAGAAGTAATATATTCAATCCGACTATGTATTCCACTTAAGCTGTCAAAATAAAGTGTGATTTGTTGGCCGAAAAGGTCACCAGCTAGGTCCACTTGCTCAATGTATTGCCCTTGTATGTAGGTTTTGCTTCCCCTCAACGGTTACATTTCATTCAAAAGTCGAAGCCGCTCACGAGATGTTTTTTATCATTAAAATTGAAATATACAAGAATAATATGCGCATGATAAATAGCAATGCAGAAATAACGAGCCGAGAAAAAATTATAAGCTTCTAATAAAATTGTCGCACTGAACCATTTCCAAAAACAAAAACTTTTCTGTATCCTTGATTGAAGTCATTCGTGTAATGAAACGGTCAAATTTTTTCCTTCGATAATATTTCACTTCGGCCAATATTTGCATTACACGGCGATGTGAGTCGTTTTTTTCCTTTTCTTCTTGCGAGCTTAGTACGATGGGTACTGAATTTCAATCAATAGCGTTTTCCAACATAAAATTGATCAGGACAATTCTCATAAAATTTTCGGAAAAATGAAGAACAGCGTCGACTTCGTTCTTATATGATTCGGATACACAAATGTTTTTAGTATATAATTATGCAATGGTATGTTTGATATATTAAAATGGCCAACAGAATTTGATAATAATCCTATAGAAATGATAATAAATGTATGTATTCACTAATTTCGATAAAACTCGATCAGAAACACTGTTGAATGTTGATATATATTTTTATATTAATTTAAGTTAGATACGTTTATAGTTTGATTCATGTCTACTATGATTATATGGTAATGCAGAAACGCTAAATTTATAACCAAATCTCTATTAAAAACTTTAACTCACCAATGAAAGCCACAGCCATAGCAATAACAGTCCAGGGACTACTATAGTCGACAAACTCTTCGGGTATGGGCACGCAAGCTGTTTTGTCATACGTAGGTCTTGTCCCCCAATCGCAATCCTCGCATCTGTGGCTGTCCAATTTGAACTGATACAAGCCGCAATTGCGACAACGCCAGCAACATGCATCTTGTTTTTCCCGTACTTTCACTTGATCAGGCTTGCAAGGACTCGCACAAGTTGAATTAGGAAAAAACCGTCGACCGCCTTTCTTTTGACTACGATACTTCATTATACGTGGTTCCAAATGTAATACTGGGCTGCCGTTTTCCGACTCTATATTGTTTTCAATTAGAAGTTTCAGTGTTTAATTTAGATTTTCATGAATGCTAAATTTATACTTAAGAACTGTTCTTGTTTTGTATGTACAAAATGCGTGGTACGTTATACATTTGTAGAGAGCGGAACGTTGGCAAGGTAAGAGCGTACAAATTGACGCTCAAACCGAAAGGGAGAGTGTCTAATATGCGAAGCAAAGTAACATTTTATCTCTGTAGGTGCGTGTACATATGTACTATTTTTTGAGTCAGCAAAAACGGAGATTCATTTTGACAATTTCAACACTAGATTAAAATATGATACTATCAATCTTCTCGGCGAACAAAAAAGTTTATATAAAGTTTTCGTTTGAAACTACCTCAAATTACGGATTTTTCATGAAAATAAACTCGTTACGTACATCAAACTAAAGTACGTAATTACTTATTTTCCCTATAATTAATGAGTTTCGAAATTTAATTTGATGCTTAATTATAACAAATATAAATCAGCAATTAACTGAGCACAAAGTTAATTTGCAATTGGGATATTTGAAGCTTAAAAGCAACGTACAGGAAAATAGTTTCAAAATCAATATTCCTATAATTGTAGAAATTGAATAAAAAATATAAAATCTAGTTTTCCCAATAACTATATGTTCATAAAAATGAAACAAGTAAACTATATTGAAAAAACATGTATTTTATTCATCGTAATACAAAAATTCTATGCCTTTCATTTCATTTTATTTCAAAGCTTTTGGTGACCTTTAATAATTAATTTTAAACGGAATCATAATGTATTTTTTCATTATAGACCATTTCATTGTAGACCAATATTATTTTGTCACATTGTAGCTCAAATATTGTTTTTATTTTTGCAATCGTAACCTCAGCCAAATATTAATCATAATATTTTTAATATATCTACCTCCGTAATTCTTCAAGAATTAACTTAATCAATCTATAGACTTTTTAAATGAACGTCGACACTATTATTGCTAATCTACATAAAGTAAGTTGAACAATGATAAAGTAAAATAATGCGAATATAACATCAAACTTTTATATGAACTCAGAACAGAAAAGCAGAAAAAAACCCAGTAAGTGGATAAAAGTAATTTGAATTTGAATTGAAATTGAACAAGTAAAAGAAACACGATAACTCACGCGTGTAATTTCCCACGACATGCCAACGGTAGGATCCATCGGTGCCCCTCTGGTAGTTAAGAATCGAATATCTCGGTGGACCGTCACCACCATTCATGAATCTGAATTTATTGCCTGCCTCGTCTGCAAATGTACCATTTTTTTCGCAACCTTAATACCTTAGTTGAGCAGTGAAAGGCATTTAACTAAATGAATGACCTTTAATTAAATGTTTAATTGAAGCGAAAAGCGAGATAACAACTGAATAACTCAAATTGAATAGGTTTTCTTGTAATTATTCTACTAAAAACAATGTACCGCCCTCTTTGATAGAATCCTATTACTGTCATCTTGTATTTTTCAGCGGTTTGAATTGATACTATAAATATTTGTAAATGAAAGTTATGTGAGTACATTCGTATTTTTGTGAGTTATGTAAAATTATAAACTATAAATTATATCTTTTGATCAAAGCACTATTACTATTTGAAATATTTACACATAAATCTATTTCTTTTCGAGTTACCCTTAAAAACAACAGTTTTCGTTTATGTGCAGCCAAGCTGAACGCCGAGCAATCAAATAAAAGCCAACTCTGTTGTGTTTGAAAACCAGAATAAAAGCAACAGTGAGTATTTACGCAATAAAATTCATGGAGACTAAAAAATAAAAGCTCCGCTCAAATAGAGAAAATACAGCGCATTTGCGTTCATGCGACTAAACGAATTGGCCTTACCTTTGAATGAAACGTTGGCGAGATAGTTAGTGAGTATAGCACCGTCGATGTGTCCCAATGTTTCGCACATACCCTGATACTCGTGGCCGCAACGCTCGACAAACAGGTCATGCAGAGCGTAAGCCACCGCATATACCGCGTCCCGTACGAAATGCACGAACTGCTGCTGCTTGTAGCCCGTCTCATGGCTAATTCGTCTCTTCGACACGTCCCCGCAACCGGAGACGTGTAAGACCTACCATTAAAATTGTTTATTTCTTGTTAGGTCTTTCTAGACTTTGTTGCTTTAACCGGTCAATTATTTACAAAAAATTATTTTATTGGTTCGCATTTTTTGATTTTTGATTATATATTTATATATTATATACTGTATATTTGAATACATATTAGATATTATATTTTTTATACAATTTTTGATTGCTACACAAATGTTATAAATCTATCAAACTGATTATAATATTTAATATAAACATTTTTAAAAAACTGTTTGAATATACATTTATATACTCACGTAGATTTATGATTATATTTATTATTATTGATTATTAGATCTTCCCGATATTAACTTAATATATCAAAAGACTCATAAAATATTCAGCAATTATAATAATTTATACTCGCCTCGTCATAATCAACGCTAGACTCGGTAACATTGAGATTATCGCAGTGATGATAAGCCTGCCAAAATTCTCGAAACCATGGATTTACAGTTTTGTGTTCGATCGTCAAATTTGTAAAATACTCATCGAATCCAATCATTGTCCGAGATAACGGTTGAACTGCGAGTGCACCTTCAAGAACAACTTCCTTAGCGTCTTTATGTCTTCCAGGATTAAAGAAGTTACGATGATTGCTCGTCGACCAAGCATCACTGCCAATCCATACGTAACGTGTACCAACACCCAAACGTCTTGCTGCCTCCATCACATATAGCGTCGCTATCTTTTCCGCGAATATAACCACTACTGTTTGAAAATATAACAAGAATGAGTTGGCACGGCAGACCAAAAATTTTGAAGGTGAATTGTACGTTTAAAATTTCTCTCTCTCTCTCTCTCTCTCTCTCTCTCGCTAGCGGGCTTTAAATAGGGAAATGTTAAAGGCTCCCCAAGTTACCTATGAGAATTCAGCAATAAATGCATTAGCATGAGTAGGTCGCGACTTGATGCGAGATAAGTCAAAAGTTGGTCAGTTGCGTTTCAGAAAGTTTATATGAGTATATCACTGTTCATACAAGTATCATAACAATTTGTAATTGTATATTTCTATAAGAACTTTGATTTTATATTTGATGGATCGGCAATAAACTATTCCAAACTATAAACCATTTCTAGGACACAACAAATACCGAAAACGCCATTGGAATATGCATACCCGCAAGAAGTTAGCATTTCATAATTCACGTACGATAAATAATTTAAACACATTTATGTTAATATGCTAAACGTTTTATGAAACCACGCAGCAGACCGACTATTATTTAGAACTGATCTCTTAGTACAGGATATGCGACAGTTCGTTGTGAATTTCGAACCGAGAATGAAGGATTACCGAAATGATCGCATCCATTGTCCATTTTATAAACAATTCGATACGCATGTGAAAAACTTTGTTTTTTCATAAATATTATTTTTTCGAATTTCTCGTATCATATACTCGTCACGATGTAGTCGACATAAGCGGATTACTATACTGTTACCTTACACATGAATGTACAATGTGTACTTTACAAGATTGCTATGCTCAAGTTATGTTGATCTTGACTTTGCCTTACAACTACACGCCATGTGCTTATGCTCCGAGCGGTAGTATTAGTTTTGGAATTTTCGAATGTATATTTAGAAAGAATAATATATTTCAATTTTAAAATAAAGACCAACAATACTTGATAATTTGATCTAATCGACAGAAATGAAAAATAATATTTGCGATGTAGAAAAGCTATAGTTGAAACAATCGTTAAAAAGAAACTGTTTCATAGCAATCATTTTGAAGAAAAAAATATTGCTTTACGAAAAGGAGCAGCGTAATTTTATGGTCATCCATTTTACACTCAAATATGTTTTAATCTCATTTGATATTTCATAAAAATATATAGGCAAAATTACGCACGAAAAATAATACTTTGAAAATTCACCATCACTTTTGTCGACTCTCTCTTTCTCTTCCCTCTCAAAAGCGCAAAATTTTAAACCGATGCCTCGTAAAGTAAAGCGCCCGAGCAAATAAAACCCACTCAGAGCGTAAGAAAAAGGGTATACATAGACGCGTGGAAGTGACCGTAAAAACCGCGTAGGAATCTTACGCTAGAGGTCCATAAAAATATCTCTCTCGTAAAAGTACATGCAAAAAAAAAACTTACCTCGAACTTCAGTTTTGTTGGCGATGGTTCTTATAACATTGTCATAATCTTCGGGACTGAATCTTTCCGTGTCGATGCGTTGAGGCGCAGAGAAGCAAATTGAATATTTACTTGCCAAATCGACAAGAGTTTCATAACCATCATTGCCATATTCCGTGCCGGAGTATACTACTGAGACGTAAGTCCACTCGAACTGTCTGTTATAGAATAATAAATAATTGTGTCTCGCATTAATGATTACATTGTAGGTCACGATTGATCTTTTTCCTTTCTTTCTTTTTTGGTTCGTGTTTTCCAAGGACGTGAATTGGGGAAGAAGACAGATGAGTTGTTTGTGGTCATACAGAGGAATTGGCTGTGTTAACATAGGTTTTGTTTACTTCGCCCCCCCCCCTCTGCCCCGCATAAGCTTTTATGTTTAGTTTCAGAAAAAATTAATTATTTATGACGGTACGTCTGTCTTTTTACTTTCAATTTATGATTATTAAATTTCCAGAACCTCGATTGTAATTGATTAATAATTCATTGTATTATCATCAACCGTATAAGTATTGGAATAAGTTGATTAATATATTACAAAAGTTAAAAGATTCATATTAAGAGACGACGAAGTATCAGCATGATTTTAAATAAAAATTAATGATTATCAGCATTGAACAAAATTTAAAATATCTCTTTTACTTGTACGTTTTTTTAATTACCTGTTTTGATTAAAATTTTTTAATAATATTCATGATTGAATCTCATTTCGTACATCGAATAAAGCGAGTTGTTTACACGTTTCACGTTCTGATTAAACATAAAATACTATAAAAAAAATTGTTTCTCACTGAAATACATCATAATACATTGTTTTAAACGAAATTAAAAGTAATAACGAAAAATGAAAACATGATGAAATAGCAGCGAGCAATATCAACTGCTTGGTACTTGGCAAAAAAAATCATTTATAACGTAATAAAAAAGAGAAATAAAATAGAGAACTGAAACAAAGCGTGAAGAAAAGCAAAACCAATTTACTTGAGAATCTCGAGCATCGCGTGTGCCTGATTGACGTCGCTCGGCACCGTCCTGAAGAAGTGCGGGAAGCGTTCCTTACTGCTAAGTGACGGAGTTGTGGCCATGTATGAGATCTGTGGTACTGCGAATAACCTCAACATCGACGCCACCTGTGAGCCGGAAAAAGAGAGCAAAGGGAAACGGTCACTTTCCTGCACTGCACTCGACGATCTTTTCTTCTGTCGTGAAACTGGCACAAATGGAATTAGTCCCAGATGTTTCTCGATATGCACGAGCCTCACGACGTATAAGGGCTCTGATACTGAGGTGAAAGTTTACTGAAATCTCTTATCGTTCGAGGGACTGAAACCGGAGATGTTCGCGAAAAACGAACTGATCTTGATTAGATAACTTTTTAAATGACGTGAATTTTTTTTCTACCGTATAAATCAAAATTGACACTATACAAACTTTTCTTGTATGCTTTTATGTTTTCACTTTATAAAAAAAAATAATTTCCGCTCGTTCAATTTATTTTATATATTTACTTTGAATCTTGCAAATACTTTTTGTACGTTGTTTTCGAAATTCATATCAAGCAAATATACTGACACATGTGATTATTTTTTGAATAAAAGTTTTCAAATATTGATGCGCATTCCTTTTGTGAGAAATAAAACATTCACACGTGACAAAGAATTCATATCAATTTCAAAATATCATCTCGTATATCCACATGGGAAATTCGATATCGTTAATGTGTATTACAACAAGATGGAAAGCATTTACATGACCATCGCCATGGTGCATGTGTGTGTGTGTGTGTGTGTGTGTGTGTGTGCAAAAGGCACAAATTGCTAGGTAGTAAAACAAAGCATACTGGAGTGAGATCGACGGAAACCACGTTTACGACCGAAATTAATCCTCACGAACGCTCAGTCGCAAGCTTCTGCGTAACAAAGAAAATAGGAAAATAAAAAGAGGAGAAAGGAATAGAGGACAAAGAAAAAGAAGGAATAATAAAAAAAAGATGAAAAGATGCGTCGATACGATTAATCGGCACTTTTTCTCGGATGTAATCTGCCGCAAGAGCGCGATGATGAGAAATATAATAGATCAAGAGAGAAATACTACGTATTTGTGCACCTAAAGTTGCCAATGGCAAACCATCAATAGCTGTGTCTATTCCTTCGGTGACAATATTGGACTCTTTTCTTGACGGATCGTAAACCCGTGCTAGTGACCCAAGCTAATTAAGAACTGAAGCATTGTGGATCTTTTCTTATCTTTTTTTTGTTGCCATTGAGTGAATAAAAAATATACTTGTAAAGATTTCTGTAATCTTTTGTGTGCTGAAATATTAAATATAAGGGAATAATTCTTTTTGTTTTATATTTCGACAGATGCACTTCGTTTTCACGGTCAAAAATAATTTCATTACTGAAATACTAAATTATTTATAATACGTCGAATGACTTTCTTATATCAGGACCATAATCTGAAAGAGGGGGGATAATGTTACATTTTAATCATCTATTAAGAAAAGAACAATCACGTTGTTAAACAAGTTGGTATTTTCTTTGCTTTGTTGATTTTCCAATTTTTTCGAGTTAATGGTGTTGATGGCTTGTTACTATTTATATCAGCCGTCGGATTATTTTAAGTTTTGATAATAAAGGCATCTTCAACAGATGAATAACAATAACAATGTGCTTATATCTATTCAATTATTATTTGTTTTAAATTCATTGTAGTTAGAGGTTTCTTAAAATATAATGTATTTGTATATGCTACTAGGAATGCCATATCTCTGTCTTACTGACTTTTCCTTTAGAGCATATTTTCTTCTAAAATATGCATCGGAGGACGTTCATACTTCGGCTAATAATTGATTATTAGATAATAAAGCGAAGTTTGGTTGACTCGTTGATGAAATTAACAAAAATTATATTTCGAAAAAAAATTGGATCAGTAATTTTATCAGAGAAACATAAACAGTCGCCATGTGATGTTGCTATGGAAAATATAATTTTTGTCGATTTCATCGATGAGTCGATCGAACTCCGCTTTATTATCTAGTAATTAATTATTAGCTGAAGTATGAACGTCCTCCGATGCGTATTTTAGAAGAAAATATGCCCCAAAGGAATAGTCGGTAAAACAAACGTATAACATCCTCTTAAGATACTAGAACTAAATTATTACGAAAAACTATTAAAAAATAAAAACACATATAAGACAAATAGACTTTTGATTGATTGGTAAATCAGGAATTCATATAATTTTTAAATATACAGAAATGTTGCTTTTCAATTTATTTCTTGTAACACGACTTAGAGTTCTTATTACAACAATGTTACATTGAAATACAATGCGTATATCAAAACCTCATAAACGAATGTTCAATCGATTAAAAACACAAAATAATTAAGAAGCTCGATGAAAGTGAAGCTTAAGACACATCAAATGTGACAAGCTAACGTCATCCGAAAAGATATGAATCTCTTACCTGCAAAGTAACAGAGCTCGATTGTGCCGCCAAGACCGCTACCACTTTATCGAATCCGCCACCCAGAAACTTTGGCATGCTACCGTCCAGACACTGAAACTCGGTTTTGTGATAGGCATTCATGTGGGCGATGAAACCTGCGCGACATACAATTCAGATTATATTCCTGCTAGACACTTCAAATGGCTGTTCAGAAAGCTCATTCAACAGATAAATCTAAACTATATATAAACACTCCACCAGTTTTAAACTGTCCACCGAATGCGTTTTCACTTTTTGGCCGCCTTTCAATAGATCAATATTTATACTAACGGAAATTCGACGAGTGAAACAATAAATAGTATTGCGATTCAGTGAAATGGTAGTTTGAAATGACATCGAATACAAAAAAAAACCTGACGAACCTTTTACAAAGTAGAGTGCCTGCTCAAGAGCGTAATTAGGATTATCACAGCTGTCGAAAGCTATAACACCCAATTGTATGCCAGGCAAAATCTTTGGATCTCGGTTAATTTGGTTGATCGTGTATATCATTGCTTCCAATGGCTGGATACCATCCTCCAACTGAAAAATCAATATTGCCGTTGTGAAATTCTCATCGAGTTATTATTATTACTGATAATAAAAAAGCTCACTTGAATTTTTCCGCAATTTTCCGTTCCCGGTCCTTTTCGGTGGATGGGGAAAAGAGCACCCAACATAATGTCTCCACTAACGTTAACGTATATTCGTCCATTCGCATTCTGGCATAAAGCGACAATTATTATACTCAGTATAAGCATTTTGTTCTGAAAAATAATGAAAATTTACACTTGATAATCGCAATTTGATTAGCAATAAACCTGTGGAAAAGGGTTTCCGAAAAATGTAATTATTATCCACTCGTATAACAAAAATAGATCTATTCATTTATAATCTGGTCTTTTTCATTTTTCTATAGAATACTATTATTCTTCAAAATATTATATTTCTTCGTAACAAACTCAATTATTACTTTAAATAAAACTTTTATTAACATTTGCGTTGGAAATAATTGATCAATATAGATAATTTTCATACTCAGTACGTTTCATTATTATTCTTATAAATATATATCATTGATGTGAAATCAAAATCTGTAGCATACATTCATTTTAGCTAGTCCATTAGCGTTTGTACAATTAGGGAATCATAAAATTATAGTTTCAGTAAAGAATTACAAAGATATTTTCGAGATTACTATCCGGTATTAACTGCAAACTTACAGCTGACATCTGTTGCTTCGTTTTAGAAATACAATGAATATCACGAAAACTAAACTGTGATGTAAGATTATTTCACAGGAGTAACAAAATCTATTTGGAATAGATCCAAGGAATAAAATTCATTATATATATATATATATATATATATATATATATCAATTAACAATAAGTACTCACGGAATAATACTAGTTTTCGTTTCAGCAAATTACTATTGCTTAGACACACCCAAATATCAACAACCAAAACGTATAAGATGCAGCCGTAATTAGTTTTCTATGACATTTGATGAACGCAATTACTGGATATATCATTAACAACGATTAATCACTATTTCCAGAGTACCTACTTCTCTGGTATAGTTATAATGCAGGAAACCTTTGGATTTTTTCACATATTATTTGATTTTTGATTGTAATCAACTAATTACCTTCGTAATTGTATTTCTGTAAATGAAAAACGGTTCGCTATTCCAAATTCGTAAAATATATACATACTTTGAAAATCCCTCTCAATATAATCGACCGGTTAAATAACAAATCGTACTGTAATAGCCGGCGTCTCAGCGCAGACTGAAGCGCGCTAGCCTTCTGCCAATGGTCTTCACCTTTGCGGCCTTGCCTTGCGCACTGCGACTTTGCGCGCGTATGAAAGGGGATGACGTTATAGTATATCGTGGACGGCTACTTTTCACTAGCACATAAACACACAACTTTACCTTACTCGCGACAAATTCATGGTTATGAAAAGAGGAATTAAACTCATGGTTTACTGAGCATCGTATACATGTCTCTGAGTTTTTCAATGAATTGAAGCAGCTGGCGTGAATTATTTTTTAATCAAGAATATTTACAAGATTATATCTATGTACGATAGTAAAAAAAATATTACCCTAATAAAGAGGTTTTCCGTGCATTTGTTTGCATTTTTGTGGCTTGAATAGTACATCTTAACAGTTTTGCAAAAACTGCTTGCCGTAAAATCAGAAATTAATAGGATGATTACTCGATATTGTTTTCGATGTAGAGTTAACGGTTTATATTTTGTGTTACCTTAAAATGGAAATTTACAAACGCATATTTTTTGGACTGAAAAATAATGTTTTTGCTGCCTGGTAATTATATATTATTTTATATTTTCAATTTTCACTGAAATCTGTTACTTTTAATCTCATTATTAAAATTTTTAATTAAAACGTGTGTTTATCCCCTCATACATATATAAAAGTGATTCATCTTATCTTAAATTTATGTCGTTATATTACTGAGTAAAACGAACCGCCCTAATTTTATAAATGGAAACGTGTCCACAAAAAAGATATACTCTCTTTGTTAATTTAATTTACATGATCTTTTCACGACTATAACTGCAAGAACATAGTAATTTTAAGCATGTACCTCCTAATTAAAAAAACTACATAAAAAACTAAATTCATCTACATTTTAGATCTGCCAAGTGAGAACAAAAATTTCAATGAGCGCAATATTTGTTGTCATTTAATGCTATGATACGCATGAAGTTAAAAATATTTCTTGAATAAGTTTAATATGTCCGTACAAACTTTTACCTAACACAAAAGTGAGTTTCCAAACTACGTTAAAAGGAAAACCGATAAATCTTTGATGGAAATTACGAATCCAACTCGAATGAATGAATATAACTGGTGTAAAAATTGTCATTATAAATATCGAATTGATGAAAAATGTAGATGAATCCGTCTAAAGCTGAGAGTAGAGCATTCGCCGTATAATGCGCCGACAAAAGGACGATCTCGCATTCATTGCTGCAATACCGGTGTATATAAAACCTGGCGCGCGAAAGTTACCTCGGGCACACTTGACACGGTTGACTTTGATAGGCATTGAACTTAATTGAGGCAAGTAACTCTTGAATATTCAAAAATCATACACACACACACACACACGATTCTCTTTCTCTCTCTCTCTCTCTCTCTCTCTCTCTCTCTCTCTCTCTCTCTCTCTCTCTCTCTCTCTAACACTTTTGGCAAACTAAAACCCTATATGCATCGAGTTACCAACTCTTGATAGCTTTAACAGTTTACTTGATTTGCATTTATTTTAAATACGACAGCTATATTTTTCTTAATGATGTATTTAATAAAGATGAAATAGGTAAATTATTTTTTTTAGCTGAATAATGAGACAGATTTCTCGCATAAAGTATATAAAATATTGAGTCCTTGAACAAAAAACTTGTTAGTTATTATCATGCAATTTAAATTAGATATAGATTTTTTATTTTTTTTATGAATTTTAAAAAGAATAAAAAATAATCTGGTTTTATACAGTAAGAAAGTCTTCGCTCTATATTTAAATTTTATGACATATTTTACTTCTACGAAAAATGAAAAAATTAAATCTTACCTTTACTCTCCCAACTTACGTTGATTTCATCTTAATGTGAACCTGCAGACGCCAAAAGTGCATTTGAATTGAAACTCATGTACACTAATATCACATAGAAAACACAAATCAACGGTCTCGAGCAAAAAAGCAATATCTCGTCGGCCAATTCAAAAAGGTACTATCTTGGCTACCGAATTTATAAGCTTATATTATTGTAAACTAAATGAGCAGCAAATAAAAAATACATTTCTATCTTTAAAAAAATAAAAAGGTGTTTTTTGTTATTATAAAAAAGCAACATTAATCATGACTCTATTGCTCGACCGAAAACTTCTTGGTAGTGAAAAATCTAGATATGTTGCCCAATAAGCATCATGATCTCAACGTGCTCGAGTTTTGGGCTGAAAGTATGACAATTTAACGATTTATTCGTTATAAGCGCGGTAAACCGTGATGCGGATATAAGCTTATTAATTTAGCAGCTGAAATAGTGCCTTTCTACATTGACTGCCGAGATAGTCCCATTTTGGATTGACTCGCGAGATATAGTGCCGCTTTGTTCTAACTGCTGAAATAGTGCCATTTTGCTATAAGGATCCTCAAAATTTGCGTGACATTTTAATGTCTGTAAGTATAACTAATTTTAAAAAAAAATAATGACACAATATTACTTACACCAAAATAGAAGTGTCAATTAATGTTGCTCGGAACAGACGTAAAAATTCTTAATAAACAATGTCATTAATATACTGTCATTCCGGAGAATGAAAAATTTTCAAAGTGTAATTTGTGTAAGTGAACAGAAAAAAGATCACTTTCGATATTTTTTGTTGAAACTGTAGTGACCGATTGATAAAAACCACCAATAAAACAATGTCCACCGAAATTTCACCTCCTTGACTACAAATATCTCGTTTAGATCACACCCCTTAAAAGGCAAAGTCCTTTGCAATCACACCGAAAAATGTTAGCTCAATTAATAATAAAACTTTGCTAAAAATTGTGTCATAAAATAAAATCGAATAGGGAATTTCAAATACTAGTTAAGAAAGCAATGGAAAAAATTAATTTTTTATAAATTAGAATTTTTCATGGTTTATACTTTTGAAATAGACATTACTTTCGACGATATCGGAATTTTATTGGGAATATTCATATTTTCCATAGGTTCTTTATCATTTTATCTAAAGCAAATTTTAAAAGCACGAAAACATTCTTGAAATTAATCTCAACGTGCGACACAAGCAAATTAGTCGATAGATGCAGTTTTCAATCTACCCATCATCTAAAATGGAAGAACGCGTGCTATCGATGAAAAAAAAAGAGAGCAAGAAAAACGCGGAAGTGATTGCTCAGTGGCGTGTATTGAAAGGCCCGTGTCGCGCATGTACCGCACCCTCATGTACATAATCGATCAGAGCACACAGAGTCGCTACAAGTTTACCGCTGTAATAATCCGTACGCAAACACGATGATATCATTGATCATCGCGGGAATCTCCGTCCCTCTGTTGTTTGGCTGATTTGCTTTGTTTGCGACACGTGGGCAAACCAAGCGTCAAGAAATTAAAATCGAATTTCGTTACATCGAAAAGCCCGTATGCAAATTACAAAAGATTAACTTGTTCATACTGTATATCCTTATATATTTTGTTATACGTGGTACGCGTTACTTTCTTTCTTTTGGAAATGCTCTATTTTTTTCGAAGTAATTTATTTTTATTTTCTCGAAAAATCTCACGGGAAATTGTAAATAATATTTCTTTTGCTAATCACGTCAACATTTCGACAGTATTTTTTCAGTCATATATTTTTCTTAAGTTTCGTATAAGATTTAATATATCAAAAAATGCGTATAAAAAATAATAAACAATAAAGAATAAAAGCAAAATTCATGACCAGCCATGTAGCAATAAGAGAAATAGACGAAGTACTCTTCCATGTCAATTGGATCTACATAGATTAAAATAGATGCTGCTCAAAAATAGATACCTCGATGTCATGATGTGTACTTATGAATTTCATTACGAAGGTGAGGGTGCCACTGATTTTGCAAAGACTCGCATACCTTGATAATGATGGATCGCGCATATTCCAGGCAAATATTTTTCTTACTTTGACGTATATTACGGGGATAGATTTTGTAGAGACAGATACGAATATTTTCTCGTCAGTTTACGTAACGTTCAATAGATGGTAAGTATGAAATATGAATCCTTATTTGTATACCATTACTATTTCAGATATAAAGGCATGTAAGCTAATATGATATATCACAAAGTTTCTAAGTTAATTTCAATTAAATTTTTAACTTGCAAAAGTGTGGAGTTTGATTCGTCGAGGTATTGGAAATGATAATTTCAATTGAATTCTTAAACATGATTACTAAAGCAAAAGTCAAAATTATCATTCCTGGCACCAAAATTCAATCTAATGCCTTAAACTATCATTAATACAATTCAAAAAATATGCTATATCGTCACATAGCCGCTATAACCTCATAACTGACGCTCAAAAGAGGGCCACAAAGCCTACTCTTTTAAACTTTCTAATTTTTTACTACAACACTAGTTTTACACGTATCTTTCTCTTTCTCTCTCTATCTATTTATCTATCTTTCTCACTCAATGACGACCCGACTCTCTATCTCTCATTCCGTCATATCGACGCACAGCTACAAGCTATACCTAAAACCCTTTTCACAAAAATGTACGAAAAAACATCTGAAGTGCGCTGTGCAAAGTAATTTAAAATACATTTTCCTGCGTAAATAAATTCTTTAAAAAATTCTCTTTTAACATTTTTTTTAAAGACTTTTACTTCATAGAAAGCTTGCGACGTAAAAGCTTAATTTCGAGCTGTTTATTACTAAAAAAATACAGCTTCGTACGAGTTTTTTTCTTTGTCAACAAACTATTCTAAATGCACATTTATTGTTTGAACGTAGTATATAGTAGCGTCTACAAAATACAAGACTGACATAATTTTGGATAGCTACAGAAAGAAAACCAAACGAAATCATGATTTGAGATGCAAAAGAAAGCTTTTATTACATGAGACTGATTTGATTTTGTAAGAGAGAATGGAAAGTGTAAAAATATTTGTTTGCAGATTTCATTTGGTGAGTTTTTCCTTGTATTTTATTTACGAGAAAAAGGAAAATAGTTGCATCTAGCAAGTTTAGTCGCAGGAAAAATATTCGGAAAAAAAGGTAAGAGTGCGAACATGATGACCCGAGCAATGAAATTATTTAGGCGGTCGGTAAACACGGCATAGACCCTTCCTCTCGTTTCCTTTTATTTTTTATGTACTCTGCAATGTCGCCGCTTTTCTTTCTGACACGTGCGATCGTGTTTGAGTTTCTGAATGTTTGAAAGGTCACTTGAAAAGTCGCAAATGTGATCGGTCCTGTCAATGCGTCACAAGAATATATTTACGACATCCGAGATTAGAAAGCGTGCGAGTTTTCCTATGATTATAAAATTGATTTTGAAGACAAAAAAAAACTTTAGTAGCTTGCTAAAACAAACGTCCCGCAAAGTTTTAAAGGCAATCTTGCGTATATAAATATATTTCGAAGCGTGTATGCATCGCGCATGAATAAATAGAGAAACAGAAATGAAAGAGAGAGAGAGAGAGAGAGAGAGAAGTAATTTTCGACGATTATAGTTATGTGCGATGATCTGTAGAGGAAGAATCCCGCAATTATTCAATCACTGTGGCTAAGCTCCCCCACGTGTAAGTCAATGCGAGACTTGTCGTCGACGTTGAGTCTGTTTAAAACTTGCACGCGCCGTGCTTGCAGCCCTCCTGTCCATTTCGGTGTGTTCTTGTTTCTCGGTTTGATGAAATTCAAAGTGCGCTGGTGTAATGACGTTTTTTTATTTGGAATTCAATATATAAATTTTAATGCGAGTCACAGAGGTCATCAATTATAGTTGTAAAGACTTTGAAACTATAAATAAAATTTAGAGCATAGCTGCATAGGCTATGAAAAAATACACATGTTTGTTTCAACTGATTAAATAAAGTGGCAATACAGTGACCTGTTTAAGTATGAAAGAAAATACCGACGACGTAGTTGAAGTGTTACTGAATAAGGAGATTAATTTCCAGTCGACGTAATTTAATTTATTTACTGTTATTTTCATTGTGAGGTATGTATACTTTAACTTTTCATATAGCCATACTCTATCAGATAATTATTGAAAAATCAACGCTTTAGAATTTTACCGAGCAGAGAATGAAGCTCAAGCTCAATACTGAACAAAGTAAGCCAGTGAACCCATAATTCCTTATTCGGCACAGTAATAAAATTGCATTAGTGCAGCTCTATATTCTGCTGCAATTGATACTTTACCACTTATGATCCGCTGAAAAAGATGTTTATAACACATAATTTGATTATTAAGATATCATACTGTTAAGAGATCGCTAACTCAAACATTTGCATTTGCAAATCGTTGCAAGAAAAAAATACAGTTAAACATATTGAGCCATTTAATAAGGGAACACATAAAGGATATCCTGACAAAAGAGAGTTTGATCTGTCTTATCATAACACATGTGTCCAACGTGTAGCGCATTAACCTCGTCGATCGTTTTCGCAGAAATAATGGAGAACAATGGAAGGAAGCAGTTCGACGTCATCGATGCCATTGTTTTCACAGGGATGCTTGGTGTATCCGCCCTCGTTGGCGTTTATCAGGCTTACAAGTCGCGCAAAAGCGCCAACGCCGTCGAGGAATATCTCGTTGGCGGCCAAAACATGTCGATATTCCCTATAAGCATGTCACTCATCGCAAGGTAATGCATCATTTTTATAAGAGAATAAGACCATTGAGATTTCTTGCATTCGTGTACTGATACTATACTGATACTTACTTCTAACATAAAAACATAACTATTGGCACAGTTACATATCGGGCATAGCGATATTAGGATTTCCGGCCGAAATGTACGTGTACGGAACCCAGTTCTGGTGCATCATAATCGCCGACTGCTTCGTCTCACTAACTATGGCCGTCGTTTATCTCCCGGTCTTTTATGGCCTAAAAATTACGTCTTCCTACGAGGTATGCACTCGTATATTGTCTATGTACGTTTATATTTGTACGATTACATCGTCAATTTATTTGTCTAATTGGACCGCTTCTTTTCAGTATTTAGAGTTAAGGTTCAACCACGTCGTAAGGATGATAGGATCAATCATCTTTCTCATAAAAATGGTGAGTAATTTTAGACAATAGAACAAAAAAATCTGAACAATAGTCTGTCGCTAATTGAAAAGACCCAAAGATTCTCGCGCGTTATAGAATCGAACAATGCCGCGGGACAGGCTATTAAGAGCGATTTTCCACTTGTTGCAGTTACTTTACATACCCCTGGTCATCTACGTCCCGGCGCTAGCGTTTAATCAAGTGACTGGAGTTAACTTACATATGATTGCTTTACTGGTCTGTGCAGTTTGCATCTTCTACACGACTTTGGTAAGTTTATCTATCGAAAGAAGCCAATGGCCCAATTACTAGATCGAATCACAATGGAATCACGATTACTTGAAGTTTGAAAGTTTAAAGCATTTCCTTCTCTATTCAAACGTTGCGGCTATGTCGATATTATCGAAGTTTCTATAATGCACATGTAATTGAAGATTTTATTAATACGAAAGCTGAAGTCTTAATTCATAAACGTTCTTCCGCAATTTTATTAAAAAATTTTGTTACGAATTATAATTTATTACGAGTAACTATCAAAGTTCCAATTGAATAAATGTTATGGTTGCGCGCGTGATTCGATTATAACTTGATTGTTACGATTTTGAGTAATTTTAACATCTCACTGAATGAACCATTATATATTTAAGCATAAAACGTTTTACCTAATATTATTTTTTAACATAAATAAAACAATAGGGCGGCTTAAAAGCGGTGGTATGGACTGACGCGATCCAGACGATCGTAATGTTTGGTGGTGTGATAGTGGTTGCGGTGTTGGGTACCGTGAGGGTCGGCGGTTTGACCGAAGTCTGGCAGCGCAACGTCGACACCGGCAGGATCGAGTTCTTCAAGTAATAATCGCCTGGCGCCAAGTGGCCGCCTTTACCAAATGGCTGCTGCCCTTATTTGGGTCAATCTATTGTTCCATTGTCGAGAGGCTCACTAATTCGCCACGTGGCTTATCATGCTTTCGATTCTTGTTTTCTCTATTTTGACACATTGCTTGCTTGCGCACAATTTATGCAATTTTTTAAATTTAATCGGCAGCTCGGATATTGAAAATTAAATCTTGTCGATGCCGCATCTGTGCAAGATAAGCCTATCTCGAATATTCGATTCGCAAAAGCTGCCAATCATAACGTTTGGAAACGCATCTAATTTAGCTAAATCACAGCATTGGTGAACCAGCTTGCTTCGATACTACAATCAAAACGAAATCACACCCAACGCGCATGTCAAATCCAAGCATTGTGTGTACGTTTCGCCAGTACACGAATGAAGCATTGCACTCGCTCGAGACTTCCACTCGCGAGAAAATTTTAATTGAATCAGCTTATACGGATTTATTCATTCAGTAATACATCGTTCGTGTGCGTGTAATAACACTCGAACATCGTTAGTTTTAATATTTTTCAATCCCGGCTTAAGCCAAATAGTGTGTATGGAAAAATCGAGTTTCGCGATGCTGACTGGATATACGTATAACTGTGACACACGAACGAACGTTTCACTTTTCCAATAACTGTCTCGCACACGTGCACAAAACGAATTATTATGAGCGTTAATTAATGAAATATAATGACGTTTCGTATGCATCTTTTCAACGGTAGAATAAACAATGTTTTTTATTTCTGCAAAGTAGAAGTTTGTTAATGTGATCTATATTGATCTTGATCAATGAAATGATCTGTATTTATTGAATGATTATGCATGGGTAAAGCAACAAACATAATTATTTACTGATTTTTTATATCACATAACAATGTAATAATACACTCGCGGCAACACATTATTATACAGGAAATAATTATACGTGCGCTGTAATAAATTAATCTCACCGCATTTAATTCGGACCAGTCAATGTATCAACATTCACGTTTATATTTTTTTATACATTATTTCAAATATTGAAAAATTAATTCACCAATCGTAACAATAAACTGAATGTTATCCGCAATTTTTTTAACTCTTTCGGAAATCCCTTAACGCAATCTTACCTATTTCACCCGATAAATGCACAATGACAGCCTGAATAATGGTTTTTACAATCAAAAAGCACTCTACAAATAGGATACGCTTTGCAGTATGGATCCAAATCCAACGGTCAGGCACACGTTTTGGACGGTGGTAGTCGGAAATTACCTCAATTGGTTAGCGACGTGCTCCGTGAATCAAGCGATGGTGCAGCGCTGCCTCGCCATGCCAAGTCTCAAGAAATCAAACATGCGAGTGTCTATTTCAATTGCGTATAAATGATTTGCGCCTGATTATCATTGGAAACACCTGATCATTTTATTTTTATAGAACTGTGATGATCATGGCTGTAGGTATCATCGCGATGGTTTCACTTTGTTGTTATACCGGTGTCGTCATTTTTGCTACCTTTCACGATTGTGATCCTGTTACGACGAAAGTTCGTTTCTCAAATTACAAACATGGAGTTCATGAACTCTTTTAATGCAATCACAATAATTGTTATCTAGCAAATAAAAAAACCAGATCAACTTCTACCATATTTTGTCATGGAAATGGCAGCATCGATTCCGGGCTTGCCAGGACTTTTCGTTTCTGGAGTCTTTAGTGCAGCTTTAAGGTCAGATATAGTATTAAGCAGCCGACGCGTTTACTGACAAAATAATTTTCATTCTTTAGATAAGACTAATACTCGCGTAAATGAAAACAATGAGTCGACTGATTTTATTATTTTGAAAAAGAATATCAATTTTTATGCTTGACGAAAAGTAGCATATTCGATTCACGATTATGTATAAAAAACATTAAAAAAAACAAAAATTCCAACACTAATATTACCCAATGTTAGCCAAAGTATGTAAAATAAAGTACTCGGTCACACACTTGCTATCGTAGAAATCTCTAAAAAGCAGCTTTCTACCTCATTAATTTACAAATAGCTCAACTCTCCGAAAATGTCGTTATTAATAAATGAGCAGAGATTGATCGCCACCTCGTTTACGTCTACCGCTGATTCGATGAATTTACTTTTTTCTATCTCTTTGTTACATCGATTCCAATATACCGCGTATACAGCATTATACCCTATGAAATACGAATGGCTTCGGAAGTCTTTCCTTTCCATTGGAAAATTAATGTACCGTACTCGGTTCAATCGACAAATTTTTTTGAAAGCAAACAAGCAAGGGAAAAAGATCGTGCTACGCTAAATTTTTTTTTCTTTCAACACAAGTGTATTTTTACAGCACGATGTCTACGGGATTAAACTCGATGTCCGGGGTGATTTACGAAGACATGATTAAACCGTGTTTGAAGAAACCCATGTCCGATGTCGGAGCAAGCCGCGTTATGAAGATCACAGTGGTGGTAATTGGAGTGATATGCGTTGCTTTAGTCTTTCTCGTAGAGAAACTTAGTGGACTCATCCAGGTGAGTATCAAAAAAAACAAAAAACAAATTATTTCGGTTATTTATTTGCATCAATGAAGAACGAGCGTGATAATTATCGTCTTTCTGCTTTAGGCAGGGAAAAGTCTATCAGGCATAACAGCCGGTCCTCTCCTGGGAATCTTTACTCTTGGGATGTTCTGCCCGTTTGCAAACTCTGCGGTAATGTATTGACGTTTCATTTTCCCCGTATTACTCGGTGCCCGCTTTCTGCTTCAGTTCTTCTTTGTACATTTGCATAAAAGACGTGAAAGTTTCTAGTATACTTTAATTTCTATATTTCTCTTTTTTTTTTTTTTTTTTTTTTTATTAAAGCTTTTAAACTTATACAAGATTATTTCGCTTTGTACGATAATACATATTACATTATTTTAATTTAAATTCTAAGATTACAATTTTTTAAGTAATCGAAAATAATTTTACAAACGTTGATATTCGGCTCGCTTATGAACATTTCGATGCACATGGGAAGTTGGAGTTTAAGTTTGAACAGTTTTTTTTAATAATATAGATCGTTGTTGATCGTACTTGTTGCATTGCCAGACCACATGGTTTATATTTTCGGGTTCAAGGCCGCATTTGCATAGAGGACTATTGACAACTTTAATTTTTGCTAGAGATTCAGCTAGGTGGTAGTGGTTAGATCTCGCTCTATTATTGAGACGATAAGGTCCCTGGGTAGCTTTTTCCCGTAAACCATGGGTGTTTTTTATCTTTAAAATATAGTTTAAAATACAGAACCTCCTTTGGTGTTGCCCAGTTCTCTTATAGTTTCGTTAGTGCGTTCAGTAGCCATTTTATTTACATGAAAATAGAGGTCAGTATATGGGATCCTATCTATTTGAGCGTAGTTATTTTGGTGGCTACTTTGGCTAGATAGTCGACGCTTTCGTTTCCATTAATTCCCTTGTGAGAAGGGATCCATAGAAATTGAAGATTGCGTAAAGGAAAGAGTTTTTTGAAATTTTCATATTTCTGTTTGATTTGAATGATATACGGGTTCGTTTTATTGTCAGTTTTAGTGCTAGCTAAAGCATGGAGAGCACTAAGGGAATCGGAGAAGACAAAAACGTTAGACTTTTTGTCCTCTAGAGCAACATCCATTGCGAGATTTAAAGCTATTGCTTCAGCTGTAAAAATGGAGGCCTCCTTGGCTATACTCTTATTAATTTTTTTATTAAGTGCAGGTGTAAAGCAAGCTGCTCCGACGAATCTGTCGTCTGAGAATTTACTACCGTCGGTATATATCGAGATAGGATTGCCGCTTTCTCTTAGAAAATTTTCTAAATATTCGTTAGGGTTATTGGAGCTTTTTAGTTTTTGTCCGAAATCAAAATTAATTGGAATATTTATACAATTAGAGCTATAATTGTGGCTAAAAAGTAGTGACTTATGTATTACGAGAGATTCAGTCAGGACAGCAACACTATTAATGCATTCGTATAGAATGCGCTTGGACTTGTTATTATTTGGTGCGTGATAGATAATTTTTTCATACATACGATTGTTTTTATTGGATAGTGTTTTTAGTACATACCTATTACCTAAAAGTTTCGCTCGTTCTTGAATCAAGGGGAGTTTGGCTTCTGCTAGTAGTATATTAGTAGGAGTGCTTTTTCTGAAACCCAGAGCAGCTCTAATTGCTCGGTATTGCATTTGCTCAAATGTTTTTACAGACTCTTTTTTTTTCGGTAAGTATATAAAGCTGCCATACTCAATTGATGATCGAACGAAGCTTTTGTACAGTGTAATTAGGGTGCTAGGGTGGGCTCCCCACCAAGTACCGCAAAGAAATTTTATAATGTTCATAAGAGAATAACATTTGGCTAGTAAATTATTCATATGAACAGTAAATTCCATTTTATAATCAAATATTATGCCTAAAAAACGAGCAGATTCGCTAGATACAATTTTGCAGTCGTTGATTTTTATAGAGGTGGAGCCAGGAATAATTTTTTTTTTATTGAAATGGACAAAAACAGTCTTTTTAGGAGAAAGTTCAAGGCCCAGAGCTAAGAGATTACAACGAATAGTTTCATTTGTTTTTTCTAATGATTTTAGACAGCCGGAAGCCGAGGACGATACTGCTACGACTGCTATATCGTCCGCAAATTCTAACACGGTGATTCCGTTTTTCTCTAGACCATTAGCTATTTCTGACGTATAAATAATGTACAATAATGGGCTCAGTACGCCTCCTTGCGGGACTCCTTTATTGACTGTAATCTGTTCATATCCTTCAATGTTAGTATGCAAGAATCTTTCAAAAGTGAGAAATTTCGTAAATTGGATAACTTTTTCGGAGCATTTGAGTTTTGCTAGTTTATCGAGGAGTAATACAGGGAGCACATTGTTATATGCATCAGAAACGTCGAGAAAAGTGGCTAACGCTTCATCTTTGCGTTCTAGGGCCTCATCGACTATATAACTAAACAATGTTAGATTATCGTGGCACGATCTGCCTTTGCGGAATCCAGCTTGGGATGAGGGTAAAAGATTATTATGTTCGATCCACCATTCTATTCTATTTTTAACCATGGCTTCAAATAGTTTGCCAGTACATGATGTGAGGGCAATAGGTCTCACACCGTTTCGATCATGTTTTTCAACCATGTGAATAAAAGAGTGCTTCCAAGCTTCTGGATAGTTACTTACGCGGTACATCGCATTAAAGATATCGAGGAGTTCAAGTTTATATTTAATTGGCAAATTTTTGAGAATTTCATAATCTATTCCATCAATGCCAGGGGAAGCTGAGATTCTACGCGAGTCTAATATTCTATTTAGTTCCATGAAGGAAAAAGGCTCATCAAAGAAGTTATTGTCTTGGCACGAAGGAAAATAGTCCGAATTATTGCTCACATGTGGTGAACTTAATTTTTCGAGACAGACAACACTTTTTTGTCGCGATTTCTCCATGTCGTTTTCAGAACTGTGATTAGTTTTGCACCAAGAGTTTTTTAGTACTTTGCATTTGTTCCAAACATAAGTTTTATTAGTGGAAAAGTTGATAGATTCCGCAAAGGTTTTGAAATACAGTCTTTTTTTATGATTAAACGTTTTTTTCGCTGAAGCACAGTTTTTATGATATTCAATCAAGTCTGAGAGTTTATGAGAAAAATTCCATTTTTTAAAAGAAGCCCTCCGAAGCCGTTTGATTCTGTCGCAGTCGGAGTCCCACCAAGGAGTAGGGTTCTTTAATGGTCTTTTGGCTTTTTTGTTGTTTCTGGGCGTGACTTCTTTAATTTTGTCCGATATGACTTGAATGAAGAAGTCATATTTGTTAGAGGGAGTGAGGTTGCTATAGTCAAAGGATAGAAATTTATTGTTAAAATCGTCAGAGAGATCGTTATTAAATTTGGTCCAATTGGTCCTTACTGATTTAAGCTTGAATGTTTTTTTTCTATATGTTTGTCTTGTGGTATCAATATAGATGGTTATAGGGAAATGATCAGAGCCAAATGTTTCATCAAAGACCGTAACATTGACTTTATCTGCGAGCGGAATCGAGGACAGAACGAGGTCTATATTTGATTTTTTGCCAGATCTTTTGTCAAAATGGGTTGACGAGTTATGGTTGTGAAGATATAAGTTATTCGCGTCAATGCTAAGCTCAAGTCTTTCTCCATTTTTGTCTGTTTTTTCGCAGTTCCAATTGACATTGTGAGCGTTAAAGTCACCTACCAGAAGCGCATGAGGTAGATTAGAATTGACACGATTTATTATTTCGTCCCATTCAATTTGCGAGAGTGTAAGGCCGGGGATTCGGTAGCAAGTGACTATGTCAATATTAGGCGTCGTGTTAAGAATTCTAATACCAGTGATTTCCACCTTATCGTTTTGTGTGGTGTACTGAATGATTTCTCTATAAGATAGATTTTTTTTAATGAGGTAAACAATACCACCTCCGCGAGTGTTCGTGCGATCTTTTCTAAAAGTGTTGAAGCCAGAAAGATAAAGTCGATTTTCAGGTTTGAGCCACGATTCTACGCATATAAATATGTCTATATTTTGAAGTATTTTATGCAGTTCGTTTTTTCGCTGAAGAATACTACGAGAATTCCAAAACAATATCTTAAGTGTGAATTCTTTTAGGCTTGGATTCATATCGAAAGAAGAATTTTTTTTATTCGTTTTGGGAGTTCTCGTCGTCGCTGAGGCCTTCGGTTTCATAAACGCTACTGTTTTCGTCTTGTGAAGCAGTGAGCTTAATATCAATTTGTTGAGAGACGAGTAGATTCCGAATACGAGTGATTCTGCTTTTAGTATATTTGTCTTCTAGCGCTGAATATATTTGAGTGAGCATAATAGCCAGACCGTCCGTGTTAGTGGTATACAAGGTAGCTGTATCACGAATGTTTGCATTGCCGTACGTGCTTTCTAGGAATTCTATAAGCTGGTCATATTCGATAGGAAATTTACTTGGATCGTTTTCAATCATGTTTCGCGCTGGCTCGAGGTGAGTTTTAAAGTCAATTTTACTAGTTACCTTGGCCTTTTTCTTTTTGGCTGCTTGGGCGCGCCTGCCTTTTTAAGCACATTCTGTGTAGAGAGAGAAGTACTTGTATCGCTGGGCGAGGTATTCGAAAGCGGACGCTTTGACTTGATGTTGCTGTCGGCTAAGATGGCCTTGTTAGTTTCATTGGATTTTTGATTCACGATATTGCCTTCAGGAATAGTTTCACTGCACTTGATCTCCATAGCTGATTCATCTTGAGTGTTGAAAGGGAGCTCAGAGCGGTTTGGGCAGTTTTTTGCCAGGTGACCTTCTTTCTTACACTGGAAGCACATCATTTTTTCAGTAGATAAGTAAATCCAGTAGTTTACGCCCTCATGGACAATCTTTAAATTCGTTGGAATTTTTGAGATGTCTTCTTGCTTGACGTATAATTGTTTGCGAAAGCTCAGTAAGTGACCCAATTCAGGCACATGTATACCAGCTTTGACAGTTGTGATTTGCGAGGCGGGAGTGATGCCTATTTTCTCGAATTCTTGAGTGATGAGAGCATTAGGGATGCAGGGTTGGACGTTAGAGATGAGGACTCGTTTCGCTTTCGAAGTTAGTGGTCTAATTTGTAGAGAAAGATCTTCGATTTTGACTTCAGTTTTCTTTTCAACCAATGTGTCGACTATTTCCGGTTTGCTCAGGTAGAAGCACACGCGATTTTGGCTGATTCTTGAGATGTACAAAATATCTTTAGGTGGAACAACTTTTGAAAGAGCTATAGCATACTGTTCAATGGTTTTTCCTTCGATGGAGTCAACGACGATAGCTTGCTCTCGGGACAACACTCTTTCTTGCTGAACAATACTCGAGAATGTTGGTGACTGTGAGGCGTTTGGAATGGCGCAGAGCGCCATGATTTGGCTGGTTGGGGCTCTTGACGGAGTCACCAACGGGTATCACCCTTTCTTATCACTAGTTTTATGTACAGCGACAGTTGTGATCAAATCGACACACTTCAGCTCCAAGGGAGAGCATTGGCCAATAGGCCACTACACACGCGTAATCAGAAGTCGGGAGAGTGATTGTAAACACGTCTACACCGTATAACGTTCTGCGCCGGAATGTATATTTCTCTTTTATTCTGCCTATCTCCAAAAGTGCAGAGCAAAGTAGCTCGTTAAAAGACGAATTATCACTGAAAATATTTTGTTACTTCTACATAAATGTCAATTCCCCACGAATTCATGCAGTAGTTAAAAGAAACAACCAATGCGCTTTATATATCACAGGGTGCAATAACTGGAGCATTGGTGAGCTTGAATCTCGTCGCCTGGATATCTTTAGGCACGCAAGCGTCAGTGGCCAGTGGCAAGATTCATTATCCGGTTAAAGCAGTCTCGGTAGAGGGTTGCCCTGAAGCTCTGCGCACCAACCTCGCCAATCTTACCCTCATTATGGAAAATGCTGTTCAGTAAGTACTCTGGTTTATCGAAAAAAAAAAAAGTTCTGTGCTTCGTCATTCAGTTTCATTTATCTTCTAATGCATTAGACCTGTAAATGGCGAATTTTACGTGTGTATGAAAAAGTTTCTTAAAATCTCGTAGAATGATTTCTCATCTTTCGTACAAATACGGTGCCGCGTTATATAGAACTTGTGGCTGATCGACAATACAGACGGATGTACGGACTACTAAACTTTATATCGAATTGGAGTACTCTCCAGAGAGTAACGCTAGAAACCGTAGAAGCTCGAAACTTACCACGAACAGACTGTGCAGTCGCTTGGGGGCCAAATAATATAAGGTGAATTGCGAATTTGTTTGCTTGGCCGAGTAACACCCCAGCTTTTTCGACTCTTATGCTTTTTACTTCTCGAGTGAGAAAATGCCGTCTTTTCGTTTTGTTATGCTATTTCGAGATAAGATTTTTTATAGCATACTTTGTGATATTATATTGGAGGCTTTTTACTCATTGTTTGTCAAAGTTTGCTATTCTTTTCTAGAAAAAGATAAATTTGGCAATAGCATTTGTTAAAATTGTTTTATTGATTCTCTAATATTATTCCTAATGAAACTAAAAGCTGAATGCTAAAAAGTATAAACTACTTCTACATTTACAGGGAAGAGCCGTTCTTTTTATACAGAATGTCTTATTTGTGGTACACGTGGGTCGGATTTTTAACTGCAATCGTGATTGGCCTCTTTGTGTCATGGATTACGGGACCAAATAAGTTCAAGTCTGGTGATGAAAAACTTTATACACCGATTATACGAGGTTTACTACCAAAGGAAGTATCTAAGGTGCCTATACTTACTAAAATTATCTTCACGTTCTTTGACATATTAAAGTCTCACTTAAAAAAATCACTTTACAGAGCAGTAATAGTCTCAAAAAAATTGAAAACCAATGTCCACCTCCATTGAATCAATACACATCGAAATGTTAGGAAAGTTTTTTAATAAAATTAATTATTTTAAATATCCTTAGTGAAGTCTTAAATTTATTGTTGCAAACCTAATTATTTTGAATAACATATGGATTTCACAAACTATTTCGCAATTTTCAAATGTTAGTGAATATCGTTATTATCAAATATTTCTTATCTTAATTTAATTATTAGTTATCTTTCGTAAATAGCATAGAAATTCAAAATAAAAAGCATAAATCGTTGCCAATTCAAATCGAAGAATATTATATGATAAGTCACAATGTGAGATGCAAGTATAACACTGTCAAGTATAGTTTGTGGCTCACTCTGCAGTATTTTTGTCCAATGTCAATTTTAACCTACATATATATACATATATATGTGGTATGTACACCAGTGGATGTGTGTTTGTGTGTGCGTGTGCGGGTTAGTCTGTTTCGCTATTTTGCTTAAGTTGAGGAAAAGTTCTTGATATCAAAAATAAAATGTTCTGTACAGTGAATATTTTGATTATAAATATTTATAACTAAAAAAATACTTGATAGCAAAAGAAATATGTAGGTCAATAGAAGAATAACTGATTTTACTTTAAAAAAAAATGTTTTTAAAAGTAGGTCTATCAGATTTTTCGCAAATAATCTTTTCTTGTTAATTTTTCCTTAGTAAATGATTATTTATTATAAGCTATTAGGAATCGTAGGAAAATATGTCAAAAGCTAATACAAAGCAATTTCTGCAAAATGATAGTAAAGAAAGTTTAGACATGAAACATATACATTGGAACTATCCAGAGCAATCAGTAATTACTCCTAAATCACCAGATAGGATTTGTTCCTTCCCGATTGATGACCTCAAAATAATAGTAAGAGCGTAAAATAAACCAAATTTAATGATTTAAACATGAAAATAAGTATAAATAGTTTGCAATGTAAATGCATGAAATATTTTAAATATTCTAGCGAACTCAACAAAATGAAAATGGAACTTTAACTCACAGCGTTGAAGTCCAAACAGACAAATCAACGCTTTCTTTATCAAAACATAATAAAAGATCTGATGATAACAGTGCTACAAAGTTAAATGTTCGTTCAAATATTAGAAATGAACTTACTGATAGAAAAAATACTCAACATGATTCTGATCCAAAAAATTATCAAGTTAATGAATTTGAATGTATTCAACTGAAAAAAACAGGATTTAATTATGAGCATGACAAATTAGAAGTTAAATCAATAGCCTATATGAATACTCCAGAAATATTTGACGAATCTGATATGGATCAACCAATGGATTTTACTCTTTGTTACAATGAAACTGATGTAGAAGAAGCTAGAAAAACCAGTCCTTATTTATCTAAAACTGGTAAATATATTTTTATTTTAGGAAACTTTATTTAGTCTTATTTATAGACTGTTAATATTTTAACTTTGTATATAGATCGTACAGTTCATGCAGATAAAGTAGAAACAGGGAAATCAAAAGTTCTCTTTAGTAAAGAAACTACAAAATATAGGAAAGAAATGTTTTCTAATCCCAGTAAAAGCTTTAAAGAGATATTTAATTTTTTTAAAGATCGTGATAAAAAAAAATCAAATGAAAGTGCAAAAACTTCAGATAATGAAGCATCAAAAAAGATACCAAAACCATCAATCGTTCAAGAACAGAGAGTTGAAAAATCTCAACAAGTAGTAGATCAATGTGAGAAAGAAGTAAAGTCTAGAGCTGAAACATCTTGTTCACAAGAAACGCCTGTGATGTTTTCTCGATGTAGTTCATTGAGTTCACTGAGTGATATAGAACATATTTCTGTTAACGATGATCGTAGCTTAATATTGAGTGATTTTAGTAGGAAAACTAGTGGTGTGGTATCACCCAATGAGCTACCAGATTCTCCAGCACAATCTATTGCATCCAATACAAAACCACATCAAAAAACTCATATTGGTTGTTTTGGAAAAAAGAAAACTCAAACATCACCACTATCAAAAGTAAATTTTACAATTTTTCTGTAGTAAAAGATATTTTATACATAATTCTACCAAATCTAAAAATTTATTTTAAATCAAAAACCATTTATCTATGTCCCAGGTTGCCTCAGAACACTTAGCTAATAATTCTAATCTCTTACAAGAAATCAACTTTAAAAAACCTGCTCTAAGTAGATATAGTGTCTTTGAAGATCATCTTACACCATTCAAAGATGAATCGACACCAACAAAACTTCATTCAATGGCAGCTAGCAGTTTAAGTTCATTAACAATTGATGATGATGATGATGATGAAGATTTCATGCATAAAATTATTTTAAATAAAGAGAAAGATGTTAATCATGAAAAATTTGATATGACTGTTAAGAGGCAGGTACCCAGTGAAGAGTCAAATAATTTAACGGATTCTTCCCTAAAATCTGAAACAACTAATACACCTTATCCAGAACATAAACAAAATGTCAGTGAAGATGAAGAGGATGACGAACTAACTGATCTTACTCCTTATGAGGAGCAATTACTAGATCAATGTATTCGTTGTGGAATAGCTAAATGGACCAAGCAAAATTTGAATGAAATAAACCCTTTTAGATGGGATGTGGGATTTTCTTGTAGAGCAACAAAAGCAATCATGACTTCTAAAATAAGAAATAATTTATATGTGGATTTTGAGAACAATTTTGATAACAATGAGAATATTTTCATTAATCAAGAATTTTTGTGTGATAAATTAGCATTTAATAGATATGAAGACAATACTGAAGATGATAATTATCAAATACACATAAATAAAAATTTTAATAAAAATAAAACTCCTAATCCAATAGAAAACAAGTTGATCAAATACCCTTACTATGAAGCTTATCAGGAATACCTTTTAGATCAGTGCATCAGAAAAGGAAGAGCCAAAATTACTAAAAAAAATATCAATGATATAAGACCATTCAGCTGGGACATCAATCAAATTTGTTTAACAACAAGAGCTATGGGATTTTCTAATTGCTCTGAAAATCTTTGCTATGGTTATTGAAATGTATTAAAGTATGCTTTAATACGCTGTTATATTATGCCTGGCCTTATAAATGTGACCTGCCTTAAAGAATTTGTGATATCAGGTAGTGCAAGGTGTTACTAAAAAAACTAGCTTTTTTATTAATTTTTATTCTATACTTGTGTAACTTCTTTTAAAAATAATGTGATACTTAAAAATCAAAAAGACTAATTGTTGTTCGTATATATCAAAAAAATTATTTTTTAAGCAATAAAAATTATTGCAATTATGTTGAAAAAAATTGTTTGTATAAGAAAAATTCGTTTTTATTGAATAAACAAGTAAATTACATAATTATATTACATATTAATTCATACATCATTTTTACATTGGTATTAATTGACAATGTTTATAATTCTCATCTCAAAGTCACAACTTTTCTCTTATTAAAATACATAAATTTACTTTTATTTTACCTATCTCTCATTAATAGGTGTACAATTACCATTCACACTTGTTTAAGCTATGCAAACAACCATAGAATTAAGATTATTTACAAATTAAAACTGGGATGTGTAAAGTACATGATCTTTTTTTCACTCCCATAATCATGCTTTGCTCATATGAAAGTCACTATTTTTTAGCATTTTTATTTTATATAAATGAATTTATGACAAGAATTTAAATATTTTCACATTAAAAGTAAGATTAATTTCAGACCTTATTATAAATCTTATGTAATTTCTATTTTTATTATACTAACAAATTTATGAAAAATACAATCGACTAGTTTTAATAAAAGAAGTCGACACATTATAATCAATATCACACTGTAAAAATCTCACATTAGCATACTCCATAACTTAAGATATGTACAGATTACTTCAATTTTATTGAAAATTTTTTTAGGGTTGCCACAATTTATGTTCACAAAAATTTTTGATGTTTTAAAGAAGAATACTTGTAACAACTTAACTGTTAATTGTAAATATTTATGTATGAAAAAATATTGACACTTTTGTTGTGGTTAATAGAATATATTTTGCTAGTTTTATAAATAAAAAAAACAGCGTTCCAGATCTATTTAATAATAATGATACACTGAAAAGTAATTAAATTTTTTTACATTTAAATTTTCATTAGAGTCCCTAACATTATGATATATAATTTTTTTCAGGGATCTGATAAATTTACTTGAATATGTATTTCAGTGAAGATTGAACATTATTTAATTTTCATTTTTCAAAATTTAAGGAAACTATTTGCTTAAGTATAAATTCAACTTCATAAATTGATCATTGGGCTTTATGTGTATAAACTTATTCATATAAAGCATTAAAGACTTCATAAAAATTCTATTTGTGTCGCTCATGTTACCAAAAATAATACCTTCGTGCATTTTTATACAATTATAAGATTTTCCTGATTTTGACAAACTTAAGAGACTTTCAAGCATGTAGCAACCCGATATCTTAAAGTAAACAATATTGAGCTGCCTAAAATTCTCTTATTAAGAAGTCAAAGGAGACATGCCAATGGCCCTTGGATCTTGTCCTAATTGAGCTTGAGAATTTGGCTGAGGTCCAGACTCCAAATTTTTTATCAACTGACCCAACCAATGTTCAGTTGAGACATCCTCTTGTAAACAAGTTGCAAAGGTGTTATCTTTTAACTGATCTGGCAAACATTGTCTTAATGCTAATAGAGCTCTGAAAAATAAATTATATTTTACAAATTGTATAATAATAGAAATATAATTAATAAATCTTGCAATTTATAAATATTAAAATACCTTGGATTATCAGACAATCGCAGATAACACCTTACAACATGCTTCAAAAGACGTGCAGAAGGGTCCTTAGCCAAAGATAGCACCATTTTTCCAAGAATCATTGCGACATGACTAAATCTGTCATAAGTCTGACATATGTAAGACAAGCCACTGTCATCCAATAGAATCTTTTGCAGTATAAAGGTTGCCACAGTTTTACTAAGTTCAGAGCCACTTTCCATGATTCTCAAGCACAGAGGAATAATTTCTGTAGTTAATAAGAATGTCACTACTTCTTGTTCATCTGTTTTCACTAATGCTCCGATTACTCCCAAACTAGTCAGTCGGAGATACTCGAATGGTCTAGTTTTATTAACTGTGTGTAGAAAGGGATACAAGAATAGTGGAATATGTGCCTAAAAATTAATTATTCCTAATTATTAATAGTTCTTAAGTGAATATATATATTAAAAAAAATGTTTTCAACTTGAAATTATACAGAATTTAATGTCTGATATAAATTTGATGTATTTTTTAAAAATGAAATTTAAGTATTAAGGTTATCCAATTCACATTTAAACAATATACTGTATAAAATCAATGAGTCAATAAAATAATTGTAAAAAGTGAAGAAAAAGTATAACTTTTCAAGTCTTATCTAACTAATTTATAAATTTGTATATATTGAAGTATAATATATAAAAGTTAGTGTAAAGTACTCGTACATTTAAACCATAGTGATTAAAGTAGGAAATAAATTTTAAAAAAACTACATATTAATTTGTAGTCCAAGATGAAGACATAATATAAAAGCAATAAAACAAAAACAAATCATACATACTTGAAGAAAAGAAGACCGGGTTTCGGGATGGCTAGCAAAACACTGGAGCAAAGCAAGAGCATTGCAGACGCGGTTGCTCTGATGTGCAGTAAGAGTGGCAGGATTGATAGCCGGATAAATGTTGATAATTTCTTGAAGAAGGGATGCAACGGTACCAAATGAATTCCATAACATTGGTGCTAGATCCGGCACAACTTCGCGCTTCTTGCTTAGCTCAAGAAGGGCGTTCTGCCGCGTCTCTGGGTTCGACAACTCGATTATCCAGCTATAGACTTTCTCGCGGTCAATTGTTGCTTGCACCGCTGCTGGACTTTGCTGTGTACTCATTGTTTTTATTTTTTGTACTCAATTATTTGGCACTGATATTTATTTTTTCGCTTTATCTATCACTTTAATTAGAACGACTTTTGGACGAAGATAAGAAGTGTCTTATTGCAGCGACGTCCCACTTCGATCATAACCTTAAAATTGAACGAGAGTTAAGTATTTCACTAACTTATTAGATAGAATCACAGTGAAAGATGAGGACAGAAAGGTGGATCGACTGGCTCTGTGTTCAGCTCTGCTGAGAGAGCGTGCCACTAGATTCAGGGCCTTTCCACACTACTGAGAGAATATTCCTGTGATCACTGTGATCTACTTGTTTCGTGTAATCTTGTACCTTATTGAAACTTCCCTACCGTTCATTATCTACATTTGTGTACATACACTATGGTTTAAGAAGTTAAATAGAAAGCCTAGGGAGTAATTATATTTCCTGAGAAAACCGAAGGTTCAAACTCGTGAATTAGGAAGAAAATCAAGGTTGGAAAGGTAGAAGTGTTTCATCTCAATGTTACCGGCTGAATTTGTCAGTGAGACTCGACGGCCGGTAACACCTGCCTCGATTATATATATGTACGTGCGCGCGCATACACACACACACACACACGCAAATACACACTATATATCCCCTTCCTCCATACCATAACCTAGTTAGGACTCCAAAAAGCTCTCCGAAATCAGATAAAAGCAACAAATAAAATTACTTAATTCTCCACGTCTGTTATAATAATCGTCTTTTTAGTGAATTGATATGACGTTATTGATATATTAAAACTAAAGACAAAGTTTTCAACGTAACAGTAAAATCAATCCTGTATAATTGTGCACTACTATTATTTGATCTGTTCTAGCAGTTACATAAAAAACGCAGTAAGTAGTAATTAAAATACTTCTAGAAGATGTAAATAACAATGACTTTATTTTTCATGAGTGTAACATCTTTTGTGATAAGTCATGTTCTGGATTATCTTTTATTAAATGATTATTTAGCAGTTTGTTCTTAATATAAATTATACCACCACTTTTTGAATCTTATTGAATTTGTTCACTGACTATACAGTTGGGTATTTTATTTAGAGTTCAATAACATGATGCTTCTTAATATTGGAAACTTTTTGAGACTGTTGAATTAAACATTGATAAACAATTTATTTCACAGAACATGTTGCCTATTGTAATGGGAGTATTACGAAGGTATTTGCCAATGGTTTCAGTACCTTTTGCTGCTGTAATTGGATTCATTGGTTACAATATTGAGGGATGGATATCTGATAGATATACACCAGCATCTGCTCCAATTGTACAGCAGCGACAAGACAGGCTGTTAGAAAATTTGGATTTGAATACTTCAAAAAGAAAACATAATCCCTTAGAAGTAAATTTATCTCCATCACTGTCTTCATAGGCTATAATAATTCTGCTTGTATATGTATATTTTTAAATTTATAATTATCTTGATCATAAGTTGATACTTATAGATTGTTTAATAGAACTTGAATGTCAGAATTTCCTTATTATTTTATAAAAAAATACATATTCCGTAACATGTAGTAATGTATACATAAGATTTAGCTTGTATATAAAGAGTATTTTGCCGATTCAAAAATAGTTATTATTTCTTAAAGTTCTTGAGTGAAATAGATCAGTGTTTTGCATTAAAATAAAAGTTATTTGACACATACACATTATTAGTACTGTAATTAAAATAAAAACAATTTATTATTGGATAAGCAAAAATAAGTAGATATATTATTATTTCTAAAAATTATTCTACTTGCTACATTTCAAGTACATTTGTAATATAAAAAGGTTCATTGTGAAAAATATCATTTTCAAAGATATAAAAGTCGTACCAAAATAGAAAATTGTTAAGATTCTAGTTATTCTAAAAAAAAATTTTTTCTACACATCAATAAGGGAAAATATCTGTGAAATGGTTGTTATGATATACAGGAATATCTCGTTAGTTGCCAAAACAGATGTTCCCTATAAACATATTGCTCATCGCAAGGTAACGCGTTGTTTTTATAAGAGAATGGGACCGTTGAATTTCTTTGCATTCGTGTATTGTCACGACACTCATTTCTAACATAAAAACATAACTATTGACACAGTTACATAATTGTGTCAATAGTTATAATATATTGGGTATAGCGATATTAGGATTTCCGGCCGAAATGTATGTATACGAATGAAACCCGAACCCAGTTTTGGTGCATCAATCGCCGACTGCTTCGTCTCATTGATCATAGTCGTTGTTATTATCTTCGGTCTTTTATGGCCTACAAATTACATCCTCTCCTACGAGATATGCACTCGTATATTGTCTATATACATTTATATCTGTTCAATTACATCGCCAATTTCTTTTTCTATTTGGCTCGCTTCTTTTTAATATTTCGAAGTAAGGTTCAACCACGTCGTAAGCATAATAGGATCAATCATCTTTCTCATTAAAATGGTGAGTAATTTTAGACAATAGAACAAAAAAATCTGAAAATAGTCTGTTGCTAATTGAAACGGTCCAATAAGATTATCGCGCGTTTAGAATCAAACAACGCCGCGGGACAGGTTATTAAGAGCGATTTTCCACTTGTTGCAGTTACTTTACATAGAGTACCCCTGGTTATCTACGTCCCGGCGTTAGCATTTAATCGAGTGTACGGAGTTGACTTATATATGATAGCTTTACTGATATGCGCATTTTATCAGTACAGAAGCTAAATTTCTTAATTCATGAGCATCCTTTTGCAATCTTAAAAATTTGATTCTATTATTCAATATGCTTTTTTATTTCTTTATTATATCGATTGTAATATACCACATTATAGCCTATGAAATATGAATGACTTTGGAAGTCTTTCTTTTTCATGGTAAAATTAATACATGTTAGTCCAGTCAAAAGCAATTGTGTCTTTTATAAAATAAGAAATAATTTTTATGTGGATTTTGAGAATAATATTGATAGAAACAATAATATTTCTATTAATCAAGAATTTTTGTGTTATAATTTAGTATTTAATAGATATGACAACAATACTGAAGATGATAATTATCAAATGCATCTAAATAAAAATTTTAATAAAAATAAAACTCCTAATGAAACAGAAAATCAGAAGAAAAAGAGCCAAAATTACTAAAAAGAATATCAACCATATAAGACCATTCAGCTGGGATATCAGCCAAATTTGCCTAACATGAGCTACAGGATTACCCAATTGCTTTAAAAATCTTTGCTATGGTTATTGAAATGTATTAAAGTATGCTTTAATACGCTGTTATATTATGCCTGGCCTTATAAATGTGACCTGCCTTAAAGAATTTGTGATATCAGGTAGTGCAAGGTGTTACTAAAAAAACTAGCTTTTTTATTAATTTTTATTCTATACTTGTGTAACTTCTTTTAAAAATAATGTGATACTTAAAAATCAAAAAGTCTAATTGTTGTTCATATACTTCCAAAATATTATTTTTTAAGCAATAATTTTTATTGCATTTATGTTGAAAAAAATGATTTGTAAGAAAAATATGTTTTTATTGAAAAAACAAATAAATTACATAATTATGTTACATATTAGTAAGTCTCAACTTATCTCTTAATAAAATACATAAATTTACTATTATATTACCTATTTTTCATTTATAGATGTACAACAACCATTCACACTTCTTTAAGCTAAGCAAACAACCATAGAATTAAGATTATTTACAAATAAAAACTGGCATGTGTAAATTACACGACCTTTTTTTCATCCCCATAATCGTGTTTTGCACACATGAAAGTCACTATTTCTTAGCATTTTTATTTTATACAATTGGATTTATGACAAGAATTTAAATATTTTCACATTAAAAGTAAGATTAATTTCAGACCTTATTACAAATCTTATGTAATTTCTACTTTTATTATATTAACAAATTTATAGAGAACACAATCGACTAGTTTTAATAAAAGTGGTTGATACTAGATAATCTACATTACATTGTAAAAATCTCAAATCAACGTTTTCCATAACTTAAGACATGTACAATTTACTTCAATTTTACTGAAAGGTTTTTTTGGGTTGCCACAATTTACGTTCACGAAAATGTTTGATATTTTAGATTTTTTCTTAACTAATAATTATAAGTGTCTGTGTATGAAAAATATTGATACTTTTGTTCTGATTAATAAAATATATTCTGCTAATTTTATAAATAAAAAGAAAAAAACAACGTTCCAGATCCATTTAACAATAATAATACACTGAAAAGTAATTTAATATTTTTTATATTCAAATTTTCACCACAGTCCCTAATATTATGAAATATAATATTAGGGATCTGATAAATTTACTTGAATGTATACTTCATTGAAAATTAAACGTTTTTTGATTTTCATTATTCAAAATTTAAGGAAACTATTTGCTTGATTATAAATTTAACTTCATAAATTGAGCATTAAAGATTTCGCAATAATTCTATTTGTATCTCACACATTATAAAAATATTACCTTTGTGCATTTTTGTACATTTTTAAAAATTGTCTTGATTTTTACAAACATAAGAGGCTTTCAAGCATGTAACAACCCTATATCCTAAAGTTAACAATATTGAGCTGCCTAAGTTTCACTTATTAAGAAGTCAAAGGAAACTTGTTGATGGCCCTTGTATCTTGACTCAACTGAAACCAGGTCCCAATTTTTTTAACAACTGATGCAACCAGTGTCTAGCTAAAATATCACCTTGTAAACAATGTGTAAAGGTGTTATCTTTTAACTGATCTGGTAAACATTCTCTTAATGCTAATAGAGCTCTGAAAAATAAATTATATTTTATAAATTGTACTTTTGTTAATAGTAGAAACATGATTATTAAATCTAGCAATTTAAAAATATTAAAATACCTTTGATCGTCAGACAACCGCAGATAACATTTTATAACATACTTCAAAAGACGTACAGAAGGGTCCTTGGCCAGACATAACAGCATCTTTTCAAAAAACCTTGTGACATGACTAAATCTGTCATAGGTCTCACATATGTAGGACAAACCATTGCTGTTCACTAAAATTTTGTACATTATAATGGTAGCCACAGTTTTACTGAGTTCAGAACCATTTTCCATGGTTTTCAAGCACAGAGGAATCATTCCTGTTATTAATAAGAATGGAATAATTTCTTGTTCATTTCTTCTCACTAATGTTCCAATTACTCCCAAACTGTTCATTCGCAGATACTCGAATGGTCTAGTTTTATTATCTGTATCTAGGAAAGGATACAAGAATAATGGAATCCGTGCCTGAAAATGGATTATTCTTAATTATTAATGGTTCTTAATTCAATATATAAATTTGAAAAAATGTTTCCAACTTAAAATTATGCAGAATAATTTTAATGTCTAATGAAAACTTGATATATTTTGAAACTATGAAATTCAAGTACTAAAATTACCCAACTCACATTTAAACAATATACTGTGTAAATTTCCAATGAGTCAATAAAATAATAAAAAGTAAAAATATAACTTTTCAAGTCTTCTTAAATAATTTATAAATTTGTAAATATTGATAAGAAACCTAAAAATTAGAAATCAGCATAACTAATAAATTAACAAAAACAAATCATACGTACTCGAATAAAAAAAGGCTGGGTTTCGGGGTTGTTAGCAAAACACTGGAGCAAAGCAAGAGCATTGCAGACGCGGTTACTCTCATGTGTAGTGAGGGTGGCAGATTTGATAGCCGGATAAATGTAGATAATTTCTTGAAGAAGGGATGTAACGGTATCAAATGAATTCCGTAACATCGGTGTTATATCTGGCAGAGCGTCGCGCATCCTGCTCAGCTCAACAAGGGCATTCTGCCGTGTCTCTGGGTTCAACAACTCGATTATCGAGTTGTAGAATTTCTCGCGGTCAATTAATGCTTGCATCGCTGCTACATTCTGCTGCGAATTCATTGTTTTTATTTTTTTGCACTCTGTTATTTAATACTAATACTAATCTTTTCGTTGTTTTTCTATCACTTGAATTAGAACACTTGTTAATGACTTTTTTGGACAACGATAAAAAGTATCTTATTGTAGTGACATCACACTGCGATCATAATTTTAAACCGAATGTGAGTTAAACATTTTACTGACTTATTAGGGAGGATCACGGTGGAAAACGAGGATAGAAAAATAAACCGACTGGCTTTGCGTTCGGCTCTGCTCTGAGCTTTGAAAGCGCGTGCACTGTGCAGACTGCAGCATGCTACGGTGTATGTATATAGATATATACACTATTTATATTGTGTAGCACGGATCGGTGACTACCAGGCGGCGCCACTTTAGAGGTTCACTCCTAATTCCTGGTCCTCACTAATGAGAAGGCGAATTAGGAATCTATTTCTATTCGAAAAATTAACATAATTGGGTTGTGGCTACTGCGTCTTCTCTTTAAAATCTCCATTATCCTCCGGTGAAGGATAGAAAGTTGGATTGTCTCCCCTAATGTAGTGGTATTTAATTGAAAGATAGGAATTATCAAAGTAACTATCAAAGTAATTTGCAAAAAAGAAATGGACTTTTACTTAACTTAGGTATATACTCAAGAAAAATTACAATGACCGCTTCCCGACAAATCATAAATTTTAATATTTCCTATTATATCCTTTTATAGCACTATGAATTTTAAAGTAACAGTTAAACAAACAGCGTCCTGGTCATGTTCCGTGATAATAGGTTGGTAGTTAGGTAGTTTATAAGAGAAACGAAATTTATAACGGCATCGTCTATTCTCGAAGGCGTTCTGACCTTAACCTCACGACGTCTTTACTCAACTACTATTTGTAAGTAATGGAAAGACGAGCCATAAATGTGTATTTAATGGTAGTGCTATAAAGTGACAAATGATACACGTAAGAAATTTACATTACTAGTATCTTTATATACCATGGTCTAATTCTCTCCTAATTTTCAAATCTATAGCTTTTTGAACGGTCGAAGATTAGACTGTTTATATCATAAACAAGATTTATGTTAATTACACATATATTATCAGTTTGCAGTAAAATAATATATAAAAATAATTATTCACTCAACGAGATCGATATAATATTGACACGTAAGTTACTTTAATCTCAGGAATATTAGTCTACTTGAAAGTCGGAATTCAAATGATGCTATTTTTAATTAGTGATTTGGATACCATAAATAATAGTTTCAGAATTTCTTTATTCTTTTATAAAAAAATACATATGTCGTAACATGTAGTAATATATACGTAAAATTTAGCAAGTATATAAAGAGTACATTATTGCCGATTGGAAAATAGTTAATATTTTTTAAAGTTCTTGAGTGAAATAAATCAGTGTTTTGCATTAAAATAAAAGTTATTTGACTCATAACACGTGCACATTATTAGTACTGTAGTTAAAATAATAAATTATCATTGTATAAGCAGAAATAAGTAGGTATATTATTATTTCTAAAAATTATTCTGCTTGTTACAATTCAGGTACAACATTCGTAATGTAAAAAGATTTTATGTGAAAAATATTATTTTCAAAGATATAAAAGAAATACCAAAATATAAAATTGCTAAGATTCTAGTTATCTTAAAAAAATATCTTTTCTACACATTATTAAGGAAAAATATCTATGAAATGACTGTCAAGATTTAAGATAACACATAAAAACTAATAAAATACATTTTCATTATTTAAAAAAAAAACAATTTAGTCTCTTAGTGAGAGTAATATTATCTCAACTACATCTTACCACACAACGCATTTTTTTACTGGATTCATTCCTGAGCCTAAGGGACATTTAAAATCGTCAGCGAATTCCTTAATATTAGAAAAAGAAAGAGTGACTCGAGCCATAGCTGGACTGTGTATATCTTGAGAGACATTATCTCTAAGCGATTCAAGTTTTTCTTTCCTGCACCAATTACTCGCAGCGCTGATCCAAAACATCTGCTGAGGTGTGTAGTTAAAGCCTTTAAGACAAGGTTCTGTTGTATTCGTCTGACGAATCCATTTATTATATGCGTAATAAGCTGCTTTGAATCCGCCGTTGTCAGCTATATTTTCGCCTATTGTTCGGTTACCGTTTAACTAAAAATGAAAAGCGAAAATTTAGTTAAAGTTTGATCTATTATTATCAGTATGAGAATTTAGTATGTACCTTTAAGTTGACTTGTTTAACGGTATAGTTGCTGTACTGGTCGATCATGCAACGAGCTTTCTCTAAGTATTTCTCTGCAGTGTCTGCTTGCCACCAGTCAATTTGATTTCCGTTTTTATCAATTTTCCTACCTTCACTATCAAAACCGTGTGTGATTTCGTGTCCTATGACAGAGCCGATTGATCCATAATTCAAATATTTTGGCCTTTCGTAGTTGAAAAATGGTTCTCGTAAAAATCCAGCCGGTATCTCTATAAAAATAGTTGTCAAAAACTATAAAATGATGATTCCAGAATCAAAGTATATGAATGCAACCTCACCGAAAAGGTTTTGCGTTGAGTAATAATAAGCATTTACAACAGCAGTGTTTTTCTTCAATGTCCAATCGTTTTTATCCACAGGTTTTCTTAAGCTACTATAATACTGTTTTAAATAGAACAAGGAAACATTGAAAGCTGCACTAAGATAATTTCCATCGTTGACTTCGAGTTCTTTGTAGTGATCGTTGATTTTTTGGTCGTCAAACAATTCCTCGGAATATGCTACGTAGACATCCATTGCATCAATTTTTTCTAAAGCTGCTTTTATTGTTTCAAAATCCATCCAATCAACCTTTATAAAAGGGACATTTTTAAATATTCTAACACAAATTTTACTTTATTATCATTTATGAAAACGATTTGACAAACCTCTTGTAACATTTCCCTAAACTGTCCTTTAACACCTGCCACTATTTCCAAAACGCTGCTACGCAATTTGAGATTGAAATATTTGCGCACATATAGTGCACTAAGACTAATAGTAAATCCATCCATAATATCTTTCACACAAAGGTACGATCTTTCTTTACGTTTATTAACACCTTTAACAACCTTTGAAAACTCAAGTTTACGAGCGAGGAAATTGTCTGGAAGATAATCTATCGAATCGAAAACTGCTTGCCAAATCAAATGATTAGCAAGGATCCTCTTAGGTGTTTTTGCAATTAAATCCTCGAGCTTTTGTATAAATCTGACATCGTTGAGAACAACTATTTCACTTTCGTTGACGGTGATATTACTGCTTTCAAAAATTTCATTGATCAATTGCAACCACGGTATGACAGGATACTTTTCCGATAATTCTTTGATAGTGAACGGATTTTGTACTTGCGATATATCCAATAGCTGCTCTATAGGTGTTTTAATCTAAAACATACAATAAAATATCAGTAAATAGCGTCAGATAATAACATACAACTTACATTGTAAAGCTCAATTTCAAAATTAAGAACGTCTCGAAGTTCCGTCGTCGCCGCAATTTTATTAGCACCCAGTAACATGGCAATATCAACCATATAATCATAATAAGCCATTACCATTTTACTTTCTCGACCATCTAACAGGTAAGTTCTACTTATTCTTGTAACTGCATTTAGCACCTAGAGAAATGTTATTTTTGAAATAACAAGAAATGTATTTGGAATAAATCAAACCTATTTCTACCGACATTTATAAGACTATTTGTACTATTATCTGGATCGTTTCCAACGTAAACGTAGGCCGGAAACGTAATCGGAAATCCATGATCTTTTATTTTATAAACAGTCTCGATCCAAGAGTAGTTAGCCTCTTTCCATTTATCGCCGAGTAGCACTGGCCAACCCCCAAATCCAGTTAACATTTCCAAAAAATCTTTTACGCCTTCTTCTTGAATGCGACCTGTATTTTTTAAATCAATTTCAAGTTGTTCAATAAGTGTTCTATATAAACATTTTCGACTTTTCAAAGTTTAATAGTATTTAATTGCTTACTTATATTCATACAATTCTTATAGTAGATCTTTAATTTAGCGAAAGCGTTTGGTTCATCTGGTTTTATTTCTTCTTTCATTTGATCTATCAACTCATTCATCACATTTTTCTGAGTAAAGCTAAATGTGTCTATTTTGTTCATATCAGCAGGAATTTCCGTGGTTTTTATAAAATTGCCACATGCAAATTGATAGAAGTCATCACAAGGATTCACTTTTTCATCTATATATCGTTTGAAAAAGGAAGCTGTAAAAATAATATGTCAATTTTTATTTAAAAATACTTAATTTAAATTCATTGAGGTCGATGCAAACGCCTCGTTAAAAATACAAATACGACATTTTCATTAATAAATTGACCTTCGTTTAAGCACCTTGACGATGAACAAAATTCATGGCACATTTCTGCTTTGAAAGTAGTGCTATTTCCTGCTATATTATTGTTATGTAATTCTGAAAACAATAAAATTATTATGCTGAAAAATAGTCAAAATTTCTTTATAAAAAATTAGCTTACCAGGTTGGACTGACGAAACATCTCTTTTTTGTAATCTATCTAGAAGGATTAATTTATAATTATTAAGTATTAAAAAATATCAAAGTGATTCCAAGTAATGTCAGTCAAATTATTGTATAAAAAATAGTCAATAAAAATTTACCAGTTGCTGTTTTATTGCAGCTTGTACGATGATTAATTATAACTCCGAGGCCAATAAGGAGTGTAGCACATGCACAAAAACCGCATATTGCAATTACAAATAAGATTCTCTCTGTGAGCGTAAATGTTCTTAACCCTGGATTTTGTCTGAAAAAAATTTTTTTTACTACGCTATGTATGATACGTAAAACTATTTCTATCCTAAATTTTACTATAAAAATATAGGTTTTAGGATCTCTTCGGATAATGTATAGGAGAAATAATTTTTTAAAACATTATTTTGTTTAATAGCATTGGAAACTCTACTAATTTATATGTGATAACTCTCAAAAATTAAAAATTATATTTTAAAAGAATTCTTTCTCATATTCTCTCTCTAGAAAAATTCATGAAACCAATTAGTTATACTGATGATCGAACGTTAATGTACATTAACCTGTTAACCGGGGAAATCCCTTTCTAATTACGCAACATATAACGGGCGCGTCCTTTTCCACTAAGACGTGTATGAATGACGTATTACCATAGTAGTAGTAAAATATACGTCCCGCCCGTTCCAGGGCGCAATATAAATATCGAGGACGTATTCATATGTCCTACCCGTACCCGATATTGTTTACTTTTGACGTATTTGTACGTCCCGCTCGGTTAACAGGTTAATAATTTATAACTTACTTGATTGGTTGATTTTCAGTGTCAAATGTTCCATTGACCATAGTTGAAGTGTTTTAGAAACTCTAAAGTAATTTCTGTTAAAATATGTTATATATCTACAGAACATAAAGAAGACTTTCAAATATTTTCGACTAAATGTGCAGCTTATGATCACCGGTATATATTATCACCTAACGTTTTACAAGATTTAACGAAGCACCACAATACTCGCTAAACTTTTTTCCACACGTCTCTCGACGTCAAACGATCACTCATCGTTGTCCCTTGGTAATTATTACATGTGTCTTAATTACTCATTCAGGCTTTGCGGTGTGAAAGTAAAGAAGCGCGCAACTGGCGCCGGTGCGATTGTATCAGTAGTGGACTCTTCTCTCTCTCGCCGAGGCTTTTAAGATAGATTTTTGCGCGTTCATGTAACGGTTGATTTTCTAAGACTATTTTTAACAACTCCGTGATGTAGTGGGGGACAACTATTTCGTCGGAATTTCTCACATTTGGGAGTTCATAGTTTTATGCGCTTCTTCTTCTCGTTTTTTTCGATGTTATTTATGAAGACGGTTTCCTTGAACTTAATGATTTATTTAATTTCTACTGAGCAGGACGCTGTCGCTTTGAAATATCGCTGTTTGTGAAATTTTATTATACATGTGTGTATATATATTTGGCTGATGTTTCGAATTATTTTGACTAGGAAACAATATATTAATAATACAATAATACAGTGGAATAATAAATTAAGTGTTATTTGACTGTTTTATTCGTTGTACAACTTTATATTAATTCTTTTTTTATTAACAATAATAATGTTTACAGACTCCAATGTAAACTTTTTACGTTTTTTGACGATTATAAAAAAAACTTACTACAAACTTAAACATACATCAGACGTGGGTTATCACTAATACATATATTAGTACACTTTTAAAGAGAAAATTAAACGTTTTTACTGTAATATACATTCTATTTTCGAACAATCAATATGCACTATAATAATAGAAATGAATATTAAATAATGTAATACTTTTAAGTAAATTCTCAAAATTGTTACAATACAATTAAAACTAATAAATATAATTAAATGTTTATTATGTGTATGTATGTACAAAAAATACTATCAGACGCATTCTTTTCAACATATACATTACTAGTTACTAGATTTACATATTTCTTTACAAATAGATCATTTACGCATAATTTACTTTACAGTAAGTTCTTAAGATTTACGAATGTATTTCTTAAACACTTAAAAAATGAATATTTCTACCATTTATCATAAAAAATGTTTGCAGTCATTTTTCACAAAATTTTTATTATTTTTATATGATTCTTCGTGTATTATCTATTTTGATTTATTTTTCAATTCATTTTGTTCTGATACATTGTATATGTGTATAAAAAGACAAACAAAATTCATAGTGGTGTTTGGATATATAAAAACTGTTTATATTGTCAAACAACTTTAAAAACAATCTTTCAGTATCAAAAAATTATCGTTGATTATGTAAAAAGCACTTCCAAAATACAAATAAAATAAAATATTGTACAAGAATAATCAGTGTAAATACTGTAGACAAGGAACGTAAAAAAATTGTAATTACCTTGGAAACATACATATACCTATACAAATATAGCTTTACGTACTTCACCGCAAAACCTCAAGTTCGTCGCGTTTTCTCATTCGCAGAAAAGTACGTACATGGAGTTAATTTTATGCTTTTGTAAGCCACAAAAGGAAAGTAATCCAAATTTATTTTGTCGATCACATTAAACCAGTTTCCGCCGCGCCGATGCAGTCATTGACAAGAGAAATTCGCATTTCGATAACATTATTTTTTTCTAAAGAGACAACATTTCTTTACAAAGTACACACTCGTAATATCTCAAAATTCTATCCGAAAATTATTCACCACACAGCACACTTTTTCAAAGGATTCATTCTCGATCCAACAGGACAATTGAAATCTCGAGCAAACTCTGGCATATTTGACAGTGGCCCTATCACTCGAAACTCGCCAGGACTATGTTCGTCCGTGAGTATGTCAAGTTTAAGCATTTCAGATCGTTGTTTGGTACACCATACATTTGCTGCGCTGATCCAAAACATTTGTTGAGGTGTGTAGTCGAGACCTGGTAACAGAGGTTCTTTGCTGTTGCGACGTTCCCAATCGTTGTACGCATAGTAGGCTTCTTTGATGCCACCGTTGTCGGCTATGTTCTCACCTTGGGTATTAACACCATTCAACTATAAAATAGAAAATAATTTTAAATAACAATGAATTTTCGTTTCAGTTACGTCTGAGAGTTTTGAAGAATGGATAATATTTGAATTGATTATGAAAAAGTGGTTGTTATATCGGATACTTTTAAATTTAAATGTTTGAAAATATCACCGTAAAAAAGTCACATAACTCTAATTATTATGTCTCAATATATGCATTCGTTACTACTTATAAAGAATGAATAGCCAAACTCATTTGCAAAATCTATACGTTTAATCGACTTCTTCGACCGTATAAAGTAATGTTATGAGCATAATTAAACATTTAAAAATACGTAATTATTAAGCATTATTTTTACTAAAAGAAAATAAGAATTGATATTAATAAAAAAACATTTAAGTTATAAAGAATCATCTGTATTGCGGCATTTGTACATCAATTCTGAAGAAAAGAATGAAAGCTTACGCTCAGGCCAACATCTTCATCGGTATAATTTCCATATTGATGTATGATACACTGTGCCTTTTGCAAGAACTTCTTCTTTGTTTCCTCTCGCCACCACTCGGCCAAGTTGCCATCCTTGTCATACTGACTACCTTGATCATCGAAACCATGAGTTATCTCGTGACCCATGACAAAACCGATAGCACCGTAGTTCATGTACTGAGGTCTGTCTTTGTCAAAGAATTCACCTTGTAGGATTCCGGCTGGAAATTCTGTAAGACGAACAGTATTTTGCTATTTGATTGTTTAAAAGCCACTTAGTTGATGAAATATTTTGCTACACGCTTGAGTATCTAAAATGACTAAATGACTATCGGTATTTTTATCGAAATTTACACTTAAAATTCACGTTCTTTATGAGAGTAAAAATAAAATACAATTAAAAAAAAATTTTTGTTCGCGAAAGCTTTATACTACCCAAAATAAATCCCAGAAAAAATATTCGAATGGAAGGAGGGAACGTCCAAGAAAATTCCATTCACCCGCGTGCGCGAGAAATAAACGCACTCGATAATAACTGGTTTTCATCCTTTGACCTCTTTTTTTCTCTACACTTGCAATTATTTCACGTTCATTCGTAACTCATTTCTACTGTCACTTGGAAACTCGTTTGAGAGAAAACAGCCTCTTAAAAAACAGGATACGAAAAGTTCAATTTTACTGATTACAAACGAGATAAACATACACTCAAAATAACAACCCAAACTCTCCCCAATGAAATGAACATTAAGCATAATAATAACTCACGCATGCTATTGTCATTGGGAGAGTAATAAGCATTGACGACAGCTGCGTCACCGTAGGTTATCCAGTCGCTCTTGTTCACAGGTTTTCTCAACTGACTGAGTGTGTATTCGGTGGCAAATAACGTTAAGTTTAATATGCTCTCGAGGTAATTTCCTCGCTCGATCGTCAATGATTCATAATATTTGTCCAACTTATTATCATCCAGTAATTCATTCGGATAAGCGATGAAGCTGCTCATGGCGTCAGCCTTCTCTAAGGCAGCTAAGCGAGTTTCCTCGTCCATCCAGTCGACCTGCGTCATTTAAAATACCGGTTCAAATGTTATAATTACGTATTCATTATTGATTGAATCATCTCCTATTTGTGCGAAACTGGTGCTTTTATTCATATTAGATTTGCGTATAACAAGATATTAAAAAAATTCAGACCTTTTCGATAATCTTTCGGAATTCTTTGCGTATTCCTGTAACCATTTCGACGACATTTTTCTTGGCTTCCTCGTCGAAGTATTTTCTCACATATAATGCGCCAATGCTCAACGATAACCCGCCAGAGACAACGTCTACGCATTCTTGCCATCTGCAAATATAATTTCGTAAAGTATTTATTTTACCTATTTTCATGGATATGAAAATATCCTTTTGGGCAGTGGTGATTCATGGAACATTTTGAGATACTGAGAAAGAAATGGTGATACACTTCAGAAACGATATAAAAACTGGGCTTTCTTGACAGGTATGAATGCGATTCGATAGAATTTAATAATATCCAATACTTTTTCTAATAAATGTACCGTATAACAAAATAAACGACTTTATTTTCCAGATTCGCCATCTTCACTGATCTATATCATAGTTCTGTGCGCGTAAAAACTAGAAAATTGTATAATATTCAAATTATATATCACGCGTTTGACGTAATTTGAGAATTTCAATGAACTCTAATTCTCACAAATACTTTTTATATCAATAACACAAAAATCGCTTACCTAGGTTCACGCTCTGTCTCGCCTGTAACTTCAGTCCAATAGATCAATTGTCTCCTCCTGATATCCTCATTGAGATATTCAACGGAATCGCGTACAAGTCGCCAAGCAGCATAGTTTGCTTGCACGCGTTTCGGAGTAATACGTAGCAATCTCTCCAATTCGATAATGAATTTAGGCTCTTTGACGTTGACGACTTCACTGGAATCTAATTCCACGAATGGTGTCATCATCTTGTTCATGTACTCCAACCAAGGAACACTGGGATAAAGACGCGACAGCTCTTCTACGGTCATTGGATTGTATAGTTCCGAGGCGTTGCGACGATTTTCATTCGGTAATGATATCTATTAGGATTAAATTTTTATAAAGAGATTTCTTACTATATTATAATTTTGCTGATCAGTATTTCTTTTACTAAATATTTCAATGCTTATGCGAGGAATTCTTTTATACTTTTTTAGAGTGTAGTTTGTACACGTAAACAATAGAAAATTTAGAGTATTTTTGTATTAAAAAAAATATATACGATGGCAGCTTAATGAAAAAACAAATCTTTGAAAAATAATAAAATTATGGATATGCAAAGAGCTCGTGAAATTCATGAAAAAAAATCATTAATCTTTATCATTAATCGCCAACAAAAAAAATGTATATTTTTAAAATTGCTGCTTTTGCAATCGTAATATATTTATGTTCTTAAAAAATTATGGATAATCGCAAAAAAGTAAACAAAGTACATTTCCTAACATGATTGTGCAAAGTCGAATTGTACGAGGAAAATGATAGCAGAATTAAAAATACATGACTATACTTACTTTGGCAAGTTTAATTTCAAAATTGAGGGAGTCTAAAAGTTCTTTGGTTACGCGATCTCTATTTCCGCCGAGAATTACAGCGATGTCAACCATGTAATTGTAGTAAGCCTTCACAACTTCATTTTCTAAGCCTTTCGACAGGTATTCTCGCGGCAGTGATAGCCAAGTTTGATCTAACTATAGCATTACAACTTATATTTAAAAAATTAAGTCGGGATCACACTGTTGTGATTATAGTCAACTTACAGTTATGATGCGCTTAGAACTATTTTTCGAGTCAACGTCAATATCGAAACTGATGAAATAGTCGACCGAGTAGCCAATTATTCTATTCCGGTAAACAGAATCTTTCCAGTCAAAGGTGTTCTCATTCCAATCGTCGAGCAATACTGGCCAGCCTCCCAGTTTTTCCAGCACGTCAATAATAGGCTCCAATCCTTGTTCTTCAATCAATGCTGAAATCCACTTAGTTAAAGATTAAAATCTTCAAAATCATTCAAAAAGATTCGTGTCATAAATGGATTCACAGAAGTATAGCTGAGACAAGCTGTCGATTATACTTACATTTATCCATGCAGCTTTGATAGAGCGTTTTCGCCAATTTAAATGGCCGCGTTTCATTATCTTTTATTTCCTCCTCTATACTCGCTCTCAACTGCATCTGCAAGTCATCGTCGATCATGCTGAATGTGTCGACACTCGCTTGATCGTCGGGTATAACCGTATTCTTCAGAAAGCTGCCGCACGCGAACTCGTAAAAGTTTTCGCAAGGATCGACTTCGGCATCCATATTGTCTAAAATTGTCGATGCTGTAAATATTTCATTTGTTTAATCTGTCATTTACAAGAAAAAAATGTGTATTCCTAATAAATTCTACCTGTATGAATGCACTCTGGTGTCATGCAAATGACATCGCGGCCAATAACTCTAGACCACTTTTCTATTCTTGATTTGCTTGAAGACACTGCGAAGGATGAAAAAACATGTATCGTTGCATGTAATTATAGACGTTAGTTATAGCTCAAGTGATTAAATGATAAGTGACTAATGATTGACTAATGGCTTTCGCGATTAGTTTTTTGCGCTAATTGACGTTAGAAAATTGGTTCTATTCAAGTCAAAAGATCAGTAACATTTAGATACATTGAATTTTTTAGATACGTTTTAGATAAAATCACAGTCGTGGAGATTTATAATGATATCGTTAATTAAGAAATGTTCTGTTAAATACTTTAAAATTACTTAACTAATACTAGAAAATAATAGAATAAATAAAACTGAATCTATTTAGCATTTTCTTAAAAATTTTCCACTGATTACGCAAATTAAACAGTTAGGTAGAAATCTGTAACTCTTGTAACTAACTTTTTTTTTATTTAAAGTTTCACTTGGCACTTCCAGTAATTGCAGTAATTTTCCAGAACTGTACTTTGATTATAACTTTGACAGCGTACTGCAAACAATTTTTTCACCGGAAACAGTTTTACTAATATTTTCCAACTTTTTTTTTCATTGCATGCAGATATCTCATGATTTAACTATACGTATAGAAATTAAAACACAAATCTCTGCAATTCTCCTCTCACCGCCAATTTCCTTATATCTTTCTTCGAAATGCTCCATCCCAACATCCTTAGCAACATACATACACAGAGGCGCGAGAAAACAAGAGAAAGCAAATAGCCTGGGCGCGGAGTGCAAATGCAGGTACATTCGGAGCAAACTGCTTAGACGCGCTAGGCAGGAAAGTGTAATTAATGTCTGCACTGCAGCGCGTCGGCTATACTCTTGCCGCGTGCGGGTCTTAGGTAAACGCCACATGTAATTTTCGGTGAAAGTCTCCATCGCGGGTAAAAGGTGAAATCTTATTCCGTGAGTACATTCAATCAAATATTAACTCATACGCGACTCTTTCGATTAACTGATTAACTGAGTTATGTGGAGTCTGCAAACGTTTAACGTTCTTTTTATAGAGCTGATGATTCAGTTTTTTCATTTATACTACTCGCCGTGTTACATTTTATACCAATTTCATGAAACAGTTCAGTCACTCTGTAGTTTCGTTAATAATACACCTTTAAAAAATTTAATTTTATATATAACTTATATTTCGAGCTATTTTAGGTTTTTGATAAAATATTAAATTTCGTAATAAAAAAATTGAAATATGACGTTCTTTGGAAATGGATGCATGAAGCAAAGCTTAAACAAATCTACTCCTTAAGTACTTGCATGTTGTCTATAAATAGTGTGCGTTGTGTATTATATAAAAAGAGCACGTGACAGCATTTCTGTTGACTAACGGATAATAAAACAGTTTCCTGAAATCACAATGCAAAAAGGAAGTGCCACGCTCATTTGAACCTTGTAATTGCGAATCTGTACAGTGAAAAGACTCTTACGAGCACTCTTCACGATATCGAGTTTTATAACGTAAATTCAACTTTGTTATATAGCTCTAAATTAATAGTTTTGTAAATAATGACAAAATCTTTTATATTTGAATAATATTTTCTTTTTATTTAGGTAATATTAATAATGCGTGAATGTTGCATCACAGTTACGGAGATGAAACATAAAATAAACTATAGTTATTACTTTTATTGACATGGTGTATCATGACAATTTTATAATCATAAATACTACTCTCTATGAATGAAATATTATTATTGCGGCTTGTCAAAACATATTAGGACATTATGAAATCATGCAAATTGAAGCTAAAATAACTTTCTAAAACTTTACTTTGCATGTCCTATCTTCACTGTATTTTCAACTGAACAAAATAATTTCCCATTATTAAAAAAATATTATTCTGTACCGATGCAATTCATGCTAACATTCAGATAAATAAACCTGCATCATTGAATATTTTTCATGTCACGGCTGAAGTCGAGTATGAAGGAAATGCAGTTGAATAACCGGTACGCTATGAAGGCATACATTGAAATTTATCTGACCTGCATTACAAGTAGTCTGACAAGTCGCGACTAATATCAGCAGTTAAATTTCTTGGAAAAAATATCCACAAGTTCTATTGTCAAACCAATTTTTCTTACGTAACAAAGTGTTGATGAACTCCATGTTTCAACGACACAACGTATCATTAGTATGATTAATTAAAGTAGCCTTAAATGATCTTTTAATTACTCATTTAGTAAGAAGTACAATTTTCGACGTATAATTTTAGACTTATTATTTGAAAGCACATCTAGCAAGCCTACTATATAGAATCAACTGTTTTAATTATATAAAACTAGCACAGTCATATTTTTGTATAATTTCATAAGGTATTTGATTATTGCTTGAGTCATCTATGTATCAGAGATGGGAAATCGTAAAAAGTGCAATGGTAGTACTTCAGGGGCGCATGATAATAGTACAAACTTTAATACAATGACTTGTTTGACTCTCATCTAGCTCTTGCATCTAGTCGTATTTTCAACTTAAATTTTCCAGAAGTTGTACTTCGAATCACAAGGGTACATCGGTCATTATGAATTCTTACAAAACTCGAGCTATCCGATTCAAGATGAAAAACTCATCCAAAACAATCTATTTTTATGTTTAGCTTATAAATAACAAAAGAATGTACTTATAATTATTATGACTACAACGATCAACATGAAATTCTACTCTTACATATATTCATACAAAAACGTGACTAAATAACAATAATTAAAATTCTTAATAATTGTAATCTTTGTCATAATTATTAAAAAAAATTTTTATATGCGAAATTTAAATAACAATTGTGACCTTTATTCAATTATCAAGTCAATATCCATACAGTATTTGATTCATTATTATATACATATAAACATAAAGACAAGACAATGAAACACTTTACCGAATGTCATGATTTCTGAGATAAATCTTTCATTGAATTTTAAAAGTTGTTCAAAACGTTAACAGTCATATAATTTGTTCGTAATATATATTTAAACAGTGATAACTTACATTCGTTGAGAGTCCTGTCGCAAGTCCTCATCCTCATGGCGACGACCTCGATACCAATGATAAGTCCAACGCAAATAAGCAGCACACACACAGACATGATCGCGAGACCCCTCTCTAAAGCCGAGCGTTTCTTCCACCAGGAGGTCGAGCTTCTGAAAGTCAAAAATAATCCGTTGTGAATTCAAAGTGAGCCTTTTCCTAAGTGCGGTTGATTTGGTAATTAACGTTTCGTGCGGTAGTCGTTACGTCTGTGCGCGCTTCGAAGCTTGATGTAACGCTGAAGAAAATGAGCTATTCTGACGATAAGCCTTTGTCAAGCTGCTACTGTACTTTTTGTTTCCGTGCTTTTTTTAGACAATTACGGAACTCGGTAATTTAGCGTTGTTTTTACGTTTCATCGCAAGTAAATGATTTTGTTGATTGTGTACGACGAATTTATCGGATTTGTAGAAAATTGAATCATGTGAAAATACGAATTTCATCGAAATATAATACTATAATACAAATCGATTGTTTGAACTTATAACACTAATGTCAAGTTCATTTAATTCAAGAGTTATAAAACATTTTTTTCATCGTAGGATTTTATTGTTCTTTTTAGTTTCGAAATAATATTCCGTAGGTTTAGTCATATTAATACAAGTTTTGTCTTTCAAATAAATATTAATTGAAAGCCTTTAAACGATCGTTTTATTATATCCAGGTATCTTATTCGCAACCTGAAAACATTCTATCTATAAAGAATAAAGTTATAAACTCGTCATATTTCTTCGTCATATAACAAAGAATAGGCCTGATGCGTTATCTGATAATCGTTAATGCGTTGAACATTTGAGTTTAATAAATTCATTTAATAAATAAAAATTATTTCCTGCCTTAACTTTGTTAATACATTTTTCAATAATTTTCATAATAGTACATGAAATTCAACTTTAAATGAAATTAATCATTAAAAATGTTATGGCATAAGTAAATTTCAAATCGAAAGCTGCTTTTATCATCTTAAATATTAGACATACTTCATAAATATACAGGTTATAATCAATTTCATTAATTTAATCTGATTATATTTTAAAACTAAGACAAGCATACAAATATAATTATTACAAGTAGAATATTAATATTTATAATCTACTTGTAATAAATGAACCAAACTTACAAACGTAGTTATACATACAAACATATTTTTAGCAAGTTGGGCTTGCATAAAAAAATTATAATTACTTTGACATTACCGGAAATAATTTGATTTTTTTATTAATAAGAATGTTATTTGCAAATATGAAGTTTTCAATGCATACTTTCTATTAAACATCAGCTCAAACAGCATTTCCGTATTATTTAAAGACTAAAGATATTCCAGGTAGTGATATTATTATACAGTCAAGTTCATAAATAAATTCGAAAATTGATGAAAATTGATCTGAGGCTTCTATACTTAGAAATAAACTGTCGTTTATACTTATGCATTGAATTTATGTGTGAATTTAAAAATGTTGGTAAATCGTGACAATGGCCTGTTTTGAGACAAAAAAATTCCTATTTTTCAAACACAATAAATATTTAAACGGATTATCAAAAAATTATCAAAATCACAAGATAGCGAGGAAATCTCATAAAAGTGCAGTTTATACTACATGTATCCTTTTCTCACGAGAATTATTCTTATCCTCATCCAACTTTCAATTCGTAAAGAATGAAAACATTTGCACAAATTTCAGAAATGGAAACTTATCGGTAGATGTAGTATCAATCGGCAATCATATTCAATTAAAGTTGATTAATCAATCACAGATCATTCATCGTCTCCAAGAGAAAAAAGTACAGCACTCTGAGTCGTTAAGCCACACCAACGCTTAGATCAACAACACTTGGGAAACACATACTAACTTGACGATAATTTGCTCGGTGCTGCTCGTCATATTTGTGCAGTTTTAACTCGCAAGAATCCAAAGAAGCGAGACTTTAGCCTCGCCGGGTATTATAACATGATGTTCCCGCAGGTCGTTCAGCTACAATGTCGCGGCGAGACTGAGCAGTCGTGCGTTCGCCACCTGACATATAAGTGCCTCGCGGAGTCTCTCTCACTCCTTCTACAATGTTATACGACAAAGCCAGCAGAGACAATTGCCTCGTGCGATGTCCTTTTTCTTTTTTTTTTTTCACGGGTGTTAGTTATTATAGAGATCATCCCGATCCTTATCTATCAATACATGCGATCGAAATAATTTTTTTCTTCTAGTTTCTAAGAACCTAAAATTTTTTTACTACAGAAGACATTATTTCGCTATACATAATAAATTCGATTAAAGAATCCTTCTCCATTTTATATACAAGATGTAAAAAATATATTTACGAAATTTTGCTTTATACTTTGTTTTTATTAATTTCTTAAAACTTTAACTAGACTATAAAAAGTTTCATCTTTCAGAGTCGGCTTATTGACATTTAATTTCATTGTTTTATATAAAAAATGTGATCTCTTTAATGGAAAACAAACCCATCAAATATTAAAAGAATTCATTTACAAAAGAAAATATTCAACAAACGTAATATTATTGAAAACGTTACATTTGTAAACTCTTGTTAAAGGCAGACCAAAAAAATAACTCTTCTCTTTATAATGCAAAATTAAACTTAATGATTTTCCTTTCAAACGAAAAGTTTCAATACGCAGATCCGAAATAGTGAACTATAGTAGCACGCTATTACTATTGTAGAGCAGTGTTGACAAGACAAGTTGATTGCTTTGTAACAATTCGCAATTGTCTTTTATACAAAAAGGTGTTCCGGCAACCCTAATTTTTTTTAATTTTTTTTATCCTTCGCATGGAGAAAACAAACGGAACATATGCATTTATAAAATCTGAATCGAGTTTTGAAAACATCCCGTTGAAATTTTCTGTACTAAATTTGAATTCATTCGCTTTATCTAACGGATATAAGATGGTTATTTATTTTTTACTGTTGCAATTAGACATTTTTTCACAATGAAGCGTTGATTGAAGAATCTGATTTTTCGTCGATTGAATAATGCTTCCGTGAGAATAATGACACAATAAAAATATAGTTCAACTTATTTATGCCTTTACCTACATCTACTTTTTTACTTCCTGCATGTTTGTAACAATGCTCAGACTCATTTGAAATCAATTTGTATACTTATTATGAACACGTCAATTCAGAAAAAGAAATCAAATAATTTGTTAAAACGATGTATGTGATTTCTCGGCTCCTGTCACGAAGCTTTGTAATTAGATTATCGTTCCTTTTACTTTATTTGTTTTATGAGTGTTTACTATTTCACAATTTGAGATGAAATTCTTAAAGTGTAGTTTTCTTATCACGGTGACTGTTTTCTTAAACTTTGCAAGAATGAAAAAAGTGTGCTCAAAGACTTTGTTTTAGAGCCTTTGAGTTATTAATTCTATAGAAATACATGCAGATTTCATAACAACCAGTAAATCACTTATTTTTGCATTTTAGTGGAACCTCCTCAGTGGGACAATGATAGTATTTCGTCTGTGTAAATATATCTAGTTAAGCATACGTCATTTTCTCTTAAGAACAACCTTGTACTATTTTAAAAAGCAATAAATTTGTTTTGCCAACATTGGGTAATTTTTCCTGTATTGTACTGGCTTGTCAGTTCTTGTATTGTCATGCTAGAGTCTACGAGCAAGCTTTTATTACTTTAGATTTTAATATGTGGAACTCGAAATCGCAAGTGTCAATGAAGCTATTACTAATTCAATAACTTTTAATCGTTTTTCAATCACAGTATCTGCTAAGTATGTTATCATAATCAGACTCAGAAATATATTTAGAATTATTAATGTAAAATTCCCAAGGAAAAATAAACCTCGCTAATAACATTAGAGTACTCATTCACAGTTTGTTTAAGATTGGCCCAACAAAACAATGCGATAAAGAAAATGTCTCACCTTGCTGTAAAAGCAATCTAAGCAAATTCGGCGCGGCTTATCGCGTTGCGCAACATCTCATGGTGTTATTCCGGCAACGGTAACTAACAGAGTGCAGTTTCAACTCGACAAACGCGACTATTGCATTGCATAGGTGGTTGGCCTGCGCGCGTCGGTCACTGCACTGTCTAAAGCCATTGAAACTAGAGTAGTTTTGGCGGGAGAACCATCTCCGACACGTGTAACAGCGATGTACTGCACTCGTATCTATGTGTGTCACTTCGTTGCATACTATTTGCTTTTATTCTTATTGAAATGAATTTAGGATATAGCTTGGATTTAGGGAAATTTTAGGGAACTTTTTTATTTTGTCATTGAAAGCTGTCGTAAGTTAGAATTGTCGAAAAATATTCTTTGGTACGAATTAGTAAATAACAGTGATCGTTTTTTTATGAGAAGATTGATAATATTTTATTGAAATTTTATATTTAAACACTACAGTTGTTCAACAAATATATATTTACTCAATCTTATAAAATACAAGGTAAGATATATAACTTATATCTATCTCATTCTCATTAGGAACTTTTTAATTAGTTTCTGAGCTATTGCAATTATTTTATCTACAAGCTATGGTCGATACAATACTACTTATCAATTATAAAAATAACTCCGGTTTGTACTATCTGTAATAATACGTCAATTATAAATATATCGAAATGAAAACAATGACTGACAATAAGCTTTATAATACTCACTATCATAAAATACGTGCGATTTATGCATCAACTAAGAACTAAAATTACTCCATGACAATGAGAATTATAAGCAAACTGATAATTCAAACTCTCGCATTATTAAAAATCTTAAATTGAACAACTGTCAACATGTAATAGCGATAAATTGTGGCCAGTGTTTGAGTTTCTATTACCAAACCGAACACTTTTTCTCTGGATTCATTCTTGAACCAACAGGACAGTTAAAATCCTTGGAAAACTCAGGCATATTTGACAATGGTCCTATTACCCGGAATTCGTTAGGACTATGCTCGCCGGTGGTGATATCCATCTTAAGGGATTGAGGTCGATATTTGCAGCACCATGTATTCGCTGTACTGATCCAGAACATTTGCTGAGGAGTAAATTCGAGACCTGGAAGCCGAGGTTCTTGCGGTCCATTGCGACGTTCCCACTCGTTGTAGGCGTAATAAGCCTGTTTAATGCCGCCGTTATCAGCGATATTTTCACCCTGCGTATTAATTCCGTTCAGCTACAAATAATAGATTAGTATTAAATTTTATTATCAATAACAAATATAAAAATCTATTTTAATATGGCTATTAATGGCATATTTTGAAATTTATGTGTCTCTAAAATGCAGATTCATCTTTTACTTTATGTAACTCACTAATGTAGATTCATAAAACATTGCTTCAATTTTAACTCTATCCAAATATTATATATTAAAGATCTGGCTCTAGAGATTTTTTGCTACTTATATATAATACAAACACAATAAAATGACTTACATTCATGTTAACTTCACGTGCAGTGTAATTAGAATATTGATCAATGATGCACTGTGCTTTTTCCAAATATTTTTGTTTGGTTTTAGCTTGCCACCAATCAACCAGATTACCATCCTTATTAAATTGTCTGCCTTCATCATCAAATCCGTGAGTGATTTCGTGACCCACAATAAAACCAATCGCGCCGTAGTTCATGTATTTTGGTCGTTCATTGTTGAAAAACACTCCTTGCAAGATACCAGCTGGGAATTCTGTTTGATAAAAAGTTTAATTTACATTTTCGAAGTAAATTTTTTTATTAATTATACGAACGGATACTGTTTTCGTTGAAAGAGTAGAAAGCATTGACCCATGTGGGTCTGCCATGCGCAATCCAGTCGCTTTTGTTAACAGGTTTCTTTAGTTGACTGAATGTATAATCATCGCCATATATCGTCAAATTTAAGCGACTCTGAAGATAATTATTAGGGCTGATTTCCAGTTTTTTATACAGTTCTTCGACTTTTTTACTATCTAGTAGTTCAATTGGATAGGCGATATGCTCTTCCATCGAAGTAGCTTTGTCCAGGGCAGCTTTTCTTGTTTTATCGTCCATCCAATCAATCTTCAAAATATCCACATGTAGTTAATAAAAATAAGATTCTATACAACTTTAAAAAATACATTTATAAGAAAATTATCAATCTTCGATTTTTACACGAATTGATGTGTCAATTTTTTTCCAATTTGCAATTTAACATAAATATTGATAATAAGTTTAGTGCATGATTGTTAATTATGTAAAATAGACTGTCATTACAGTAGAATCTTTTAGACTTGAATATATTAGTTACATGTGATTTAATATTTGTTAGTTATTTTGGGAAACTTAGATAAAGAACTTTAATTACCTTTCATATTAAATGAGAAAGTAAAGAAAAATACTGACCATATTTAAAATTTTCTTGAATTCCTGTCTAATTCCAGCTATCATTTCAATAGCCGCTTTTTTAGATTCTTCATCAAAATATTTTTTTACGTAAGCTGCTCCTATTGCTTTTGAAAAGCTTTTTCTTATTAATTTTACGCACTCTTTCCATCTTGATCCTCGCTCAGTTCTTCCTGTGAAGCAAATTCATAGACCCATGTTTCCTTTATAGTATTATATTTTATAAAACTTTTGAACCCACCACTAACAACAGTGTAGTAAGCCAACTGTCTTTTCCGTATTTCATCGGTCAAATAACCTACAGAATTCACGACTACCCTCCATAAAATGTAGTTTGCTTGCACTCGTTTTGGTGTCTGTTGAAGAAGGCGTTCTAAATTACTAATGTACGATGGAGCATAAATAATTACGACTTCATCTTCATCCACAAGTGCACTCGGCGACAAGATATTATTGATGTAATCTAACCATGGGATACTAGGATATTTTTCATGTAGTTGACGAATGGTCATTGGATTGTACAGATCCGTTACATTTCGTCGCTTTTCGCTTGGAACAGAAATCTATGTTGACAACCAAATTCGCAATTAACATAAATTAATTATTCATGGCATTGATTATTACACGATTAAGAGACTATATTCAACCCAAATAAAGTTACCCAATACCAAAATGTAAACTAACGTTAGCAAGTTTTATTTCCAACTCTAAAGATTCTTTGAGCTGTTCGCGCGATTCTTCTCCATCTGCACCAAGAATTACTGCAAGATCAACCATGTAATCATAATATGCACGAACAATCTCGTTTTCCAATCCTTGCAATAAATATTTTTGAGAAAGGCCCAAAGAAGCTTGATCCAGCTTGATTAAAAATAAGGTTGTACAAATCAAAACCATATCAGAGTAGTTTTTATCGAAATAAAAAATAATAAAGCAATATATTTAGTAGCTTACATAAACTACCCGCTTAGTGTTATTCTTTTGATCGACATCAATGTCGAAGCTGATAAACAAATCTATAGAATAACCATATCTTCGATTCTTGTAAATGGATGCTTTCCAATCAAAATCAGTGTCATTCCACTTATCACCCATTAGAACCGGCCAGCCACCCAACTCCTTTAGTATTTTATGAAGGGGGTTTAATCCTTGTTCTTCTATTAATTCTAAAATCGGAATAAATTCAATTATAGTCACTGTGCACGAATAAAAATCAGGCATAATTTTTTTGTCATCAAAATATATTAAATTACTGAAGCAGTTAAAATTACTGAAAGATTTATTGATATAAATTTTGTAATAAATACATACTTTGATTCATGCATGTCTCATATAGAATTTTCGCAAGTCTAAGGGACCTTGTATTGTTAAAGTTTTCTTCTTCAATAATATTTCTAAGTTGTGTTTGCAACTTGTTACTAACTATTCCAAAAGTATCAACTTCCTCCTGGTCATCGGGAATAATTGTATTTTTCAGAAAATTACCACAAGCAAAATGGTAGAAGTCGTCGCATGGCTTCACAGTCGGATCCATATTATCGAGAATTGATGAAGCTTGCAATATGATTAGTTGAATGTACACATATTCAATGTTTTCATTAATGTTTTGATGCTAGGTATATTTTTTTGTACAACGTTAGTTTTCAACTACAAATGTTTACCTGTATGTATGCATTCTGCAGAGGAGCAGACGTCACCAACTGGTGGTTTTTCGATAATTGATGGCTCTTCCTTGGGTATCGCCGTAGTACTCGGAGTTGTTACTGGATATATTAATCCTAAATTGAATTAGAAATTTTATGAAAGTGTAGAATACATGCAAATAACTTTTACATTTAAAAATTTGTCAAAATAAACGTTAATTTTATTTATAATGTCATGAAATTGTATTATGTATACTTGTGAAAATTGAAAAACTGAAATATTACTTTATATGTGAAAATTTACCCATTGTTAGAGTTGTATGGTAGTCTTTGGTAGTGGATGCCATTATTAAAATGCCAATAACAAGTACAGTAGAGACTAAAATCGCGCATGTAGCAAAAATAGTTAGTCGACGTTCGAGAGACGTACGCTTCTTCCACCATGTTACATCTCTAAATTGAAAATATTTTTGTCATATTATAAGCTTTGTCTTTCATAAAAATATATTTCAACATGCAGACAAATTAATTTGGATGTAAGTTTGACCTTGTTTAGATAAACATTGATAATGATAATGAGCATTAAACACGTTATCAAAGTGTAGGCGGAGGTAATTTGGAGCATGAATTTAACGTGATTGGGCTATTGTAATATATAATTTAGTATGAGTTTTGTGAAAACTTTCTGGTTTTATGAACCGCGATATCTCGATATTTTATCTCGATTCAATGATTTACATAATATACAAAATGTGAGGCATTACTTTCATAGTAAAAATGCATCCTCTGTATTATTATTCTGATCGTGATATTACAAATCAACAAGAAAATAGATATAAAATTTCACGAAGCACTATCCCCACTATATTTTTAAATATTTAACAACGAGTATTTTAAAAAGCAATAAAATTAGGTTAGAACGATTGGTAAATAATATATTATCATAGCCGTTCTTATTCGTCGCAATGTTCATATAATTGAAATTTAGTAAAACACATTCAAAAGATGAAATGTGCATGTACTATTGATAAAGTAAGTGGTCTTATTCAATGTAGTCTAACATAAGTGATTCCATTTAATACGGTGGGTTTCCAATTGACGCAGCGGAGTTATAGTACTGACACATTCATAAATTCCAACTTATTTTTATAAATTTTCGGATACATGTCGATAATATCTATTAAAAACAATAAATCTCCCTTAAATCTTCTTAAACTTTATTTTAAGATCGAATCACAACATATTATAACTATTATAAACTGAACTACTGAAACATGAATAATATAACGTGAGACAAATAAGTTTAATATTTTTCCGCATTTAAAAGTTACATTGTAATTTAATGCTAATTTAATTATAAATAATAACATAAAATGTGAAAAAATTAAGAAATCGTTACAGTAATAAACTTAATATTATGTGAATAAAAAAACTGACCTTATAGAAGTTTCCATTTTATCCACCATCTTTACTATTTTATGTTACACTTTACAGTATTGGAATTTTGAAATGTTTAAAGTAGAACAAATTCTTTTTATAACAGTATGTACTAGTGGTATAAAAAATAAATCATTATAAAAATGTTTTTTTTTTTTCGTTATTTAATATTACGTGCTAAGGTTTGTAATTAAATGTATAGCAAATGAAAATAAATTTTGGGACACTTCACTATTATATTATTGATTTTTAAATAAATAATATTTTACTACAGTACTTCGTCAGCGATGTACCGAACACAGAAAAAAATTGTTTACTTGATCAGATGTTGAGAATGTAAACTTGTTAAACGATATTATTGAACCATTGTCAAATAATCCTCATAGAACAGTAGAATCACATCACAAACTAACAGGGTAATAACTTGATCGACTGTACACGTCATGTTTTTGTCGTTTTATCGTCGCGCCCGAGTCCGACGCAAGACTGAGTGGCAGCAAGCAGATCACTTCGAATTTAAAACTCCAACACAGTAGTAAGTGCTGCATGCGATTTACCTTTTAGCAACGGCGCGTGCTTGCGTACTCCACCGATGTTTTTGTGCAAGCTGACTCTGATAGTACAAACTGAAGAAAAACAAGTTAAAAACGTATGCGGAAAAATATAACATTTCAATAAAAGAAAACATTGCTAAATTGTGTGGTAAGAAAAAAGTATAAAATTACGTTTTTTTCTGGTATGTCTTTAATATTAAAATGTCACCATCAACAAATATATCATACTTGATTGAAATTCTTATTCATTTATAAAAGCAATAATAGAAAAAGAAATCGTAAAATAATACATTGTTCACTATTAGCTATAAGCAATGCTCATCTCGTAACATCGCTTATAAATACAAATCGTACGTGTAATTTGCTCTCTATATGGCGTGATAAGAAAACGATGGAATGTAAAGCAATAATCGAAAGAAAATAGTTTGTCATAATGTAAACAACGTCCTAAAACTACGAATACGATTAATACTAAAGAACGATGCCTAAGTACTTTGTGACGATTAGTAAATTGTGTAAATGTTAGTTGTATGTTCAGCCAAGCCTAACATTTAATAATCTTTAATAGTAAACGTTTAATATTGTACAACAAAGTGATTAATTTTTCTGCTCTTTTTTCAATTGGTACATCAAATAATAGTTGGTTTCAATGAAATTATATATATCCTTAAAGCTTAAAATATTCGAAAATGCAATTTGAAAAAAAAGGAACAATAATATAATATATGAAAATATGAAACAGTTGATAATCTCATATTAATGACTTCTTAATGATATATCACGTCTGCCTAATTGTGCGAATTCATTTGTTATTATATAAAAAGTTCATTCGCACGAGAGTTTAAACTAATATATCTTACAATTATAATTGAAACGTCAATTGTTGACCTTGAATATTCAACAGTTCAATTTCTTTTTTCTACTTGAATATACGGTAACGATCATTTATCTTTTAATATATTTATATCATTGATAAAAATGCAGTATATAATACTACTTATCCTAAAATGCTGAGATATTTTTACAATCCTCTTCTGAAATATGTTCCCTATCACAAAATTTGACGTGTCGAAGAGTAAAAGAGGCCAGAATGGTTTGTTGACATAAAATAATGAGTTTATAGGCGCCTTGTGCCTGCTGTAAATATAATTATGACAGTATGCAAGAGTATAAAGTATACCTATTTAGGAAAAATCAATCGAACATTCATAATGTTCGACAAACAACAATTTTTTTTCAAAAATTTTCATTGCAAACGTTGCCATTCTCCAATTTTTTTTTTAATTTCAACGACACATCTCTGTTACTTATTTATATATATTCTGTTCTTCCATCATTTGATAAGTTTTTCTTTGTTATATTAAAATGTATAATTTTATACATGTACGTTCAGAAACAGTTACCATTTCATTATTTCAAAATTTCGATCCGTATAATTGCAATTATTGCCTAAACAAATTTTAATCCTAGTCAAATCGCAGTAAATTTTGATAAATGCTAAAAGGCACTTCCAGCTTCATTATAACAGAGACCTTTTAGCATTCATTTTATTCAACTTTCCAATTGTTCGGTCAATGTTGTTGTAAAAACGTAATTTCCATTATTTTAAGCCACAACAAACATTACTTACTTTCGGAATAATTTTACCTAGATACTAGTTTTTTGCTTCGTAATGGTAAAATATCATTTTACTAAACTATATCTCTCTGACAAAAAACACTAATCAGAGATACTTCGCCACACATAACTTCAGAGTACAGTTGAGTCTTTCAAATTGAAATAGATTTTTAGCAATAACATTGCAATCAAAATGTAAATCCACCAAGACAACGTGTTGAACAGAAGAAATATTAGTTCACAGTGCTCATTTTGAAAAAAAAAAATTGTCGCTCGATTCCTACCAAACGGAGCACTTCTTTTCGGGATTCATCCTCGAGCCGATAGGACATTTAAAGTCTTTGGCGAATTCGGGCATATTTGACAGTGGTCCTATAACGCGGAACTCTCCTGGGCTATGTACACCAGTTGTAATACGTAATTTCAAAGTTTCAGGTCGGTACTTGCTGCACCATGTATTAGCTGCACTAATCCAGAACATCTGTTGTGGACTGAACTTAAGACCTGGAAGTCTGGGCTCTTTGCCATTGCGACGTTCCCACTCATTGTAGGCATAGTAGGCTTCTTTGATACCACCGTTGTCGGCTATATTTTCACCTTGAGTATTGATGCCGTTCAGCTAGAAGATAAAATGTGAAAAATGAATTTTCTAATTGTTTACGAGAACAAATGTTTAAACTGTAAGTTAGCAATCGCAACTTACATTAAGACCAACTTCGTGAGCTGTGTAATTCGCATACTGATCGATGATACATTGTGCTCTTTTCAGATAGTTTTCTTTGGTACTAGGTTGCCACCACTCAACGAGATTACCGGCCTTGTCGAATTGTCTACCTTGATCGTCAAATCCATGTGTGATTTCATGACCCATCACAAAACCGATCGCACCGTAGTTCATATATCTTGGCCTGTCTTTACTGAAGAAAGCACCTTGTAAGATTCCAGCCGGAAATTCTGTCGAAAATATTTGTAAAATCAGTTACTTTTGATGCAATTGTTGAAAAATAAAATAATTTTTGCACTAACGAATACTGTTTTCAATAGACGAGTAGAATGCATTAACAATCGCAGGTCTACCATGAGTAACCCAGTCACTTTTGTTGACGGGTTTCCTGAGTTTGTCAAAGGAGTATTCGTTATTAAAGAGTGTCAAGTTCAAAATGCTCTGAAGATAGTTGCCGGGACTAATGTCCAATTTTGCATAAAGCTCTTCCAGTTTTTTGTCGTCCAAGAGTTCATCTGGGTAAGCAATGTGTGTGCTCATCGATTCAGCTTTGTCCAAAGCGGCTTTTCTTGTTGTCTCATCCATCCAGTCAACCTGCAAATATGGAAAGATATGAATAATTTGCAAGTATGTTTAATTGTTTCAAGTTTTTAAGTGCAAATGTTTATCAACGATTGCAAAAAAAAGACTAAATCATTAAATAGGAAGTTCTACGCTATGAAATAATCAGTTACATGTAGCTAAATATTTGCCTAGTTATTCTTTACGGAAAGATTGGAGAACTTCTTTATGCCAAAGCCATTGAGAACCAACCTTTTGTAAAATTTTCATAAACTCCTGTCGAATTTCAGAAACCATTTCGACGGCATTCTTCTTTGCGTCTTCATTAAAATATTTCCTAACATAGTTGGCACCAATAGCTATCGAAAAACTGCCCGATGTTATGTCCACACATTCTTTCCATCTTGGCTCACGTTCGGTCCTTCCTGTAGACGAAAAATTTCATGCATATTATAGTATAAATCTATGTTTATTATTGCTATCATTTTTTTCTACAGATATATCTTTCGAAAAGTGATGCGAAGAGAGTAAAGGAATGAATTGTCAATCAGGAGTAAACAAAAACACTGATCTTAGTTACGTGTTATTTTGTTTCTAGAACCTAATTTAATTTTTTTCTTTAATCTTAAATTTTTGCTGTTATTTTTAAACTTATTTGGAAAACGTACAAAGTATAAATTATTAAACTGGTTTTGAATAAAAAAAATTAAATGCTTCTAAAATTATTTCAATTCAATCATTTTCACTAACTTTTATGTCAAACGATAATTTTGTATGACATAATATAACTATCTTGTACTATAGCCAGTCTCGCCATACGCAGGGTGTTACTACTTGACTAGTTTCAGGCTACTGGTATTATTTAATCGACGGTTACCGTAATAGTTACTGCAATTTATCAACTTTCTCTAACATAATGGGTTGAAATTCTTATCTGCCTCTTTTTTTCCCTCGAAGCTGGTGGTAACAAGAATTGCATCATTTCTCTTCTAACCGCGAATCACATCAGTGAATGACAAGGCATGACGTCTTCGTGATTATCAAATACCGAACGATCGATTACTCGCAATTTTTCTATTATCTTCTTCAGTTAAATTCATAACAATCAACTTACCGCTGACAACGGTCGAATAAAGCAGCTGCCTCTTACGGACTTCTTCAGTAAGGTAGCTTACGGATCTAGCAGCGGCTCTCCACATAACGTAATTTGCTTGGACTCTTTTAGGTGTTTGTTCGAGAAGACGTTCGAGATCAGTTATATAGCTTGGTACGTTAATGATCACCATTTCATCTTCAGTGACGGTTGCACTAGGGGTAAGAATTGTGTTAAAGTACTCCATCCATGGGATTGTTGTGAATTTCTGCTGAAGCTCGCGGACTGACATCAGGTTGTACAGCGCAGTAGCGTTACGACGCTTCTCGCTTGGAAGAGAAATCTGTGGTAAATAAATTATTGGAATGAAAAACACCGCTCATAAAATACAAAATATAGTAACGTGAAATAAAAAAAGTTCTTCGCTCGAATGTTACGCAATAAATAATTATTACGTAAATTATACTTTATACTAACGTTTGCAAGTTTCATCTCAAATTCGAGAGAGTCTTTCAGTTCTTGACGAGCTTCCTCTTTATGAGCACCCAGTATTACAGCTAAATCGACCATATAGTCATAATATGCTTTAACAATTTCGTTCTTTAATCCCTTTGTCAAATATTCACGAGACAGACCCAATGAAGCTTGATCCAGCTGAAAAGAAGAAATAAGATTTTTTTTGTCATTAAAGAAAAATTTCTATCAGCGACAGACTTTCTTAAAATTTATATTACAAACCGTTTTTATGTAATGTAACACTTACATCAAGAACACGTTTCGTGCTATTTTTCAAATCCACGCCGATACTGAAGTCAATGAATAAATCAATTGAGTAACCATATTTTCGGTTCTTGTAAACGGATTCCTTCCAATTAAAATCACCGTCGTTCCACTTATCACCCATTAAAACCGGCCAACCACCAAGTTCCTTCAAGATTTTATGGAGAGGATCTAATCCTTGCTCCTCAATAAGACCTATAGTTCAAAATTTTATGTTACTAATACATAAAAATTTATCAATTTAGAATCAACAATTACATAAAAATATTTATTCACTCTTATTCATGCAAGTCTGGTAGAGTATCTTAGCAAGTTTAATAGGCCTTGGATCACTCGCTTTACTTTCTTCTTCTATGCTCGCTCTGAGCTGTTTCTGCAATTTGTCGCTAATGATGCTAAAAGTATTGACGCTTGTCTTGTCATCGGGAATGATCGTGTTTTTCATGAAAGTACCACAAGCGAAATTGTAGAAGTCATCACATGGCTCAACACTTGTATCCATACTTTCCAGAACTGACGATGCTTGAATTAAATGAAAATATTAATTAATTGATATTCTTATAAACTTTTAATAAAATACATTCCGAGGAATAAACAAACATATACCAGTGTGAATGCATCCAGGTGTCAAGCAAATATCAGAGTCACTCAATTTCTCGACAATTTGAGGGCCTTTCTTGGAAGGTGGTGAGCCACTTAGAGCTTCCGCTGTGGATGGTAGCATTTCCGCATTAGCTTGAGCAGCTATAAGCGTTCCGAGCCGATGCAGTGGATATTTGTGGAATGGCAATGCGTATACGTGCGGTGATTGTGGATTGTACAGTTAAAGCAGGTTGAATGACACATTCAGAGTTAAAAAAAAGCAAACGTTAGATTTTTTCAATGATCGTTATAAGTCAATATATCGTGATATTTTATTGAAAATTAAGATTATACCGATATTAATCAAAACGGTTGATTGCATTTTATTGTCTACTTGCTGTCATTAGTTATTTACTTTTGATCAATTTGTTACGGATGCCTTGTTTATAATATCTAAGCAGTTTAATTTTCAAAGTAACGATAATGAAAGATAAGATTTGATTCACACTAATTGAATATGCTACATTTGATTCTACTAGAATTCATCGGACTTAATTCTACTCTTATAATACATTGTTTTATGTTAAAAATTTAATCTGTTGATCGTTTTAAACAATTCATCCAATGATCGTTCTATCAAACTCTCTGAGCAAAAAGTAATCGGAAGAGCTATTTTTACGATCAGTATGAAAATACATATATCAGATCTGACACAGACGGCATGCATATGACATCAAAAAGCATCAGCGTGGCTTTTTGAGCTTTAATAGAAAAAGGAACTTACCATTTGGTAAGGATGATTGACAACTCTCGGAATTGGATGCTACGACTCCGAGACCGATGGCCAATGCTAGGGCAATCAAGAATGCGCATACGGCCATAATTGTCAATCCACGTTCTAAAGCCGTGCGTCTTTTCCACCATGTTGGATTTCTATTAACAAAAAAAATTTATAATCGAATTAATGTCAATTATATACAGTCATATAAGTAGCTATTGAAATACATTAATGTTGAATAAACATTCAACGAAAAATGAAATCATAGAGCTTAGTAGTGCAAAATCGATCGCGGCTCACTTATTGACCATCACTTATTGCGAGTATATAACTCATTGTCAACACTGAACTATGTCACAAAACTATTAACTACCTTAGCTTTTTCATCGCGTAAAAATATTTATTGAAGCTCATTCATTCCTCCGAAATTGATACTCGTATGGACCATGTGACAGGTGCCAATCGATCTGGATAATAATGTGCGTCGGATCTACAATAGTTAACGTTCAGAAAAAGACTTATTATTTACTAAATATTTGAACTACTACGTTATACGCCGCAGATGCTGCTCTTTTACATATGGCCTTTGTTGTTTTTGAAAAGCGTTAAGGATAATTGACACGATTTTATAAAAACTTATTGATAAATTCAGTGAAAAAATTTTTTAAACTTATGGAATTCACGATAAGAAAAGGATTTGCTTCTGTTTAAATATTAGCTTCGCATAACTAAAATAATTTTAGTTAGATAGTATTAAATA